CAGCACCCCACTGTCAACATTAGGCAGATAATCTAGATAGAAAATCAAAAATTAATTTTGGATTTAAACTTCACTTTAGAGCCAGGCATCATAATCCTGACACTTTCAGAAGCTGAGGCAGGAGAATTGCTTGAGCCCAGGAGTTAGAGACTAGCTCAGGTAACATAGTGAGACCTCATCTTTACAAAAAATTTAAAAATTAGCCAGGTGTGGTGGCATACACCTGTGGCCTCAGCTACTCCGGAGGCTGAGTTAGGAGGATTGCTTATGCCTGGGAAGTTGAGGCTGCAGTGAACTGTGGTCACACCACTGCACTGCAGCCTGGTGGCAGAACAAGACACTGTCTCAATAAATAAATAAACTGTACTTTAGACCAAATGGATCTAACAGACATTTACAGAACATTTTATCCAGTAGTTGCAGAATACACATTCTTCTCATCAGCATATGGAACGTTCTCCAGGAAAAAATCATATGTTAGGCCACAAAACAAGTCTCAACAAATTTTAGAAAATTGAAATCATATTTATTGTCTTCTGACCACTATGGAATAAAACTAGAAATCAATAAAAAGAGAAATTTTGGAAACTGTACAAATACATGGAAATTAAACAAAATGCTCCTGAACCTTTATTGGATCAATGAAGAAATTTAAGAAGGAAATTTAAAAATTTCTTGAAATCAATGAAAATGGAAACAGCATACCAAAACCTATGAGATACAGCAAAAACAGTACTAAGAGGTAAGTTTATAGCAATAGGTGCCTGTATTAAAAAAACAGATTTCAAATAAACAATGTAATGATGTATTTTAAGAAACTAGAAAAGCAAGAACAAAGCCAAAATTAGAAGAATAAAGAAATAATAAAGATCAGAGTAGAACTAAACAAAATAGAGACTAAAAAAAAAAAAAACAAAAAAAAAACAGAGGATCAGAGAAATGAAAAACTGGTGCTTTGAAAAGATAAATCAATAGATCACTAGCTAGACTAACCAAGAAAAAACAAGACCCACATAAAATCAGACATAAAAGAGGAGACATTACAATTTATGAAACAGAAATACAGAAGATCATCAGAGACTGTCAGGAACAACTATATGTGAACAAGTTGGGAAACCTTGAGGGAATGGATACATTTTTGGACACATTACAGCATACCAAGAGTGAACCAGGAAGAAATAGGAAACCTGGCCAGGCACAGTGGCTCACACCTGAAATCCTAGCATTTTGGAAGGTCAAGGTGGGAGGAAGGCCTGAGCTCAGGAGGTCAAGACCAGCCTGGGCAACAGTGAGACTTTGTCTCTATTTTAAATTTTTTAAAAAGGAAACCTGAGCAGACCAACCAATCACAAGTAACAAGATTGAATCTGTAATGTAAAGGTCTGCCAATAAAGAAAAGCCCAGGTCTGGATGGCTTTACTGCTGAATCCTGCCATACGTAGAAAGAAATACTAACACCAATTCTTCTCAAACTAGTTCAAAAATTTGAAGAAGGGGAAATTCTTCCTCACTCATTCTATGAAGTCAGCTTTATCCTGATACCAAAATCAGACAGGACACAACAAAAAAAGAACTACAGGTCAGCATCACTGATGAACATAGACACAAAAATCCGCAACAAAATAATAACAAATCGAAACCAACAAAACATGAAAAAAAAAAAAAATACACCACGATCAAGTGAAATTTATACTAGGGCCAGGCACAGTGGCTCACACCTATAATACCAGCAGCACTTTGGAAGGCTGAGGTGGGCAGATCGCTTGAGCCCAGGAGTTTGAGACTATCCTGGGCAACATGGTGAAACCCTGTCTCTACAAAAAAATTAAAAAATTAGCTGGGTGTGGTGGCATGCACCTGTAGTCCCTCCTGCTTGGGAGGCTTAGGTAGGAGGATGGCTTGAGCCCGGGAGGTGGAGGTTACAGTAAGCCGAGATCATGCCACTGTACTCGAGCCTGGGTGGCAGAGTGAGACCCTGTCTCAAAAAAAAACTTATTTCAGGGGTACAAGGATTGTTCATTATATCCACATCAATAAATGTGATTTATCACATCAACAGAATGAAAGACAAAAACCATATGATCATCTCAGCTAACACAGAAAAGTTATTTGATAAAATTCAATGTCCCTTCATGATAAAAACTCTTGACAAATTAATCACAGAAGGACCATACCTCAAAAGACAAGGATGCCTATTTTTACTACTCCTGCTCAACATAGTACAGAAAGTTCTAGCCATAACAATCAGGCAAGGTAAAGAAATAAAAGGCACCAAATTAGGAAAAAAGAGGTCAATTTGTCCCTTTTTCGCAGATGACATGATATATATATGGAAAAACCTGAAGACTCCAGCAAAAAAACTGTTAGAACTGATAAACAAATTTAGTAAAGTTGCAGATTTTTTTTAAAAACACACAAAAAAATCAATAGCATTTCTGTGCACCAATAACAACTAGCTGACAAAGAAAACAAGAACACAGTCCCATTTATTATGGCTACCAAAAAGAATACTAATAAATTTAACCAAAGAAGTAAAGGTTCTATAGGAGGAAAACTAGAAATTACTGATAAAATTAACGGAAGTAAACAGTGGAAATAGACAAATGGAGATATCCCATGTTCATGGATCAGAAAAATTAATATTGTTAAAATGGCCATATTTTCCAATACAATCTAAAGATTCATAGCAATTCATAACAAAATACCTATGACATTCTTCATGGAAATAGAAAAAAAATTGTAAACTTCATGTGGAACCACAAAAGAGCCTAAATAACCAAAGCAGTCCTGAGCAAAAAGAACAACTGGAGACATCACACTACCTGAGGTCAAAATAATACTAGAAAACTTTAGTAACCAAATCAGTATGGTGTTGGTATAAAAACAGACACACAGGCTGAGCAAAACAATACTACAAAGCTTTAGTAACCAAATCAACATGGTATTGGTATAAAAACAGACACACAGGCTGAGCATGATGGCTTGCTCTTCTAATCTCAACATTTTGGGAGGCTGAGATAGGAGGATCACTTGAGCCCAGAACTTTGAGTCCAGCCTGGGCAAGATAGTGAAACCCCATCTCTACAAATTAGCAAATCATGGTGGCGCATGCCTGTTGTCCTAGTAGCTTGGGAGGCTGAGATGGGAGGATCATTTGAGCCTGGAAGCTCAAGACTGCAGTGAGCCATAATCATACCACTGCACTCCAGCCTGGATGACAGTGAGACCCTGTCTCAAAAAAAAAAAAAAAAAAAAAAAAGTTGTAGGACAGATACTCTGGGACATTGGTCTGGGAAAAAATTTTATGACTAAGACCTCAAAAGCACAGGCAACCAAAGCAAATAGACAAAAGGGACTGTGTAAACTAAAAAGGTTCTGCACAGCAAAGGAAACAACAGAGTAAAGAGACAGCCTACAGAATGAGAGAAAGTATTTGCAAACTATTCATGAAATGAGACTAATATCCAAAATATATAAGGAACTCAGGAAGAAAAAAAATAGTTTCATATCTGAGTAGACATTTCTCAAAAGAAGACATACAAATGACCGGCAGATATATATTTTAAATGCTCAACATCACTAATCATCAGGGAGATGCAAATCAAAACCACAATAAGCAATCATCTTTCCCCAGTTAGAATGGCTGTTATGGAAAAGACAGTAACAAATGCTGGTGAGGATGCAAGGAAAAGGAAGCTCTTATACACTGTTGGTGGGAATGTAAATTAGTACAGCCATTATGCAAAACAGTACGGAGGTTTCTCAAAAACCTAAAACTAGAACTACCATATGATATAGCAGTCCCACTGCTGGGTATTTATCCAAAGGAAAGGAAGTCAATATGTCAGAGATAGATACCTATACCCCCCATGTTTATTGCAGCACTATTTTTAATAGCCAAGATATGGAATCATGACTTAAGTATACATCAGTGGATGAATGGATAAAGAAAATGTGATATATATACACAATGGAATTCTGTTCTGCCTTATTTTTTATGAAAATGAAATTCTGTCATTTGCAGCCACATGGATAGAATTGAGATCATTATGTTAAATAAGCCAGGCCCAGAAAGACAAATATCACATGTTCTTACTGATGTGGGAACTAAAAAAAAGTTCACCTTTAGCCAGGAGTCATGATGCACCCCTGTAGTCCCAGCTACATGGGAGGCTGAGGCAGGAGGATTGTTTGAGTCCAGGAGATTGATTCCAGTCTGGGCAGCATAGCAAGATGCCATCTCAAAAAAATAAAAAGTAGAATGGTAGTTACTAGAGGCTGGGAAGGGTGTATGAGAAGGGTTCCAGGAAGATTTGAAGACAGACTGGTTAATGGATATAGACATACAATTAGACGAAATAAGTTCTAGTGTTTGATAGCATACAGGAGTGACTGTAGTTAACAACGATATATATTTCAAAATAACTAGAAGAGAAGATTTGAAATGTTCTTGACACAAATGATGAATAATGTTCGGGCTGATGGACATCCTGCGTACCTTCATTTTGTCATTACAGGTTGTATGCATGTATCAAAATACTACATGTGCCCCATAAATATGTACAAATATTATGTATCAATAAAAAGGGATCTGTAATTTATGAGTAATAAAATTTTTTAAAGATCATTTACTGGCCAGGTGCTGTGGCTCATGCCTGTAATCCCAGCACTTTGGGAGGCCGAGGCGGGTGGATCACGAGGTCGGGAGATCGAGACCATCCTGTCTGACATGGTGAAACCCTGTCTCTACTAAAAATACAAAATAAATTAGCCAGGTGTGGTGGCGGGTGCCTATAGTCCCAGCTACACAGGAGGCTGAGGCAGGAGAATGGCGTGAACCTGGGAGGTGGAGCTTACAGTGAGCCAAGATTGTGCCACTGCAGTCCAGCCTGGGCGACAGAGCAAGACTCCGTCTCAAAAACAAAAGACATTTATCTTCTAAAAAGTAATTATATAAAAAGTAAAAGTAGAATTTATTCCTTTTACTTTTCTATTCCTAGGTAATACATTGTATGCAACTGGATCCTGCAAGAATCATTTATCAAGAAATTCTCTTGCTGGTACTTTATTTCGGTGGGAACAAGATGAAATACCAAGGTTAGTTAATGTTGTAAAGGAAATGAAAATTTTACATAAATCCTAGTTGTGATCAGAAATCAGTGGTTACCATGATTAAATTTTAACCTTTTATTGTGTTGGATCTTTTTAATCTATACACTTATCAAAAAAAGCAAACCTTGACATTAGTGTATTACAAGGAATAAACTATTTAAAAAACAGACCATGAAAATGTACCTAGTTATTACCTACTTAACAAAAGGAATACGAGGTAGATAGATATTGTTATACTTTTCTGCAGCATTCATCTTCATTGTCCGTTCTAATTTGATATCCTATAACTTGTAAAAAAAATTTACATTTATGATAAAATAGTAATTTAAAAGAAAAATCTAAATATTTTTAATAAAAACCCCTAAAATTTATAAATATTAAATATGTAATTATTTTGACATGCTGTTTTTGAATAATATAATTTGTAATTTATTTGTTTCATTATTGATTAGACTTTTTTTGGAGACAGTATATTCCAAATGCTTGGATTTTTCTGTTTCAAAGCAGCTGTGTATTTGCTTATGCAAATTTTTTACTACATTTTCTATCTACTGGTGCTAATTTTTAATTAGCTCCTGTTCTGAATGTCTGAAGCAGTTTTGAAATAAGGGCAAGTTGTAAATTTCTACTGTGAGATTATATTTTTTGATGTTATTGTTTCCCTCCTTTCTCTCAAATGTGCTACTTCTGCAATATGAATCCTTGACATTTACGACATAGTTATTTCAAATTATGAAACTTTTTTATATAAGAAAACTGTTGATCATAAACATTTTTAAATCTGTTCAATTTCTGTTAAGTTGTATGAATGAAGAGGACAATTCACATTTTGTTGTTGTCAAGACAAGGTCTTGCTCTGTTGCCCAGACCAGAGTTCAGTGGCACAATCTCAGCTCACTGCAACCGCTGCCTTCTGGTCTCAAGTAATCCTCCCACCTTAGCCTCCCAAGTATCTAGGACTACAGGTGTGCAACACCATGCCTGGCTAATTTTTACAAATTTTTTGTAGAGATGAGGTCTTACTGTATTGCTCAGCCTCCCGAGTATCTGGGTCTACAGGTGTGCAACACCATGCCTGACTAATTAAAAAATTTTTTTTGTAGAGATGAGGTCTCACTGTGTTGCTCAGGCTGGCCTCCCAAGCCAAAGTTGGGATCACATTCATGAGCCACCAAGCCCAGCTGACAATCTACATTGGAAAATATTTTTTCTGAAAGAGAAAGGGATATATTACGATAGGTTGACTAATATATTCCTTCTCTGTCAATGGTGAAAAGAGATGTGTGTATGAGTATCTAAATATATACCTGTGAGTACATATATACATATATTATTTAAGTTGTAAAAATTCTGTGGTTTAACAAACTTAACATAAAATATTCCATCAAAATTTCCTTTAAAATAGACAATGGAAAATGAAGTTTTGCTAACATGTTTTTCTTAAAACGTTAAAAAGTGTTTCAAGGCCAGGGCACAATGGCTCACACCTGTAATCCCAGCACTTTGGGAGGCCGAGGTGGGCAGATCACTTGAGGACAGGAGTTCAAGAACAGCCTGGCCAACATGATGAAACCCCTTCTCTACTAAAAATACAAAACTTAACTGTGCATGATGGCACATGCTTATAATCCCAGTTACTTGGGAGGCTGAGGCAGGAGAATCACTTGACCCGGGATGTGGAGGTTGAGGTGAGCTGAGATCGCACCACTGCACTCCAGCCTGGGTGACGGAGTGAGACTCCATCTCAAAAGAAACAAAAACAAAGTGTTTGAAATAAAAAGTTAATGAAATGTGTCATCACCCACTTTGTAGTAAAATTATGGATCTCCCCTTTTCCACTTGGTGTCCATTTTTGTACAAGTCCTAAATTTTGGAATGAGTAAACTAGGAGCCACACTAGATGTTATCTCTTCATTCTGTTAAGTAGGATCAATTATGTGGTATCTTCCTTATCTTCTCTTTTGGGGCACTGATGAAAAGCAAATGCTTTTGAGTCAAAGATCCTGAATGGGAAACAATCCTTTGTAGTTCTTACAAAAATTAATGACCTTGTGGTACCATTACTTTTCCTAGCTATGATCCCACTGTTGATCATTCATGTAGTTTATCAATTCTGTAGTTATGAAGAATTTTAAAGTATTCCCCATCTCAGCAGTAGTTGAGGGCAGGAAGAATGGTGAATTATCATTTGCCCATTTCTCCGTGTGCTCACCTTCCCTTATCTGTTATTGCACGTTCTCCCTTGTTTTTTGAATACTGAAAAAGATGTCTCTAGGCAACTGATTTCATATGTGCATAGTTTTTTATGCATTCCTCTGTGGTTTTTATATTATCCTATCCCATTCTGCCCCAGGTATGACCGTATGCTAAAATGTTTTATATTCCTTTTTATATAAAATCTTATGAACCAAAATATATAGAATATACTTCAATAGGATCTTAATAGGGTTGTCAGTATATGTCTTGTATTTTTCTCATCCTATTTTTCTTTATATATACACAAAGTATCAATTTTGTCATGAATAATTGTGTATTAATCAGGTTTTCTGGGTACCAGCTAAACATAAGATAATTGTATAAGAAAAATCTTAGAAAATTTGCTCTCACTTAATATGTTTTTTATATCCTTTAATTGCAGCTCTTTAATATTGGAAGGTGTTGAACCACAAAGTACATGTGAATTAGAAGTGGATGCTGTAGCTGCTGATATCTTAAATCGTCTGGACATTGAAGGTTCATACACAATTATTCTTAATACATGTTTTTATTTTTTTAAATGAATGACCGGCCGGGTGTGGTGGCTCACATCTGTAATTCCAGCACTTTGGGAGGCCAGGGTGGGTGGATCATGAGGTCAGATCGAGACCATCCTGGCCAACATGGTGAAACCCCATCTCTACTAAAATATAGAATAAATTAACTGAGCGTGGTGGCGGACACCTGTTGTCCCAGCCACTCGTGAGACTGTGGCAGGGGAATTGCTTGAGCCCGGGCAGCGGAGGTTGCAGTGAGCCAAGATCGCACCACTGCACTCCAGCCTGGTGACAGAGCAAGACTCTGTCTCAAAAAAAAAAAAAAAAAAAAAAAAATTAATGACCAAAGTAGAATAGAAAAAGTAGGAAAGAAAACTTTACAAAGGAACTAAGATATTATAGAAGGGGGATACGAAATGTTATAAAGATTGCTTCTATACTTCTACTGAGATAGTAATTAGTTTTTTGTTTATATTTTTGTCCAAATGACTATATTTGAATAGATACACTAAAATAAGTGTGACACTAAATAAAATTAGCTAATATAAAGTAATTTAATGTACTCTGCCTTTTAATTTCTTAATTTTCATATTGTATATCAGCAAGGGTATTCTTAGGTCTATTGACTGTCATCAGATGTTTGAACTGTATTCACTTGCTGGATTTTGGGGAACCACTAGGAAGAAAGCTAAAAAAGGAGTAACATAATAAGTGTAGGTTGGGATAATTTGTCCACTTTATTACACAAAATATATGATAGATTTTTTTAAAGGCGGTATTTATTAAAGAAAAGTTTAGATTTTTTTACTTTGACCCTGTAATATTGAAATATTATTGTGATTACAGCTCAAATTGGTGGAAACCCTGGTCTACAGGCTATATGGGAAGATGAAAAGCAACGGCGAAGAAACAGAAATGAAACTTCTCAAATTAGCCAGCCTGAGTCACAAGGTATAAACCTAATAGTGCTTTGATTATTCTTTTAAACCAAGTATTTTAATGGGAAAGTTTGTCATTGAGTTGTTCCTTTGACATTAGATTTTACTTTTCCAATGACCTTTTGTTTTGTATTTTTCTTGTTGTCATTGCTGTACAGCCAGTATTTATATTTATAACTATCTCCAAATTGTCACTTATTATCTGTCTCTCTGTAAGAAGTTGACATTTTTACTATTCTTTGTTTTTAGTGTACCTTGTCCTCTTGCCTCACTTTTTTGTTTTCATTCTCTAGTGTGTTCTAGCCCTCTGTATTTCCAAATGAGCTATAGAAAACTCACAGAAGATCATGAATTTCAACTTAGGAACACTGTTTAATACATTAAGCTTTGAAAATGTAGCCATTGAAATGCTGCCCACAGTTTATTTTCTGAGTATGTCATATAAGCTCTCACTTTGTTCATTACGTACAGCTCTAAAGAAATACTCATTACTAAATGGTGCCACATTCAAAAAGAATTTGAGGGGGTTCAGATAATACCATGGATACAACAGAATTTTAAAAATAAAGGTAAAAGAATGAAAGACATCATTCAAAAGACAGATATATTATTTCAAAACACAGCAGTAAGCCTATAGCGAAGTTCAATTAAAATTGTTACATCTTAGGCACTAAAATGTTTTGATAAACTTTGAGTGCCTTTTATTTTAAAAATAGAAATATATTTTATAAGGGGATTATTTTTAGTTTTAGGATACAGTGTATTTATAGGTAGAGAACAGTTTTTCTGTTTCAGATTTAGATTATAATTATAGAACTTAATCTTGAACTGAGTTTAAATGCCTAATTTTGTAACTTTAGTAACAACCATTTCTCTTTTGTGTGATTCTATAGTAAGACTACAGTTAGGTTGTATTATATATATTTAGAGAAAGATAAGAAATTGCTACCATTTTTAAAGCTACTTTAGGAGAAAGGAAAATATTTCATTCATTTGCTATCTACATTTTTTAATGCACTTTTAAAATTCAAAGATCACAGGTTTGTGCCAGCAACAGAAAGTGAAAAAAAATTTCAGAAGAGACTTCAGGAAATTCTCAAACAGAATGATTTCTCTGTGTAAGTGGTTATTTATTATAGATCTCAGAACTAATTTTATTCCTTTGTTATCTAGTCTGTTATAAAGGATATGTTTTAATTAAGCAGAACATTATCAGGATCTGTGGACTACAGTGATGGATCCCAGGAGTTCTCTGCTGAGTTAACATTGCACTCTGAGGTTCTGTCTCCTGAAATGCTTCAGTGTACACCAGCCAATATGGTAGAGGTTCACAAAGACAAAGAATCAAGCAAAGGTAAGATTTGCTTTTCATGTATAAAGAAACTACTAGAACATATATCTGGCACTGAGATGTTAATATTTGATTGAGTTTGCTAGGAATTTTTTTCCCTACGAAATAAATATAGTGGATATAGCAAAAATGTCTCCCATTCTGTCACCCTTTCTGCATCTCTAAAGGTAAGGAGTAACCTGAAGTTAGTGCAAACTGTTACCATATATAATTTTTATATTTTCTTATAATGTTTGCCCACCATATATACCATTGTTTTAAGTTTTTAATTTTACATAAATGATGTTCTACTTGGCGTAGATGAAGCAACTTGCTTTTTTCAGTCAGCATTATATTTTTAAGCAACTTGAGGTTTAATTTATATAGCATAAAATTCAGTCATTTTAAGTGTATAATTCAGTGATTTATAGTAAATTTACAAAGTTGTGCAAACATCTCCACAATCCAATTTTAGAATGTTTCCATCAGTCCACAGGATCCCTTGTGTCCATTTGCAGTTATGCCTGTTTCTACCTCAAACCCCAAGTAACCACTAAAAATACATGGGCCTTGTGTAGATACTGTGTATTATGTAAGTGAAACCATACAATATATAGTATTTTGTGTCTGGCTTCTTTTACTTAACATAATACTTTCAAGGTTTATACATGTTGTAGTATCTATCAGTATGTATGGAGATACCACATTTTGTTAATCCGTTTATCAGTTGATCAACATTTGAGTTGTTTTCACTTTTGATTGGTAAGAATAGTGCCGCTGGCCAGGTGCAGTGGTTCATGCCTGTAATCTCAGCAATCTGAGAGGCTGAGGCGGGCGGATCGCCTAAGGTCAGGAGTTGGCAACCAGCCTGGCCAACATGGTGAAACTCTGTCTCTACTACAAATACAAAAATTAACCGGGCGTGGTGGCGCACACCTGTAATCCCAGCTACTCAGGAGGCCAAGGCAGGAGAATGGCTTGAACCTGGGAGGTGGAGGTTGCAGTGAGCCAAGATCATGCCACTGCACTCCAGCCTGGGCGACAGAGCAAAACTCCATCTCAAAAACAAAAAACAAACAAACAAAAAACAAAAAAAAGTGCTGCTATAAGCAGTAAAGCATAAATTTTGGGATAAATATCATAAAAAGAGTTGTAAAATGATATAAATAGTAACAAACGAAACAGTTTAAGAATAAACTTCACTAAAAAGATTACCTCTGCCAAGCAAAAGAATTGCTAGGGCATGTGGTATATTTGTATTTAATTTTAAAATAAACTCCCAAGCTGTTTTTAAAGTGACAGCCATGTTTTACTTTCCCACCAGCAATATAGGAGAGTTTCTCAGGCTCTCCATCCTCACTAACACTTGTTATTATCTGTCTTTTTTAATGTAGTCATCCTAGTGTGTGAAATAGAATCTTACTGTGGTTTTAATTTTCATTACCCTCATTACTACTAATGTTGAGCATCTTTTATGTCAACATTATAACTTTGAAATTTATCCTTGTTCATTCATTTTAGCTGCTGATGACTGTTCCATTTTAAGACTAACCAACAGTGTTATCTATTTCTCAACAAGTCTTGACTTTTGGTCTTTACTTTTTACTGATGGTCTTTACTTTTGCACTTAGTGCTATATCTGTCTCTTTATGGCTATATGCAGGAGTTTCTCTACCAAACAGCAGAAGAGTGAGCTGCTGAATATTCGGGTGTATGCATTGTACTCTACCTAGATAGCATCTGTTCTAACAGTTTTTTTATAATGCAATTAGCTTATACATGGTTAGTAAACAAGACAATAATAAAAGTTTTACTCAGAAGTCACATTGTATCGTACGCAATTTTACTAGGCAAGCGAAGCCTCAACATTTGATAGCATCAAATAATAAGTATAAAATAATAGATGTAAAAGATTTGCCGCTCTGATTCTTTGAAATAGTGTCTCTGCATTTTAATCTACATTTCCTAATTACTAACGAATTTGAGCATCTTTAAAGGCCATTTGGGTTTCTCTGTGAATTATGTTATTTGCTCATTTTCTATTGAGTCATTTCTTTTTCTTATTTGTAGGAGTTCTTCATATTTTCTAGATATTAAGTCTTTGTCAGTTATACTTATTGTAGAGATATAAAAAAATGTTAACTTCTTTTCCCCCCCATTTGAAAAAAAAAAAAAAAAAAGGCTATCCTTGGAGTTTGACATGTCTTCAGTTTTAATGTCAAGTTTACAATATTCCTTTATGGTTTAGTTTTGGTATATGATTTATGAGACCTTCCCTACCCTGATGTAATGAAAATTTTCTCTTAAGTATTCATTTTAAGGCTTATGTGTGCTTACAATTTGATTTTTCATATTTAGGTCTTTAATGCATTTGAAATTTTACTTTTTACTTTTAATTTTTTGTTAATTTTTTTGGGTACATAGTAGGCATATATATTTATGGGGTACATGAGAGATTTTTATACAGGCATACAATGTAATCACATCAGGATAAATGGGGTATCCATAACCTCAAGCATTTATTTCTTTGTGTTACAAACATTCCAGTTATACTTTTAGTTATTTTTAAATGTACAATAGATTATTGTTGACTGTAGTGACCCTGTTCTGCTATCAAATACTAGATCTTATTCCTTCGATTTTTTTATACTCATTAACCACCCCACTTCCCCACCCCCCACCCTACTACCCTTCCTAGCTTCTGGTAACCATCATTCTACTCTCCATCTCCATGAGTTCCATTGTTTTAATTATTAATTAGCCCCCACGAGTGAGTGAGAACATGCAAAGTTTGTCTTTCTGTGCCTGGCATATTTCACGTAACATAATGTCCTCCACTTCCATCCATGTTGTTGCAGATGGCATGATCTCACTCTTTTTATGGCTGAGTAGTACTCCATTGTGTAAATGTACCACATTTTCTTTATCCATTCATCTGTTGATGGACACTTAGATTGCTTCCAAATCTTGGCTGTTGTGAATAGGACTGTGATAAACATGGGAGTGCAGATATCTCTTCAACTCGACATATCAATTTCATTTCCTTTGGATAAATACCGAGTAGAGAGATTGCTGGATTATATGGTAGTTCTATCTTTAGTTTATTAAGGAACCTCCATACTGTTCTCCATAGTGGCTGTACTAATTTACATTTCTGCCAACAGTGTACAAGAGTTCCCTTTCCTCCACATCATTGCCAGCATTCATTACTACCTGTCTTTTGGATAAAAGCCATTTTTACTGGGGTGAGATGATTTCTCATTGTAATTTTGATTTGCATTTCTCTGATGATCAGTGATGTTGAGCACCTTTTCACCTGTTTACTATTCGTATATCTTCTTTTGAGAAATGTCTGTTCAGATCTTTTGCCCATTTTTTAATTGGATTATTAGATTTTTTACTATTGAGTCATATATATTTTGGTTATTAATTCCTTGTCAGATGGATAGTTTGCAGATATTTTCTCCCACTCTGTGGGTTGTCTCTTCACTTTGTTGATTGTTTCCTTTGCTGTGCAAAAGCTTTGTATAATAACTTGATATGATCCCATTTGTCTACTTTTGCTTTGATTGCCTGTGCTTTGGGGATATTTCCCAAAAAATCTTTGCTCAGGCGAATATTCTAGAGAGTTTCCCCAATGTTTTCTTTTAGTAGTTTCGTAGTTTGAATCTTAGATTTAAGTCTTTAATTAATTTTGATTTGATTTCTGTATATGGTGAGAGATCAGGGTCTAGTTTCATTCTTCTGCATGTGGATATCCAGCGTTTTCTCAGTACCATTTATCTGAAGAAATTGTTCTTTCCCCCAAGGTATGTTCTTGGCACCTTCATCAAAAAAGAGTTCACTGTAGTTATGGATTTATTTCAGGGTTCTCTGTTCCATTGGTCTGTGTGCCTGTTTTTATGCCAGTATCATGCTGTTTTGATTACTATTGCTCTGTAGTATAACTTGAAGTCAGGTAATGTGACCTCCAGTTTTATTCTTTTTGCTCAGAGTGGCTTTGGTTATTCGGGGTCTTTTGTGGTTCCATGTAAATTTTAGGATTTTTTTTTTTCTATTTCTGTGAAGAATAACATCGGTATTTTGATAGGGATTGCTTTGAATCTGTAGATTGCTCTGAGTAGGTATGGACATTTTATCAGTATTGATTATTCCAATCCATGAACTTGGAATATCTTTTTCATTTTTTGGTGTCGTCTTCCATTTCTTGCATCAATATTTTATAGTTTTGATTGTAGGGATGTTTCACTTCTTTGATTAAGTTTATTCCTAGGTATCTTATTTGTAGCTATTGTAAATGGGATTACTTTCTTGATTTCTTGTTCAGATTGTTCACTGTTGGCATATAGAAGTGCTACTGATTTTCATATGTTGATTTTCTATCCTGCAACTTCGCTGAATTTGTTTTTTAGTGGAGTCTGTAGGTTTTTCCAAATATAAGATCATATAAGGATAATTTGACTTCTTCCTTTCCAATTTGGATGCAGTTTATTTATTCCTTTCTTTTGTCTGATTACTCTAACTAGGACTTCCAGTACTGTTTTGAATAACAGTGGTGAAACTAGGCATCCTTGTCTTGTTCCAGATCTTAGAGAACGGGCTTTCAATTGTTCCCAGTGCTGTGAATGCACTGGGTCACACCTGAAGTCAGCATGTCCCTGGATCTCACCCGAGGCCTGCAGCAAGTACTGCCTGAGTGTCACTTGTGTTTACTCAAGGCCAAAGGGCTCTGTAGTGGGCAAGTGATGAACCCTGCCAGGTCTGAGTCCTTCCTTTCAAGGCAGCAGGTTCCCTTTTGGTCCAGGGCGTGTTTAGAGTTGTCATCCAGGAGTTAGGGCCTGGAATATGTGTGTCACGACTCTACCTCCTCTACTGTGGCTGAGCTGGTATCCAAGTTGCAAGATAAAGTCCTCTTCGCTCTTCCCTCTCGTGTCCTCTCATTGTAGGAAAGAGTCTTCTGGAGCTGTGAGTTGTACTGCCTGGGACTGTGCGGGGTGGGGAAGAGGGGTCACAAGTAATTCCTTGGCTGCCCCAGCTACTCTCTCACTAGGTGTGTGTACCCCAAGTCTACTGGCTCCAAGCCCAGCACGGTACTGGGACTTGCCCAAGAATTGCAGTCCTTGTGGATAAGACTGCCTTTCAACTTTATTTAGGATCCCAAAGTGCTTTAGCCCATAGTAGTAAGGCTGGCTGCACCTCAGGTTCTGGACTGCTGTATTGGGCAGTTTGCCTCTGACTGGGGCTGGTCGAATCCTCTCCTCATGGGTGCTGGCTAAATTCTGTTCCATGTTGCTTTCCACTGTGACAAGGGTAGCACTGAGTTCCAATGCAAAGCCCCACATTCACTGTGTTCTGTCTCTCCCAAGCACACAGATTTCTCTCTCTGTGCCACAAGACCATTGCCTGAGGCGTGGGAGGTGCTGTCAGCAATGACTGTCTTTTCATGACTGTCTTTTCTACCCTCTTCACTGTCTCTTTCCTTGATATGTTGTTAAAACCAAGTACTGTGATTGCTCTCCTGATTTTTTATTCTAATGAGGTGCTTGCTTGTGTGGATAGTTCAGTTTGGTGTTCCTGCAGGGGACGGCAATTGCTGGAGGGTTCTATATGGCCAAATAGATTACTATTTTTTGATATCATGAAAATATAATGAATGTGATATATAATGAAAGCTTTCTGAGAAATATATAATGTAAAATGAATTTTTTAATTGCTTAACCATTTCTTTGTGTTTTTATAGCACTTAAAAACTATTTCTGCCCAGTTATGACAATGAAATGGGAAACCATAACTACAGCTCACAAACAGGCATGAAAAACCAGCACATACCCCATTAGGAATTACACTAAGCTCTTTATTTTTTATGCATTCAGAAGAGAGTCCAGTACACATGTGTCAAATAATGAGCGCTGTCAATTTTTTTTCTTAGAAGAGTTGAAAAGCATTTATTCTAAATTTGTTGTTTTTGAACCATAGAGAATAAAGAATTTTAGTATTCAAATAAGATAGTTTATCTTTCCTTTTCACTTTATATATTTGAATATGCAGTGATTTTTATCAGAGTAATAGAACTACACACATTAAGTAGGATTAAAGAGGTTATAAATATTTGGTGATTTATAGATTCAGTGTTTGATTTGATGAATCCATGTGACTGGTTAAATATTTCTGTGGCTTTTTATTATGTTTTTATTTGGCATGCGTCATTAACATTTTGAAATTTAAAATAGGTTTATATGGTAATGCTTCCAAATTTACACAAATCCTAAATGATAAATTTTGGATTTAGGCCATTGCTTTAATTTTTTAATTCTTTGTCAAATTAAGGTCACACTAGACACAAAGTGGAAGAAGCTCTTATTAATGAAGAAGCAATTTTGAACCTCATGGAAAATAGTCAGACTTTTCAACCTTTGACTCAAAGACTGAGTGAGTCACCTGTTTTCAGTAAGTAACAGTGCTACCATAAATATTCAGTATTGTAATTCAGAGAAAATGTGTGTTGTGAAGAGGTATTTTTTTTATTGGCTTGAAGAGGTAAATGTTGCATGTTCAATAAGCACTCTACTGAATATGAAAATGAAACCTTGCATTAAATCAAGTAGCTTTGCCTTTTTTTCTATACAGCTTAAAAAACTCTGTGAAAGAAAATAGTTTTTTTAAACTATACTTTGATTCAGGGAAAACCGTATTAGTTTAGAAGAATGCATTTATTTTGAATTAATATTTTGCAAAGTTCAGTACATTACTAAAACACCATAAGTGGGTCTTTCTTGGTGAGTATCACAGATTTCACTGAAGGAAACATGGGTTGCTAGGGCTGCGGTCCCAGCCTCCTCATCTCACTGGCCAGGGCTGCGCTCAACCAGTCCTTCAGCGGCCTCCCCTTGAGCAGTATCTCAGACTTCTTGCAGCCACTGCCGGCCTTCGCTGGCAAAGCCTTCCAACTAGGGGCTGACAGTGCTGAGCTGTCCCCATGGCCAAAATCCTGTGCAGTCCCAGGCAGCCCTGACTGGAGCACACAACAATGTTATTTTAATGATGTCCCTAAATTACTCTAATGCAGGTGGTCCAAGGATCAACTTTGATAGGAGAGCTACCTCAACACTTGAGCCTTTGTACCAACTGTATTCTTTCAGCCTGTGCCAGTATCTATGATGTTGTTATTTTATTCTAAGTGATCTGAATTGTTGGATTATTAAGAAAACAGGCCGGGCACGGTGGCTCACGCCTGTAATCCCAGCACTTTGGGAGGCCGAGGCAGGCGGATCACGAGGTCAGGAGATCGAGACCGTCCTGGCTAACACAATGAAACCCCATCTCTACTAAAAGTACAAAAAATTAGCTGGCCTTGGTGGCGGGTGCCTGTAGTCCCAGCTACTTGGGAGGCTGAGGCAGGAGAATGGCGTGAACCCGGGAGGCGGAGCTTGCAGTGAGCCGAGATCCGCCACTGCACTCCAACTCCAGCCCGGGTGACAGAGCAAGACTCCGTGTCAAAAAAAAAGAAAACTTAAGTTATTTGTTGGTGATTATTGTACTTGTTTTGTAGTGGACAGTAGTCCTGATGAGGCTCTGGTACATCTTCTTGCTGGTTTGGAAAGTGATGGATATCGGGGGGAAAGAAATAGGATGCCATCACCGTGTCGCTCCTTTGGAAATAATAAATATCCCCAAAATAGTGATGATGAAGAAAATGAACCACAGATTGAAAAAGAGGAAATGGAGCTTAGTTTGGTGATGTCCCAGAGATGGGACAGCAATATTGAAGAACATTGTGCCAAAAAGAGGTAATTTTTTAGTTATTTCATTTGTTTTATTAACTTTTATCATTATCATCCTTCAATCAGAAATTACTTGTTACTATTGTTCAGTGTATAAAATACCTTATGAGCTAAATTGGTGTTTTAAAATTCCCTTTTAGTGATCTGTTTTTCATGTGGCATATACTCCATATTCCAAGCAAAATAAAGTTCTGCTACATTTTAAAAGATTAACCTAACTTTTAGAAGTTATCCATTTATATACACATTATTAACATATGTGAGTGATAAATGGGGCAAAATTGGAGTGCCTTCTTATCTTAGAACTAGACAAAAAGAATGCCCTGTGATAGTTGAACTGTTGTTGAGTATCAGAGCAACAATGTATAGAGTCAGACTGAAGACAGGGTATGGCTTTGGGGTCTCATTAGACTAAGGGAACTAAGGTTAAAAACAAATAAAAGACTGAGAAGCAAACACTGGTGTTGTGGTTTGTTTCTCAAAATCAGTGAATAAGTTGGTGTTGTGGTTTTCTAAATCGGTCTCTGTGAACTTGATTGGTTTGAGTCTGCCCTTTAGTTATATGCTCTGTGTATGGAAAAATCTAGGCCTGTGAGCCTGAAAGACTGAGTATGCCTCTCCTTTAAACTTCTGTAGGCTAGATTAGAACTTTTTTAGTCTGTGTTTGAAATTTTCAACCCCAAAGCCATCACTGAAAGGTGAAAGAAGTTAATCCATAAATTCAGTGTTTACATGTATATGACAAAAGTTTTGATTTTTCTGTTTAATAAATCAGATGTAGAAATCTCCAGATGTGATGTTAAATTCTTTCCTCTAACATTGTCACTGCTCTAATAATAGGCATTGTCAATCCTATGATTAAATTTATGCTTATATGTTCATTGGCTGAACCAATTTAGTGAAAACCATGCCCACTTTAACCTTGGGAAAACAAACCTAAACATTTTGTACACATTATTACAGAGAGACTGACTAGTAGAAGCATAGTATCCAGAAAATGATTTAGTTAATTCTACTCTTTATATTGGATATTATATTCTGTGCTGATCACCATATTTTAAGAATACTGAAAAAGGAAAGGGAAAGAAGAGGAAGAAAACTAGAAGGATCTGTAAGCATTGTCACTTTTGAAGAACTTTTGAATGGAGACTGTTTGATCTAATTAGAATTATAAGATGAATGAGAAATACCTTTATGTATTTTAAAGATTATCATGTGGAAAATGGCATCAGCCTGCTGTGTATAGCTACAGAGAACAAAATAGGAATCATGTATGAAAGTTGAAAGAGTTTGTGTATTACAAGAAGACAACTATTAACAATTAAAGCTATTAACAATGGAAAGATTGCCCTGTGAGACAGCAAGCTGCTTATATAGATTATGTAAAAACAGAGATTGCCTCAGGTTCATTAAAAAGTCAGATTGGGTAGAAAGTTGGACTAGACCTCTGATACCTCTTTCAGCTCTTAAGGGAGTGATTTTTATGATAAATTGTGATTTGCAAAGGCTTAGTGGAAAAATAGTTCCAGTATAATATAATAAAATAATAATAATTTCAAATAGTTGAGATTAGTGAAAGAAATTGGATATGGATAGGAAAAAAGTTTGCCCATTCAATTAAAAGGGAAAGCATCAAGTTAATATCAATATGAGATGAAACTTAAAGAAACTGGACTTTACTGTCCCTCTGAATTTCTCAGTAACCCTACTTTATAGTTACTGTCAGATTGACTGAACACCTTTACTACTTCCTATTTATTCTCTCTTCTTCAATATTTTCTCTTCAGCCCTGACCTCAATGCCCCTTCACTCATCTCTTTGTTCTTAATTCTTGCAATTTAGAATGCAGGAATTGTGGTGTATTTCAGCTCACATGAAAGAGATTATAAAGTGTAATTATAATAATTCTTTGTAAGTTGCTATAGTGAGACATGTTAATAAAGCAAAGTAAATATACTTTTCTAGAAGTTACAATTTTCAGGGGTTTTTTATTGTTTTACTATAGAGTAACTTAGATACATTATTATAGTTAACTTACATTATTATAGAGTTAACTTAGATACATGATTTGCATCTGAGATGGTCTTTTCTAATGATCATGCTCACTAGTGAATTTTAATATTCTCCAGATCACTGTGCAGAAATACCCACAGAAGTTCAACTGAAGATGATGACTCATCTTCAGAAGAAGAAATGGAATGGAGTGATAACAGTTTGCTTCTAGCCAATCTTTCTATACCTCAGTTAGATGGAACTGCAGATGAAAATAGTGGTAAGTAAACAAGCCTACTGTGAGAAATTGGTTAGTTAGGATCTAAAAATATATTTGATTTTGAGGTCAGGCGCTCTGGCTCACACCTGGAATCCCAGCATTCTGGGAGTCCAAGGTGAGAGGATCACTTGAATTCAGGAGTTCGAGACCAGCCTAGGCACCATAGTGGGACTCTGTCTCTAAAAAACTAAAAAAAAAATTAGCCCAGCATAATGGTTCATGCCTGTGGTCTCAGCTACTCAGGAGGCTGAGGTGGGAGGCTTACTTGAGCCCAAGAGTTTGAGGCTGCAGTGAGCTGTGATTGCTCCACAGCATTCCAGCCTAGGCAACAGAGCAAGACCCTGCCTCCAAAAAAATAAATAAATAAATAAATATGATTTTGAAACTTTAATCATACTTTCTATTGATTTTGAAACTGTAATCATACTTTATAGTTGGCTAAGTGAGGCTATAGTGATATTTCGTCCCTCAGGATTTTTTTGTTTTGAAAGAATGTAGATATATGGTTTGTTTCTCATTTCTAAAAGGATATAACATTTGTTGATCACTGATTTCAAGCTTTGAAAACTTTAATGTTTGTTGTGTAAGTAGAATAATAAACTAAAAAATATGCTCAGTTTATCTGAAGTGATAATGTAAAGCATATTACTTTATGAACATTTTTAAAGTGACAGTATTTTTCCCTTATTCCCCAAAGGCACTAAATAGTAATATAATCTATTTCTGATCAATTGAATATGTGTTTAAAATGATGACTCATAATTGTAACTATATTTAGATTGAGTCATTAATGATAAACATTACCTTTTTGTTAAGATAGCCGTTTTAAACATGCAAACTTAATTTTATGTAATTTTTTCATAGTGATAGCATTAATATCTTGGTGTGGGAAAATGTCTTAAAAATTAAGAGTAAAATGAAATAAACTTTTTCCCTCCTCATTTCAGACAATCCATTGAACAACGAAAACTCTAGAACCCACTCTTCTGTAATTGCAACAAGCAAGCTATCAGTTAAACCCTCCATCTTTCACAAAGATGCTGCTACGTTAGAACCCTCATCTTCTGCTAAGATTACCTTTCAGTGTAAACACACAAGTGCCCTTTCTTCCCATGTTTTGAATAAGGAAGATTTAATTGAAGATCTTTCACAGACAAATAAAAATATAGAAAAAGGTCTAGATAATTCAGTCACTTCTTTTACAAACGAAAGCACTTACTCTATGAAATACCCTGGATCTTTAAGCAGTACTGTTCATTCAGAAAATTCTCATAAAGAGAATAGTAAGAAAGAGATCCTCCCAGTGTCTTCCTGTGAAAGTAGTATTTTTGATTATGAAGAAGATATTCCATCTGTTACAAGACAAATACCAAGTAGAAAATATACAAACATTAGAAAAATCGAAAAGGATTCCCCTTTTATACATATGCACCGTCACCCTAACGAGAATACATTGGGCAAAAATTCTTTCAACTTTTCTGACTTGAATCATTCAAAAAATAAAGTGTCCTCTGAAGGAAATGAAAAAGGAAACAGCACAGCTCTGAGTAGTTTATTCCCTTCATCATTTACTGAAAATTGTGAATTGCTGTCATGCTCAGGGGAGAATAGAACTATGGTGCATTCTCTTAATAGCACTGCTGATGAAAGTGGACTAAATAAACTTAAAATTAGGTATGAAGAATTTCAAGAACATAAAACAGAAAAGCCAAGCCTCAGCCAGCAAGCAGCACACTATATGTTTTTTCCCAGTGTTGTTCTTTCTAACTGTCTTACTAGACCACAGAAACTATCTCCTGTCACATATAAACTACAACCTGGCAATAAACCATCCCGGTTAAAATTGAATAAAAAGAAACTTGCAGGTCATCAGGAGACTTTTACCAAAAGTAGTGAGACTGGATCCACGAAAGATAATAGTATACAAAATAATCCTTGTAATAGTAATCCTGAGAAGGATAGTGCATTCACCAGTGATTTAACTAAAACCTCTCGTGGAGCTTTTGAAAATAAAACACCCACAGATGGTTTTATAGACTGTCACTTTGGAGATGGAACGTTAGAAACTGAGCAGTCCTTTGGACTATATGGAAATAAATACACACTTAGAGCCAAACGCAAGGTAAATTATGAGACTGAAGATAGTGAGTCGAGTTTTGTAACACACAACTCAAAAATTAGTCTACCTCATCCCATGGAAATTGGTGAAAGTTTAGATGGAACTCTCAAATCTCGAAAACGAAGAAAAATGTCTAAAAAGCTGCCTCCTGTCATCATAAAGTATATTATTATTAATAGATTTAGAGGGAGAAAAAATATGCTTGTGAAGCTAGGAAAAATAGACGCTAAAGAAAAACAAGTAATATTAACAGAAGAAAAAATGGAACTATATAAAAAGCTTGCACCTTTGAAGGACTTTTGGCCAAAAGTTCCCGACTCCCCTGCAACCAAATATCCCATTTATCCACTAACACCAAAGAAAAGTCACAGAAGAAAGTCAAAACATAAGTCTGCTAAGAAAAAAACTGGTAAGCAACAAAGGACAAATAATGAAAACATCAAAAGAACTTTGTCTTTCAGGAAAAAACGGTCACATGCTATTCTTTCTCCTCCCTCACCATCTTACAATGCTGAAACCGAAGATTGTGACTTGAATTATAGTGATGTTATGTCTAAACTAGGTTTTCTTTCTGAGAGAAGCACAAGTCCCATAAATTCTTCTCCACCTCGCTGCTGGTCTCCCACGGATCCAAGAGCTGAAGAAATCATGGCTGCCGCAGAAAAAGAGGCAATGCTTTTTAAGGGTTCTAATGTATATAATAAGACTGTTAATTCTTGTATAGGAAAAAATAGTCGCGCAAGAGCACAGGTTAAGAAATCAAAAGCAAAGCTCGTTAATCCCTCTGTAGTTACTAAGAAAAGGAACAAACGAAATCAGACAAATAAACTAGTAGATGATGGAAAAAAGAAACCAAGAGCAAAACAAAAAACAAATGCGAAAGGTACATCGAGAAAGCATATAACACTTAAGGATGAAAAAATAAAATCTCAGTCTGGTGCTGAAGTTAAGTTTGTACTGAAACACCAGAATGTGTCTGAATTTGCAAGTAGTTCTGGAGGCGCTCAATTACTTTTTAAACAGAAAGATATGCCACTAATGGGCTCTGCTGTAGATCATCCCCTTTCTGCTCCCCTACCCACTGGAATTAATGCACAACAGAAGTTATCTGGCTGCTTTTCTTCTTTCTTAGAAAGCAAGAAGTCTGTAGATGTGCAGACGTTCCCCAGTTCACGAGATGATTTGCATCCATCAGTTGTTTGTAATTCTATAGGACCTGGAATCTCAAAAATTAATGTTCAAAGACCTCATAATCAAAGTGCTATGTTTACTCTAAAGGAATCAACCTTAATTCAGAAAAATGTATTTGACCTTTCCAACCATTTGTCTCAGGTAGCACAGAATACACAGATATCTTCGGGTATGTCTTCAAAGATAGAAGATAATACAAATAATATACAAAAAAACTATTTGTCATCAATCGGAAAGTTAAGTGAATATCGCAATTCCCTAGAATCAAAGCTGGACCAAGCATATACCCCTAATTTTTTGCATTGCAAAGATAGTCAGCAGCAGATTGTGTGCATAGCAGAGCAGTCAAAGCACAGTGAAACTTGTTCTCCGGGAAATACAGCTTCAGATGAAAGCCAAATGCCTAATAATTGCTTTGTAACTTCCTTGAGAAGTCCAATCAAACAAATAGCATGGGAGCAAAAGCAAAGGGGCTTTATTTTAGATATGTCAAATTTTAAACCTGAAAGAGTAAAACAGAGGTCATTATCAGAAGCAATTTCACAAACCAAAGCACTTTCTCAGTGTAAAAATCGAAATGTGTCAGCACCTTCAGCATTTGGTGAAGGACAGTCTGGACTGGCAGTTCTAAAAGAATTGTTACAAAAAAGACAGCAGAAAGCACAAAATGCAAATATTATACAAGACCCATTATCTAATAAACATCAACCAAATAAAAATATTTCTGGTTCTCTTGAGCGTAACAAAGCAAATAAACGGACACGATCGGTAACATCCCCAAGAAAACCTCGAACTCCCAGAAGTACAAAACCAAAAGAAAAAATCCCCAAACTTCTCAAAGTAGACTCTTTAAATTTACAAAACTCTAGCCAGTTGGATAACTCCATATCAGATGATAGTCCCATCTTTTTTTCAGATCCAGGTTTTGAAAGTTGTTATTCACTTGAAGATAGTTTATCTCCTGAACATAATTATAATTTCGATATTAACACAATAGGTCAGACTGGATTTTGTAGCTTTTACTCTGGAAGTCAGTTTGTCCCAGCTGATCAGAATTTGCCTCAGAAGTTCCTAAGTGATGCTGTTCAGGATCTTTTTCCAGGACAAGCTATAGAAAAAAATGAGTTTTTAAGTCATGACAACCAGAAATGTGAAGAAGACAAGCATCATACTACGGACTCAGCCTCATGGATTAGATCTGGTACTTTAAGTCCTGAAATTTTTGAGAAATCATCCATAGATAGCATTGAGAATCATCGCCACAACCAGTGGAAAAATAGCTTTCATCCTCTAACAACTCGGTCTAATTCAATAATGGATTCTTTCTGTGTTCAGCAGGCAGAAGACTGTCTAAATGAAAAATCTAGATTGAATAGGAGTTCAGTAAGCAAAGAAGTGTTTCTTAGCCTCCCACAGCCAAACAATTCAGACTGGATTCAAGGTCATACCAGAAAAGAAATGGGACAGTCTCTTGACTCAGCCAATACCTCTTTTACTGCAATACTCTCCTCCCCTGATGGTGAACTTGTGGACATGGCCTGTGAAGATTTAGAACTGTATGTTTCAAGAAACAATGATATGTTGACACCAACTCCTGATAGTTCACCAAGATCTACTAGTTCTCCTTCACAATCTAAAAATGGCAGTTTCACCCCACGAACTGCTCACATTCTGAAACCACTTATGTCCCCACCAAGTAGGGAAGAAATTATGGCAACTTTGTTGGATCATGACCTTTCGGAGACTATTTACCAGGAACCATTTTGCAGTAATCCTTCTGATGTACCAGAAAAGCCCAGGTAATCAGTTATTTTTTCCCTTGGGTCACTCTGAATTACCATGATATATAAAATTATGCTATAGGGATTGAAAAAAAAAGAATATAATGTGTATATATGAAGAATATAACATTTGGTTACCTGATTACTAGTTTTCTGTGATACTGTATTTTTAAGTTTATCATTGTGGAAAGTATTTCTGATTACAGACTTACTAAGAAAATTCAAAAATTAACTGGATGGTTACACCTGGAGAAGTTTATGTAAGTTGACTTGGATCTACCATTATTTAACACTATGTCTTCATTAAAGATTAGAGGTGCCCACTCTAAAGATGTCATACTTTAAAAGGATTACAATGATCATTGTTTAAATGATATTTAATTTTTAAATGTTAAACTTTTATACCATTTTAAAAGAACTTCATTTTCAAGTGTTTTGAAAATGAGCATATATATATTTTAAGTATTCCTCTGATACATCTCTAAATGAAGATTATTTTAAGTTGTGTCTGTTATAAACCACTTTTCATGTGGTTTCAATATCTTGCATTATATTGTTATTATAGTTTATGCAGTTATTAGCAAATGGACTTTGGTTTCCATTCTCCTTTCTTTTAAGAATTTTTTCAGGTGGCCAGGTATGGTGGTATGCACTGTAATCCTGGCACTTTGGGAGGCTGAGGTGGGAGGATCGCTTGAGCCCAGGAGTTTGTGACCAGCCCAGGCAAAAAAGTGAGACTCTGTCTCTACAAAAAATTAGGCTGGGCACAGTGGTTCACGCCTGTAATCCCAGCACTTTGGGAGGCCGAGGTGGGCAGATCACCTGAGGTCAGGAGTTCAAGACCAGCCTAGCCAACATGGTGAAACCCTGTCGCTACTAAAAATACAAAAATTAGCTGGCCATGGTGGCAGGCGCCTGTAATCCCAACTACTCAGGAGGCTGAGACAGGAGAATCACTTAAACCCAGGAGGTGGAGGTTGCAGTGAGCCGAGATCACGCCACTGTACTTTGTTGCCTAGGCAACAAAGAGTGAAACTCCATCTCAAAAAAAAAAAAAAAAATTAGCTGGGCATGGTGGCATGCACCTGTGGTCCCAGCTACTCAGGAGGCTAAGGAAGGAGAATCACTGGAGCCCAGGATGTCAAGGCTGCAGTGAGCTGTGTTCACACCACTGCATTCCAGCTTGGGCAATAGAATGAGACTTTATCTCAAAAAAAAATCTCTTCAGGAAATTGATAGACAAATGTGAGCACACGCACACACGCAGCAAATAGCAAAATAGAAATCACAGTAGTGGTTTATTTATCTGTAGTTGAGTAATTGTGTACCACTTTCATCGCCAAGTTAGGACATAACAGATAAAAGCTAAATTGTGTAACGTGGCTTAATCCAGAAAGTTTGAATGATGGTTCTTGTTCCTGCCCCTGTGTCCATGATCTCATATACTTAACCAGTTGCAGAGCAGGCAGTTCATTTCAACCATCCATTCAGAAGCAGAAGAGGATGGCTGGAATTGCTAAGGCAGGCCCTGCCTTAGTCTAAATCTTGGAAAGAGATATGAAGAGCAGCAGAGGCCACACTGCATGTATGCACTGACCTGTGGCAGCACCATGTTCCTGACTCCAGTGGGAAAAAAAAAAAGAAAGATACAATATGAATATTACACATTTGTTGAAAGCCATAGAAAGTACCACACCAAGAACGAACCCAAATATAATCTGTGGACTTTGGGCAATTATGATGTGTCAGAATAGGTTCATTGATTGTAACACATGTACCACTCTGGTAGGAGATGGTGATAATGAGGGAGGGCATGTATGTGTGGGCACACAAGGAGTATATGGGAACCTCTGTACATTCCTTTCAATTTTGCTGTCAACCTAAAGCTGTTAAAATACCTTCAAAAAAATTTAAATTAAACACGACAGTGAATGCCAGGCTTTTACCCAGCAGATTCACAGTAATTCCTATAGGAATCCATTTAAAAAAGGGGTGAGAGTGTGAAATGATGGATATGTTAATTTGTTTCACGGTAAGAACCATTTTACTATATACTGTATCATATTTTATACTTTAAATATACATGATAAAAATTTATTTTTTAAATAAAGGGGTAAGAAAATGTTACCAGAAATGTAGAATAAAAGTTCTCTCCTGTAATGACTTGAAGTGAAGGGTAGAAATGTTCACCTCCCAGCACCTTTTCAACACAGTTTTGTTTAGTACCCACATGGAACTCTTTATTTCACTGCTGGGGCATATGAAGTCTATTCCTTAAACATTAGTTTCCATCATTTTGGGGACTTTGGTGTTATCAGTAGTGATTATGGTATATTTACTTTTAGTTACCAAACTTATGTGCTAGTCATTGTGTTGTTATTGTCCAACTTTGACACTTGTCCTACAGCTAAAATAAAAAATAATCATTTTTGAAAAATATTTTTTAAAATATGAAACTGTAGGCCGGGCACAGTGGCTCAGGCTTGTAATCCCAGCACTCTGGGAGACCAAGGCAGGCGGATCACGAGGTCAGGAGATCGAGACCATCCTGACCAACATGGTGAAACCCCGTCTCTACTAAAAGTGCAAAAATTAGCTGACCATGGTGGCATGTGCCTGTAATCCCTACTCAAGAGACTGAGGCAGGAGAATCACTTGAACCAGGGAGTCAGAGGTTGCAGTGAGCTAAGATCACGCTCCCACACTCCATCCTGGTGACAGTAAGACTCTGTCTCAAAAAAAAAAAGAAACTATATATTCAATATAGAAAATTTAGGTAGTATGAAAGAAGAAATAAAAATTACACCATTTTTCCATATAGTAACAGCCACCATAATATTTTGATGTGTTTTCTGTTTTCTTTAAAAGTATAGTTTTTAGTTTGTTTTGTTTTGTGAAGTGTGATCTTATTGTAGTCACAGTATTATCCACATTTTTCACTTAACATTATATTGTAAACATTTTCCAAATGAGTTTCTTGAATATTTTAATCGCTGCATATGTTGCATCATGTATATATTATTGGACAGAAAGATTGTTTGTGATTTTGCCACTATAGATAGTATGTATATTATTATGTATGTTAAGAAGATATTAGCATTTTCTTCTTAAAGCATTTCTTGTATTTTGGAGTTTGTCCTTATAGCCCTAGAAGTAGGATTACTGAAAAATGTAAGACTCTTGTTACATATTAGGAGATTTTTTTTCCTAGTGAATTATAGCAATTACCATGCTGCTGACAGTACGTAAGAAAACTGAATTCACCACACCTCACCATTTTTTATTCTTGACCTCATTATGACTTCTCTATTCTTAGTATTAGAGTTGGGTATGGTCACTTGGTATGTGTATTCATTTCCTTCAACAGCATTAATTCTGTTTCTGATTTGTCACATTGCCAAGAGTGGTTGCAGGGACAGTGCTGGATGCTGGTTATGGAGTTAACTAGTAGGGGCTAAAGTCTTTTCATATAAAGGAGACAGGGTAGCCCTAATGCTCTTCCTTCAGCTTCAGATCTGAAAACATGAATCTAGTTAGTGGAGTTTTATGTAGAGAATGATGGGGACATTTGGGGAATCACGCCCTAAGAGAAGTGATTGAAAAAACTTTGAATTATCTTTATATCCATAATAAAGTTAACATGAAGAAGTAGAATTATTTTATGTTGCTGTAGTAAGCAGAAATAGTATCAAGGGATTAGAGAAAGAGGTTTCACTTAATATTTATAGCTTTTGGAAATGAAACCAGACTGTTTTCATTAGTGATTTCCCACATGTTCATACATTGGTAACATTTAAGCCATGTATCCTGTGGGCTCTGCCAACTCCTAAGTTATGTCAATGTTAATCCCTACCATGGAATGGGAAGAAAGAATTAGATAATTTACCTCAGTTGGTATGTTTTTTTAATGTTTAAGGGATTTGAGAGTACGAAGATTCATTTGAATTGACTCGCTTTGCTAAACTACAAATACTGGAGAATATAGGAAGAAGCTATGAATAATATCCTGGGACATAGTATTTGAATGATAAATTACTTTATTGTTTTTATTCATATGTGGTAATAATGGAAAATTACTTTAAGATTAGGAGAGGAAAGGAATCTGAAAAGTTTGTTTCATCTCCTTGAAGGACAGAAAGCTTCATGGGGCATTAAAATAAAACAAAAAATACCTTCTCTCCCTAAGATTAATGGTACCTTCCAAAGGAAATTAAGTAGTCATATACCTGTGAGGAAAAGCATATTGAGACTAAAGATAGAGTGTACCTGCATAAAATAGAGGGGGCAGGGAAGATAGAAATGGACATTTTTGAGACTCCAAAAGGGACTTTATCTAGGATATGGAGTTAAATGTTTTAGTAACTGCTCTTTGAAAAAAAACAGTTGTTCTAAAATATGTTGTTTATAGGGAGATTGGTGGACGGCTCCTCATGGTAGAAACTCGACTTGCAAATGATCTGGCTGAGTTTGAGGGAGACTTTTCCTTGGAAGGACTTCGTCTTTGGAAAACAGCATTCTCAGCAATGACTCAGAATCCAAGGCCAGGGTCACCCCTTCGCAGTGGCCAAGGAGTTGTCAATAAAGGGTCAAGTAATAGCCCTAAGATGGTTGAAGATAAAAAAATTGTGATTATGCCTTGCAAATGTGCCCCAAGTCGACAACTGGTTCAAGTGTGGCTTCAAGCCAAAGAACAATATGAACGTTCCAAGAAACTGCCTAAAACCAAGCCAACTGGAGTTGTAAAATCTGCTGAGAACTTTAGCTCTTCAGTTAACCCAGTTGACAAACCTGTAGTGCCTCCAAAAATGGATGTAAGTCCACGTATACTCCCCACTACAGCACATACCAAGGAGGATGTTAATTCTCGGATTGCTTTACAAGCACCAACCACGGGATGTAGTCAAACTGCAAGTGAAAGTCAGCTGCTGCCACCAGTTGCCTCTTCAAGTGATCCTGAAAAAGATGAAGATGATGATAACTATTACATTAATTATAGCTCCCCTGATTCTCCTGTAATTCCCCCTTGGCAACAACCAGTATCCCCAGATTCCAAAGCATTAAATGGAGATGATAGACCCTCATCACCAGTAGAGGAGCTGCCTTCATTGGCTGTTGAGAACTTCTTAAAACCAATAAAAGATGGTATACAAAAAAGCCCCTGCAGTGAGCCTCAAGAGCCTCTAGTGATATCTCCAATTAATGCTAGGGCAAGAACTGAGAAATGTGAACCACTTTGCCTTCATAGTACACCAATCATACAGAGAAAACTTCTGGAAAGGCTTCCTGAAGCAACTGGCCTTAGCCCATTATCAACAGGTAAGTGTACACATAACAGGAAGTCTCCATAATTGTTCTTCAGAAATAGAAATGAAGATAACATTAGACTGAAATGAAAATCAGAGCTTTTTAAATGAAGGTATAGCTCAGCAAATATTTTTTGTCGTGTCTTAGAAAGTCGTCACATGACAACTCTCTTTCTGCTGTGTAATCTACTTATATTTGCTTCCATCCTGTTTTCCTTGTGGGTGAAATGCAGGAGCCTTCTCAAAAGGCTTATCTTCTCAACCTGACTTTCCTGTTGGCTTTTATACATACCCAGGTCTCCCACAATTTAAAACAGAAACAAGAAACCTGCCTTGACCTCACGTCTCCAGCCAGCTTCCACTCTTTCTCCTCCCCTTCAAATTTCTTAAAAGATTTATCTAATTTGACAACTCCAGTTATTTACCTCCTACTCATTTCTCAGCCCACTCTAAACTGAATTCTGCCCCTGTCATTCTACATTATAGCTCTTGTAAAGATTCCCAGCAAACTTATAGCTAAAACCAGTAGATGTTCCTGAGTCTTATCATATGTCCTCTAAGCAGCCATTTTCTCATTGACCCTACCTTCCTTCTTGGAGCTGCTTCTCCACTTGGCTTTCCTCCTACTTCTCTGTTTTTTCCCACTTGATTTTCTCATTATTCTCAGTTGTTATCTAAATGTTGGAGTTTATTAAGGCTTGATCTTAAGCCTTCTTTATATCTTTCTCTAAATGATCTAATTCCTGTCCTCAGGATTACTACAGATAACTTGCAAATTTATATTTCCAGTTCAGACCTCTCTTTTAAGCTCCAGAACACTATGTCCAACTACCTATCTGACATTTCCACTTGAATGCTAAATGGCACTTCAAGATTAGTATTTTAAAAACCAGTTCATGATCTCACTGCATACATTCACCACTACTTCCCCAACATACTTATGTATACATGCCTTCACATAAAAACCCATCTGGCCTTCTTTCAGTTTTCCTTATTTCAATGAATAGTGCCATCATCTCTCAGTTACACAAGTAAGAAACATAGAATTTATTTTTAATATTCACCTCATTCCCTCACTACCCACCTGGTAGTTTCTAGTCCCTATCCAAGCCTTATCACTTGTTTATCTCCTAAGTAAACCAGATCTATTTACTTTATTGTACTTCTTCCACCACAACTTTAGGCCATACTGTCATCATCTCTTGTCTGGGCTCCTGCACCAGCCATTTTATCTAAGTAATTTCCAATTCTTTTGCACAGTAATCAGGGAAAAATCCCCACTCTGTTCCTAGTTAATTACTACTCTCTTCAGATTTTACCTCCAGGAAACCTTCCCTAATCTCGACTACATAAAAATTCCCAATTATATTCCCCTTTGTTGTATTAATGCAGTTATAAATTTATTTTTCTAGTTTGATGAATGTCTGATTCTCTCTCTAGACCCCATGAGGGCACAGATTATGTCTTTTCTTCCTCATCATAGGTACTTGATAAGTAAGTGAATAAATGAATTAAACAGTTCTGTAGGTTAATGACTGAGGTATAAAACTCAGTAATTAAAATATAAACGTATTTAAAATACAAAATGTTAAAATGTTATTTTGGTGGGTATCAGAAGTTTGAATTTCATGTTTAAATTATGAAATTTTGGGGGGAATTCATAAGACAGCACCCACAAGTGGTACTTAAGTGTTTGGAACAACAAAAAATTTTAAAAACCAGAAGCAGTTAATTTTGATATACATGTTAAATATGAAATTTCTTTCTACAGAACCAAAAACACAGAAGTTGAGTAATAAGAAAGGAAGTAATACTGACACTCTTAGAAGAGTACTCTTAACACAAGCAAAGGTAACTATACTAAACATTTTTAAAGATCAGTGGAAGATCCAGTCTTATTCCTAGATTTCAGTTAGATAATTGATAACTATGTCTCAATTAAAAAATTTTTGTTACTTAAATTTTTGCATCATTATTTGCATATCTTTGAGACAACAAAAATTTGCCTTTTTTTAGTTTTTTTTTTTTTTTTTTTTTTTTTTTGCTGTTGGGATCTAAAAGATTCTTATATGTAAATACAAATATTACAGAGAAAGTGAATATGATAGCCAAAATGTGGATTATGAGGATACAAATACATTAACTGATTACTGGCAAAATCAGAACAATCCAATGACAGCAGAGCTCAAGTAAGTGATTTTTGATCCCACCAAAAATATATCCTTTTTCTTGGTTTATTACTTTTTTCTAAAATATAACCTTATTGATTTTTTAAAATTTATTTTACTAAGTAGCAAAAGAAAGCAACATTATTTACTACTGAAACTCTGGAAAGTCACAGATGTCTTTATTCAAATACTAAAAATATAACAAAACTTAGAATTATATGGTTATATGAAAGAAGTATACATTAGACATGCATCCTTGGAAATATACGCTAGAAATCACTTATATATTGGCCACTTCTTATAAATGTCATTAACTACATAAAATATATTTTAGTACTTCTTTGAGATTATAAAACTTTTTAAACTTTCATTTATAAAATAGTATTGAATTACAAGCTACATGTATTAAAAAATACTGTATCAGTGTGTCGTGAACATAACACTTTAGGGGAAACAGTTAATAGATTTAGAAATCAGAAAAAAAAATTTTGTGAGGAAAGGAAAGATGCCATTTTTTTCTGAATCTTTGAAGATTATTTACATTGTTTTATTTAATTCATCTTTCAGACACATGTTGTATTAGGGTAAAATGCAAATCAATATTTCAAATCTTTTTCAAACTTTAGCCAAAGTAGTTGGAAATATATTGATTGCTTGCTTGTCTTACTTTCAAGAAAGGTCAAGATAAATGTCCATGTGGTATAAATGTCAACTCCCTACAAAACTAGTATTTTCAGTATTGGGGGCTTCTGAACTGAGAGATAACATATGGTTTACTTATATTTCCACATACATCCAGTTCTGATATCTTTGTTAGCATGAAAATAACATTAATAAATACAGTTTCTCCTTGAATTTAGAGATGATATTAGTTTACCATTTATTACCAAACACATAAAGCGTATTATGTGGGAATAAGTAATCAAAAGAAAAATGATTGCTCACGTATCTTTTTCTGGCTCTGTGTGTGTGTGTGTGTGTTTTTTTATAGAATCAATTTGCAGCAGTAAATACCCCACAGAAAGAAACTTCTCAGATTGATGGACCATCTTTAAACAATACTTACGGTTTCAAAGTCAGCATACAAAACTTACAGGAGGCAAAAGCTTTACATGAGGTAAAACTGCAACAGTAAGGACACATACATTGTGTTCAATTTAACTCCTCTTTTATTCTATAAAACAAGTATGGAATTTTTTTAACGAGGAAGGAATATATTGAATTCTATCCTATTAATCTTCATCTTGTTCTCATTTTCTTACTATTTTGTATATTTACATGTTTATGTACAATAGAGAAACTTAAAGAATTTAAGTTGCTGAGACTGCTTTGTGATTTCATATCTTTTACAAATCTCATAACTGAAATTCAGCTTATGGAATATTAAAATAAGAAAAGATTTTTGGGAGGAGAAGGTGGGACGATCCCTTGAGTCGAGGAGTTTAAGACTATCCTGGGCCACGTAGGAAGACCCTGTCTCTACCAAAAAATAAAAATAAAATTAGACACGCACCTAGAGTCTCAGCTATTTGGGAGGCTGAGGTGGGAGGATCACTTGACCCTGGGAGTTCGAGGCTGCAGTGAGCTATGATTGCGCCACTACACTCCAGCCCAGGCTACAGACAGAGCAAGACTCTGTCTCTTTGGGGAGAAACAAAAAAAGACTGTATTTTGGGGATTATTATATTAAGATGTTATATCACATCTGAAATGTGATATTAACTTGTATTTTCTGTTTGACTGGCTCAGTGGATTAGAGCTTGCTACAAAAGAGGATAAATTCTTTCATTCGCATACTCTCTATATAACCCAGCTATCTTCACAGCACAGGCTGTCTGCCAAAGACTAGGACTTTGCAAAAATATACGTCAGCCACAGTATGCATTGGAAAGAATATGTGAATGGGTCACTGTAAATTTATTTGTATGCAGAAAACAAACTCAAAGCACATATCTGACTGGCAGTAAGGTAGAAATCGGAGTATATTTTCATTGTTTACACCTGTGCTGTCATATGGTAGCCGCTACCAGCATGGATATTGAGAACTTAAAATTTGGCTTATACAACTGAAGAACTGAATTTTAAACTTTATTTAATTTTAATTTAGATTTTAAAACATAGTTGACTCAAAGTATGTTTGGAACAACTTAGGTATGTAATACTATTTTTTACTCTAAGTTTTATGAAATTAAGTATAGATCAAGTATTTCTGTAGAAAATTTACCATGCACAGTGAGATGCTAGAAGGATAAAATACATACTGATTTCAAAGACTTCATGGAAAGAATAAAATATTTTATTAGTAATTTTTATGTTGATTATATGTTGAAAGAATATTTTAAATATATTGGATCAAAGTGTTTTTAAATTAATTTAACCTATTTTTATTTTTTGAAATATGACTACTAGAAAACTTTAAGTTACATGTGACTTTCATTATATTTCTGTTGGACAGTGCTAGTTTTATACAGTCATTTTATGTCTTTGCTCTTAAAGCAGAGGATTAGTAACCACCTTTAAGTTATAATTCAGTTTTTAAGTGTAGTTTTTTTTCTCAAGTCAATTCGGTTGTAAACTGTTCTAGGGGTTAGATTAACATAAACAGGGAAATTTTTTTTTTTTTTTTGAGGCGGAGTCTCGCTCTGTCCTCCAGGCTGGAGTGCAAGCTCCGCCTCCCAGGCTCACTCCATTCTCCTGCCTCAGCCTCCCAAGTAGCTGGGACTACAGGCACATGCCACCACGCCCGGCTAATTTTTTGTATTTTTAGTAGAGATGGAGTCTCACCATGTTAGCCAGGATGGTCTCGATCTCCTGACCTCGTGATCCACCCACCTCGGCCTCCCAAAGTGCTGGGACTATAAGCGTGAGCCACCGCGCCTGGCCTGAGGGAAAAATTTTAATATTGTCTTCCTTTTTTCTTCAAATTTGAACTGAAAATTATGTTTTTTTAGAATTAGGTCGGAACATAGTCTCTCATTTATTCATTTGCACATTTTTCTCATTCAACAACATCCATACATTTTCTGTTTTATACCTATGTCTATACTGGCCCCTGAAGCCTACATAAATTCAGTGATAAATTCAGTAATACATACCATCAAATGCACACTTGAGATTAGCAAATTTTTTTAAACTATTAAAAATATGTATTAAAGCAAATTTGATAGACTATAGCAAAAAGATATGTTACATTTGATTATTCTCTTATTTGAAAAGTATACTTTTCTGCATTTTCCTAGGTAACCCTGTTTCAGAACCAGGGGCCCTTTGGAAGTTAAAATCACTCAGGAGGTCTCACTAGTTGCTCTGACAGCTTCTTCCTCCAGTTAACAGGCTTTCCTCATCTCAAGGCACATTCCGAACTGCCGCCCGGTGGTTGAAACAGGAATAAACCAAAGAAAAACTCAACACTGTTCTCTTCCTTTCTCTAGGAAATTGTGCTTGTGGCATTTTCTTCCTGTTTCCATTACCCTAGGATAATCTCTCTTTCTTCTCACGTCAACACTCAGTGCAGAAGACAAGGGTTGTAATCTTTGTCCCCCTTTCTCACCTCCCTCTTGCCTAGTCACACTCACTAAATCTCTCAAGCCATGTCTTTATATAGTTTGCTTTTAAAAAGTACTCCCTAAGCACAGTAATGCATTTTGTTATCAAGGAATAGAAATGCAAATTTTGAGTGTGAAAATTTGATCTAGTAAACAAAAATCAACCTCTAAGACCATTTTAACCTAAAATTGTTTTCAGAGTCTTTATGTCTTTTCAGATGTTCATCCTTTTCTCTTTTTTTTTTTTTTTTGGTTGTTTGTTTGTTTGAAACATAGTCTCACTCTGTCACCCAGGCTGGAATGCAATGGCACGATCTCAGCTCACTTCAACCTCCACCTCCCAGGTTCAAGCAGTTCTCCTGCCTCAGCCTCCCTAGTAGCTGGGATTACAGGCATGTGTCACCACACCCGGCTAATTTTTGTATTTAGTGGAGACCGGGTTTCGCCACATTGGCCAGGCTGGCCTCAAACTTCTGACCTCAGGTGATCCACCTGCCTCAGCCTCCCAAAGTGCTGGGATTACAGGCATAAGCCACCGTGCCCGGCCTCATATGTTCATCCCTTTCTGATGAAACTGGTTGTTTTGTTTTATTTGGGTTTGTGGGAGGAGTTTTCCATTTAAAAATTTTTTATTTACTAAATTAATGCATGCTTATTGTTAAAATTAAATTCTGAAGAGTATGCATTTAAAAGTAAAAGTTTTTTCACTTAGCTCTCCATTTCATGTGGTTTGATTTTTTTTAATCCTAATATTTTAAAGTAGAAACAGCAGTATATGTTTCTGAGGAAAGTGGTAGTTTTGTATTTGTTTTATTATTATGCCTTATACATGCATAATTGATGTACTTTTTATTTTTAAAAGTATTTAGTGGCCAGTTACAGTGGCTCACACCGGTAATCCTAGCACTTTGGGAGGTCGAGACAGGAGGATTGCTTGAAGCCAGGAGTTCGAGACCAGCCTGAGCAACAAGGCCCCATCTCTACAGAAAGTTTTATAAATAGCCGGGCATGGTGATATGTACCTAGAGTCCCAGCTAGTAGGGAAACTGAAGTGAGTGGATCACTTGAGCCCAGGAGTTCAGGGCTGCAGTGAGCTATGATCACACCACTGCATTCCAGCCTGGGCAACAGAGAGAGACCCTGTCTCAAAAAAAAAAAAAAAAAAAAAAAAAAAAACTTTAACAAATTTACTAATGAGCATGTGCAATGGTACGTACCAAAAATACTCAATCAGGACAAAAAAATTTGCAATGAAAAGTAAGCTTCCCTCCTACTTCTCCTACTTTAGGCTAGCAATTTCTTTCCCCCAAAGCAATAAGTATGTCTACATTTTTATGTCACTTTTCAGAAATTTTCTATGAATGTGCTTCCATTTTTTCATGTATAGAAGTTTGCTATATATACTGGTTCCATTTATCAGTGTATTATAATTTCTTTTTATATTAGGACGTATAGATCTGCCTCATTCCCTTGAAAATTTTAAAGGTTACAGAATATTCCATTGTATGTATCCTTTATGGATACCACATAATTTGTGTAACCTGTCCCCAACAGGTAAACTTTAGTTTTTTTCCGGTCTTTGCTATTATATTCTTGAGTAAACATCCTTGTGCGTATATTTTGTCTACATGTATATCTATCTCTAGGATAAATTTTCAGGGATAGGATTGCCACATCAATGAATTTTAATTTTCATAGAGATTTACCAAATTCTACTCCTGTCGCTAGTGAGAGACTTGAATTTACGTTTCTTCAACAGTTTGCATGCAAGATAAATACAAAACACAAATCCTTTGTTAAATTTATATGATCTGAATAATTACCAATATTGTAACAGTAATCTATTTTCCATTGCCGGGTACATGTACATGATAAAAAGATGAAGTATAATTCTATCTGTAATCATGAATTTAACCTATATTTTGTTTTTCTTACTCTGTATTGATTTTAGAAAGAAAACTAAGAATTACAGTTAAAAGTTTCTATTGGCACAGAAAAATAAACATGAAAAGCAAATATTAACATTTTTTGCATTATATGTTAAAGAGAAAATGTGCATGGGTAAAAATCTGGCTGTTGTGTAGTTGATACCATAACAGTTCTTTTTTTTTTTTTTCCAGGAAAAACTATAATTAAAAGTCTACCTAGTGTATGCAAAAGTCTTAAGTAGCCCTGAAGTAGTAGTGAATTAATTGGTAGGAAATTTAAATTTTAAAAAAGTTCTCTTTTTACTTTAAACTACAGGTAAAACCGTATAGTTTAGCTACTTACATGAAGAGTAAAACGTGACAGACTTTGGTTTCAATGTATAACCACTTGGACTAGTCATTCTCTTTCTCAAACAAGAATTGAGAGATCCTGCATATATTTGAGAAAAATAGTCTAAATACTGTCATTGAGAAATTATGGCAAGAGCAGATTTTCTGAAATAACATCATGAATTGATTTAATCTAATCTTGGGAGTAAAAATCTTTTGTTTTAATCTGTGGAGTGCTGAGTTGTGACTTTGTCCTTTATTTTTCTGTAATCTTACATACATATTTCTCTAGAGCCTTAGTGAAACATACTTCTTTGAGCATGTCTTTAAAAAATGTTTTAAAAACATAATATTTATTTGCTTTTATAGATACAAAATCTTACCCTAATCAGTGTGGAGTTGCATGCTCGAACCAGACGAGACTTAGAACCGGATCCTGAATTTGACCCAATCTGTGCTCTGTTTTACTGCATCTCATCTGATGCTCCACTGCCAGATACAGAAAAAACAGAACTCACGGGTGTAATAGTGATTGATAAAGACAAGACAGTTTTCAGTCAAGGTATTGTCTGTTTTTATTAATGATATACGTGCCCACTCTAGGAGGAACCTTTTAATGAGGAATTCCTATGCTGAAGATCCAATCTAAGCAAGCCTGAGGACTCTTCTCTAAAATGTTTGCTGAGATAGGAATAGGAGATTGTGTATAACTTTGTCCTAGATGTATTATTCTTACTTGAATTAGTCAGAAGCAGCCAGGCACAGTGGTGCCTGCCTATAGTCCCAGCTACCTGGGAGGCTGGGCAACAGGATAGCTCGAGCCCAGGAGTTTGGGGCTGTAGTGCACTGTGATTGTGCCTGTAAATAGACACTACACTCTAGCCTGGGTAACATAGCAAGACCCCATTTATTTATTTATTTTTAAGTCAGAAGCAGTGCAATATAAAGATCTCAATATTTATAATTAACATATAATTTGTTCTAGGTATTATTTTATAAAAATAATTATTACTGATACAGAGTCCACATTATTATGTATCCCTAGATTAGGTGCACAGTCTTCCTTATGTATGCATATGCAAGTATTTTCTTGCTGATAAGAGAGTTTATCTTACTACTATAAGTTAATGGTTCATAAGATACTTTTAAGATGTATTCTTACTTTGCTTATATCTCTTTATCTTTCTTTCTAAGTACATATACTTTTGGTTCAGAGGTTCTTCATACAGAATACCATGTAAGGCATTTTATAAAATACCTACTGTCCCTCTGCAGCTTTCAGTGGTCACCATTCCAAGTGAATTCAGTCCACTGAGGAGGAAGTCTTAGCACAGAATACAACCATATTAAGAATTTGCAATTTATTCAGTGATGTGCTTGAGCTGACACATACCAGCTCACAGCCAGTTCTTGGATTTTCATGAATTTTTCAAACTAGTTGCTGTCGCTTTGGCAGTTGGAAATCAGCCATAGGGTCGGGGAGGGGTCCTTACATCATGAAATAGGCCAGCACTACAAATTAAGGCTTTCTTTTTTTTCCTACAGAGGTGGTGGTTAAACATTTTCATCTTACCAGAGATTAAAATGTCCTATGCTAAGCAAAGCTCTCCTGCTAGGAAGAGTAAAGACAGAAACTAAGTAATACAGGTTCTTCACAAGTGATATGTTCTTTTCTTTTCTTTTCTTTTCTTTCCTTTTCTTTTCTTTTCTTTTCTTTTCTTTTCTTTTTTTGAGATGGAGTCTTGCTCTGTTGCCCAGGTTGGAGTGCAGTGGCGTGATCTCAGCTCACTATAAGCTCCGCCTCATGGGTTCATGCCATTCTCCAGGTTCATGCTGTTCTCCTGCCTCAGCCTCCCAAGTAGCTGACTACAGGCGCCTACCACCACGCCCGGCTAATTTTTGTATTTTTTAGTAGAGACGGGGTTTCGCCATGTTAACCAGGATGGTCTTGATCTCCTGACCTCGTGATCTGCTCGCCTCAGCCTCCCAAAGTGCTGGGATTACAGGCTTGAGCCACTGTGCCCAGCCAGTGATATGTCATTTTCTAGGAAATTTTGTGAATGCAGTCTTTTCAGGAGAATAGCTGAAAATATAAAATTTGAATTTTCAGTTGTATATGAAACTAAAAAATCTTTTGAGAGTGTTTTAAAGACATTGGGTTAATTATGTTTTTACTTGGTGGGATGTTTTCTTAATTTGAAATATTTCAGTAGTATAATTTTACTTAAAAGTAAGGGATAATATTACTTTTATATTATGAAGGTATATTATTACATAATGTTATATATAATAGACATTTTGTTTATTTTTTAGATATCAGATATCAGACTCCATTACTTATTAGATCTGGAATTACAGGACTCGAAGTCACCTATGCTGCTGATGAGAAGGCACTTTTTCATGAAATTGCAGATATAATAAAGAGGTATTATTTTGTATTATCCGATTTTTCCAGTTTTTATTCAGAGAGTCGTTTCATGCTATTGCAGATAATAGTGAAGACAAAAGTGAAGGTAGGAAGAAAACGAATCCCTTCCTATGGCCCTTGAAAGCAGAGTTACTCTTGGAAAAATTTTATATTCACTTCCCACCACCATCACTATTTTCATCAGAAAAGACAGGAAAAGCAGTGTTCTGTTCTCAAGATTGAGGGGCCAGTGAAAGACAAATATTTGTTTAGCCTCTAACTTCCCAGGTGTTCTTGAGGTTTGTTTTTCTATGGTGCTGAAATAATGGAGAACTGTATAAAGTTCCATTGTATTATTCATTAACTAGGTTTCTACCTTGGGAGCCAGCCACCATTTCAGTACCTTTTTTGTTTTGTTTTGTTTTGTTTTTCTTTTTTAAAGTTTTCTGAGTTCTAAACAAGCCAATATTTTCAAAAAACTTTGGGATGCATTCTGCGTATAAATTTATCTGTTAATAAATGTTGAACTGTCTATTACATACTCTTGTGCACAGAGCTCCTTAAAAAATCTTCTTTTGACCATTTGGTACTTGGTCCTCAGATTGATAGTAGAATCTTGTCCAAGTTTATGAAAAAAAAATTTTAACAAAAAAATTTTAATTTAAAAATAAAATCATTAAGTGGATCATTTGCATTTTCTCAAGAGTGTAACTCTTGGTAGCCATAGACTCTGTTATTAAATGCTTCACTTTGTAGAAACTTAAGGATTCTGCCCATTGCTAGGTTTAGGTTTTTAGATGTCTAAAGCAAGATAGAAAACACCCTTTGGATCCTGATGTACAGATAAAAGCTGTCCATGAGCATGTTGTTATACTCACCCTTTTTTGTTTTGCTTATATAGTTGAACTTTATCCTATAAAAACTAAATCAGTATTCTACACGAAAGATAAAGATGATATTCTGCAGACTTGTCATCAGATTGATTCCCAGATGAGTTAACATAAACCATTCTGAGAATTAGAAAACTAAAACGTGTTTTCTACAAAACAAAATTAAATGACAGAGCATCAAAAATAGTATACTACTACCCATGACTATGAAGGAAAAAAGAGTAAAGTATTTTTACTATTTATAGCACTGGTGACTAGATAGAGTCCCATCTATTTGAGTTTCGTCATTGTCAGTCCTACCTTTTATCTTCTCACAGAGGTTGTCATCAACATGTCAGATGTTTTCAGTATCCACACTTCTTTTATTTCTGCAAGCAACTCAGAAAAAGAAATATGTAAGAGTTTCAGTCAATACTATTTTGTGTACCAGCACATGTCCAGTAACATCCCTGGACTTGTATGCTTGCCTTTTCCTTGTTAGGTATATTCCCAACGATAGGATTACCTACCAGCATCAAGAAATGTGTCAGTCATTTGCAAGTACAACTTTCTTAAATGTCCATAAAATGAAATGTACTAGTAATTAAGGAAAAAGGGGTAAACAATACTGTCATAAAAAGGAAAATGTTTAAATGTCAACTTTTCAATTCTATAGTGTTCTTTATATATTAGTCCAAGCAACCCTGCAAAAAGATTGATTATTTCATTCTTTCACCCTGTTTGTTGTGTACTTACTCAACACAGCCTTTGGAGTCAGCCAGCCCTGTGTTTCTGTCTTGAATAAGTTGCTTAACTCTCTCAACTTTGTTTTCCTAATCTGTAAGATGGGTAGATAATGCACATAAAACTCTTAAACTCATGTCTGGTACATAGTGAGTACATAAATGTTAACTGTGTGTAAGGGGCAGTGCTAGGTATACTATAAAAATGAATAAAATATATCTTTATTTTTCCGTTTTTAATACTTTCTCAAGTGGCAAACACAAAAAGTAATATAAAGTGATATTAAACAAGCAAAACTTAATCTATAATCTTGTCACAATCGTTTTCCTCTTTCTGTGTTTCCTTGGACTATTTACTTTGCCCGGTCTCCCTAACTTAAATATAAACTATGATTCTTCCCTTTTCCTCTTCCCTAAATACTGTTACATTTATTTTACATCATATCCATTTAACCTCAGAATTCTTTTTCAAGATGATTCCTTCCCCTCCGTGACTCTTACCTCTACTGGAGTACCCTTATCTATCATGTGTGTAGATGGTAGTGAGTTGCTTAAAATACTGTGAGGCATCTTTTTTCTACCTAAGCAAATAAAACCGTTTTCCTATTTCTTCTGCTTCTGTTTTATCCACAGTTTTGGGTTGTTTTCACCACTAATCCCAACTACCCAACCTTGTTCTTTCTGTAACTTTCAGAAACCTGATAGAATGAATAAAACCCACTAGAAATTGAAGAACAAGTCATCAAGACCTTGTTATTGACTCCAAATGTTTTTAGAGAATAAAAATGGAATCCTTTGGCTTTTGAACTTGAAAACAGGTGTTTTATCAGCTTTAAAAGAGTCTCAAGACTAAACAGCCTCCAGGTCAAAAAATAAATATATGTAATATATCTGAAAAATATGCCTAAAACAACTTTACAATTCTTCCAAAGGGACAAAATCTGTGAAATAAATCTAAGAAGAGAAGCACAGGCTAACTTTTTTCAGCAGTCATTTCTGAGCTGTAGCAGTTTATAAAAATAGACAACTTTTTAATTGCAACAGTTATTTTCAATGCATTATTTTTTGAAAAAAAGTGTACTTAGCTCCATTAGTTGCCACAACAGAACAAATAGCTGACTGGAATAAGTTCTTGCAATAACAAGATGTTGCATAAATGAGAACGATTCAGATGAAGAAATTAGAAGAACTGTCTTTATAAGGTTTAAAGCAGAAGGGCTGTGTAATCATCTGGCATCCTCTTCATGTTGTAACTGTGTGACTATGTGATATATAACTGTGTGATGTGTGATAGGTAACTATGTGATAGGCACTCCAGGAATCTTCCAAATTATTAAGATCAAGGTCAACTGTGACCACATTGTAATGCCTGTTCTGAGCCAGTCTGAGTACTTAGCAGACAACTGTGTGGGTTCTGTTGTGTGCATATGAGAATTCTTCAAGTCTGCGACCCCTGGTGATCCTTAGAGCCACTTGATACTTCTGCCCCAATTCTCAAATGTAGCCATTCATTACACAGTTAGTTTTAAAGGGAGACACACTGGACAAGTAGATAGTCTATCTTTGTACTAAGAAGAGTTTAATGAAAGAGATGAAGGCAGTATCAAAGAGTTGGTTAAGGGTTTGGGTGTTATGTTGGAAGACTAAACAGAAAGAGTATTGGGATATTTCTCCTTCCTTGAGTGCCCTGGGATCTTTCTGGATATTCATGCCATTGTTGCTTATTGCCTTGCTTCAATAGCTGTTTATTAAATTAAGCCATTTTCTCAGAAATGTCAATCCTATTTATGTAGAGAAAAGCACATAAGTAATATGTTTAATATCTTTTTCTCCTAACAAGCTTGAAGGCTGCTCAGCAAGTCTGTGGATAACAGTGGATCATGAACAGATCACCAGAAAATTAAAATTTTTACTACAGAATGTACTTTCATAGGGCCTTTAGGGAATAGGAAATTTGCAAGTATGCTGTTGCAGAAGTTTGAACCTAGTTATTTTGACATCAGCTACTTAAATACTCCAGAATTAAAAATCAGAATACATTTATTGTGACATTCCAATTTTTATTGACTAGGTAAAAACGAAAGCCATTCAATACCCATTTTTAGAAGACAGCTATGGAATTATGATAAAACATTAACATATTGGTTCTAAAAGCAGATCTGATGATCTGGTCATGATCCATTGTTATGCCAGACTTGTAGAGTAGCCATAGATAGCTTATATCAGTAAATTAATGTAGTCTAATACTGTAGACATTGGCTGAGGCTTAGGGTATTAAATGCTTTAAATTGGACAGGCTACACATCTCACAATTTAGTGTTTCATGAGTAGTGTAAAACTCAACGATTTCAATTTCTGTGATATTTCACTTGGCCTTTTGGCATTTATAAAGAACAAGATAATGCTACTAATTGATAGAGCTACTTACTGTAGTTTTTGCTCTCAAAACTTATAATTAGTTCCTCTCTCCCCCACACAATTTTCCACTCAAGATAAATTTTCATATTTATAACTAAACATTTCTCTGTGGTGGTCACAACATGGAGGTTCTAAGAGGAGCCACAAAGAGGCTCCTTCTGGATTAGACACAGGTTGTCGGTTCAGTTTTGCCAGTGCAGCTCTGACCACAAGGAGCACATTTTTCTTCTAGATTCTGATGTTTACCTTCCCCACCTTAATCCCACCTCTATTAATATTTCGTTCTTCCATTAAGTTGAATCACCATCCTTTTAAATTTAAAGGACAAACTTGTCATTACTTAGGCCTTATTCTGTATGAGAACCAAGTCATTACTAAAATTAAGTGAGAAAAAGAAGGCATTTTCATTTTTTTTTCTCAGCATTAAAACTGTTTAAGGGCAGTATAGATTACAAGGGTAGATAAGTGACAACAGGAATGACCTAGGGATCTTTTTCAAAATACCATACCCACATGCACCCTCACACTTCACCTTCCCCTGCCCACATTATATTCTCACTTGTACCTTTACTCATATACTTCAGTGGTAATGGCCTGCCTTCCACCCAAATTTCCATCAGCCTCTTTTCCCACTTGTATCAAACAAATACACAGTCTAAGTAAAAACTCTGCTTACTTTACAAAAGTAGCGTCAAATTGCCTATAATCCCAGCACTTTGGGAGGCTGAGGCAGGCAGATCACTGGAGGTCAGGAATTTGAGACCAACCTGACCAACGTGGTGAAACCTCGGCTCTACTAAAAATACAAAAAATTAGCTGGACTTGGTGTGGGGCACCTGTAATCCCAGCTGCTTAGGAAGCTGAGGCAGGAGAATCGTTTGAACCTGGGAAGCAGAGGTTGCAGTGAGCTAACATCATGCCACTGCAATCCAGCCTGGACAGCAGAGTGAGACTCCATCTCAAAAAAATAAAAGAAAGAAACAAAGTAGCTTCAAATCAAGTACTCTTAACCTTCCATCTCTTCCTGTATAAAAACTCTGTAGGTACCACTGTATCATCCCTTCTCAATCTGGGAACCATTAGAGAACACAGGTTTTTATTTTCATACCTTACATCATGAAGAAACAATTACTCTGGTTAAAGGTTCAAATGTATGGTATTTACATAACTTTTTAATTCCTGTTTTAGGTATGATCCTGATATTCTGCTAGGATATGAGATTCAGATGCATTCCTGGGGTTACCTCTTACAAAGGGCTGCCGCTTTAAGTGTTGACTTATGTCAGATGATCTCTCGGGTGCCAGGTATGTATCATTGTGAATGTTTTGTCATTCAACTACAGAGCAAATTATAAAGGAAATAAAGACAAAATGTTAAAGGGTACTTAGGTTCTAGCCCAATTTTTTAGTATTAAGTTGTGTAAGTTTTAGATACAGCATAACTCTATTGCAGAAAAAATTAAAAATAAAATAAAAATATTCTAGTCTCACTGCTATATATACTGTTAGTATAGTTGTTGAGTTTTTTCCTTTCAGTCACTTTTCATATACGTATCTAGTGGTTTTTAAATAATCATACCATATATTCCATTTTTATTCTTCCTTCATCTAGTGTCTTACCACACATATTTTTCTGCATTATGAAATAGTCTTCATAATTATTATGAAGCTACATAGCATTTCTTTGACTTGTACCATAATTTTATTGTGTGCCTGGCTCTGTTTTTTTTTAATTCATTTTGTTGGTGAAGAAGGGCAGGATGGGTTGAGGAACACTAATAGTTAACTAATCATTGATTTTTATTTGGATATCAGGCTAAAAATATTGCAGAAATTTTGAAACCCATTCCCCAAAGTTTGATTCTGACTGGAAAAGGGAGTAATAATATTCATACCAAAATTATTTGTAGTTTATAATGCATTTTTTAAAACTAGATTTTCTTTATAAACATGGGATTTTTAATAAATTTGTTCCCAAGGGTTCCCACAAGTCTAACTAAAACAAAGTAGTGTATACTTGGGAAAAGTTAAAGCTGGAAGATTCCAGGACAGTAAAGTTTTTTAACTTTGCAAAAAATTGGAATAAAAAGATCAGGTGCAGTGGCTCACACCTGTAATCCCAACACTTTGGGAGCCCAAGATGGGAGACTTGCTTGAGCCCTGGAGTTCAAAAGTAGCCCAGGTAACAAAGTGAGACCCCATTTCTACCAAAAAAAAAAAAAAAAAAAAAAAAGGGTGTGATAGCATGTGCCTGTAGTCCCAGCTACTCAGGAGACTGAGGTGAGGCAATCGCTTCAGCCCAGGAGTTCAAGGCTGCAGTGAGCTATGATCGCACCACTGCACCCAAGCTTGGGCAATAGAACAAGACAAAAAGGGAGCAGGGGACAGAGATGCTTTAAGTTTAGCTTTTCATTGCATGAATTTTTGTGTAGCTTGTGTGTCCTTTGCATGGTAGGAATAGTGGTGTATCTTTTTTTTTCAACATCTTTTTTTGGGATAGGTTTTAAATATCCTTGCCTCAATTTATTCATCTGTAATATAGGGACAATAGAACTTATTTCATAGGGTGATTGTGAGGAACTTAAAACAGTACCAGAGTATATGTTATATTGTTTGCTAAATGAAAAACAAACTTTTAAACATTATCTCTTTAAAATAAAGAGAATTGGGTGGTTGTACATGGTCTTTTGATTCAGGTAATCCTAGTTTAGAATACTAGTTTTCTTACTGTAAGATCTTGGGCAAGATATAACATTTCTGAGTAGAATTTTCTGTAATACAAAATGAAAATTTTACTAACTTTTTAAGTGGTTGTGTTAAAGGAAGTAATGTTTGTATTAAAATAAATGATGTTGGCAAAATTCTTAGAACATAATAAATATTCAATATGGTAAATATTTTTATTACTCTGGAACCTTTAATCATCAACATTCACATACACCTAGTGTTATATAGGAGAGACACATTTTAATTTATATTCTAGGTAAAATTCACCTCCTAAGAAACTAGACTCAGAACTCTATTTGCTATGAGGAACTCTGCATCTAGTTCTCCATATGCCTTCTTCTAGTTCTCCATAGGCATTCAAGAGAATTTCATCCTGAATATGAACATGATGTCAACAAATTTTCAGAGAATAATTTAAGTTAAAAATTGAACTGATTTTTTCTCCAAGAAATTACCAGATTAACTATGGACCTTTCTCATGCTAAAACCAAGCAAATGTTAGCATTAGGTGTTTATAAAGGTAGCGTCAGGCAAGGCATGATGCACCTGTAGTCCCAGCTGTTCGAGCAGCTGAGGCAGGTGGATTGCTTGTGGCCAGGAGTTTGAGGCTGCAGTGTGCTATGATTGCACCTGTGGCTAGCCACTGCACTCAACCTGGCAACATAGTGAGTTGTCTTTTTTAAAAAACGAAGAAAAAAGGTAGTGCCAAAAATTACTAAATTTAAAGAAAAAAGTGTTTGTTATTTAAATATAGAAAGAAGGAGGGAGGGAGAGACTTCAGGTAAACAAAATTTTTTCATACATTGTGAATTATATTTCATCTTTAATATTCATCCTTAATGTTTATTCTCATTTTCCTTGGCATAATTTTATTGAAAGTTGTTTTCTGTGAGCCCTGATACAATCTGTTTTCATTTCTATAGATGACAAAATTGAGAACAGATTTGCAGCTGAAAGAGATGAGTATGGATCATATACAATGAGTGAGATAAATATTGTTGGCCGAATTACACTAAATCTTTGGAGGATCATGAGAAATGAGGTAGGTGATTTATCCAAAATGTTGTTTGGAAATAAGATATTCGGTCAATATAATGATTTAATCATTATAGAGTATTAGTAAGATTTACTATATAGCTTATGCGTTTGTCAATTACTATTATACTTAAGTAGAGTTAAAGTAGTACTTTCTAAAATGCAAAACTACAGAGGTATTAGACTTTAATGTTTCAGGTGAGTTTTATTTTTTTTTTTCTTTGTGTCTGAGGTAGCAATAATTAGAAAGGTCTAAACTATAATAAAATATTGGGGCCAGGCACGGTGCTCACACCTGTAATCTCAGCACTTTGGGAGGCCCAGGCAGGGGCATCCCTTGAGCCCAGGAGTTCCAGACCAGCCTGAGCAATATGGCAAGACCCTGTCTCTACAAATAATAGCTAAAAAAATTAGCTGGATGTGGATGCACATGCCTATGGTCCCAGCTACTTGGGAGGCTGAGGTGGGAGAACCATTTGAGCTCACGCAGCTAAGGTTGCAGTGAGCCGTGATCATGCCACTGCACTCAAGTCTGGGTGACAGAGCGAGACCCTGTCTCAAAATAAAATAAAATATTGTGTTGTACACGTTGAATATTGTCTAATTTCACCGTTTTGGTTTTTTTTTTCACTTAAATCATTTTTGCATCTAAAGCCGGATGAATTCAGCTTGGCCTCGTTGATTTATTATAGTAAGAAAAATTTAGTCAAGAAATAGGAAGGAGCTTCTCGAACTATATTTAAATACTGGGTCAGATTAATAAGATAAATTAAAGAGACAGTACTTTGAAATAGTTAATAATTAAGGCTTTGGGGGCTCAGATAAGGATTTTTAGTGGAGTAATTTATTAGACAATGAACTATCACATTAATTTGCATTCACTTAAAAAAGGAATTATTTCACACAAAAAAAGTAAGATCATGGAATTTTCCTGGATAATATTTGCATCCTTGAAGTTACCCAATTTCTCTTATTTGAAATGTAAAAAAGCCATACATGGTGGCTCACACCTGTAATCCCAACTCTTTGGGAGGCCAAGGCAGGAGGGGTTAGCTTGAGGCCAGGAGTTCAATCAAGACCATCCTGGGTAACATAGCGAGACCTTGTCTCTATTAAAAATAAAAAATAAACAGTTAGGTTGGGCATGGTGGCTCATACCTGTAATCCTAGCACTTTGGGAGGCCAAGTAGGGTGGATCGCTTGAGCCCAGGATTTGAGACTAGGCTGGGCAACACAGCAAAACCCTATCTTTACCAAAAAATACAAGTTAGCCATGTATGGTAGCATGTGCCTAGTGTGTAGCCAGGCAACAGCTACTTGGAAGGCTGAGGTGGGAGGATCACTTGATCCTGAGAGCCAGTGGCACACACATATAGTCCCAGCTTATCAGGAGACTCAGCCAGGAGGACCTTTTGAGGCCAGGAATTCAAGGCTGCAGTGCACTGTAATATTATACCTCAGAGGCAGCGTTGCAGTGAACTGAGATTACACCACCACACTTCAGCCTGGGCGACAGAGCTAGAGCCTATCTCAAAAAAGAAAACAGAAACAAAGATACCTAGTATAAATTGGTCTATTCTTAGACTTTGGACTTTGGATAGTATCAACTAAAATGTTTATATTTCAAAGAAAGCTAATTCTACAATTGCTTCTGCTCTTTGAAATTACTTTCTCATTAGACATTTTCTATTATATACTTATTATTCACTATTGTCTTCTTAGCTCTTTGGATTTATATAAAACATTTGACTTTCTAAGCTGCCATATGCAATATACAACATGACTCTGCTTGAGAATAATTTTATCTTGTTGTGTTGTTCTTAAAGTAATAAGAGTGTAAGTCCCCAATGATTTAAAGTAATTTCTAGTGATACAGCACAGGATATAGGAGATACAGAGATTGTAATGTATTCGGTGTGTATATTTCATATTTTATATATATACATATATATATATATATTTTTTTTAATTTGATTTGTTTTTGAGATGGAGTCTCGCTCTGTCACCCAGGGTGGAGTGCAGTGGTGCAGTCTCGGCTCACTGCAACCTCCGCCTCCCGGGTTCAAGCGATTCTCCTGTCTCAGCCTCCCGAGTAGCTAGGATTACAGGTGCCTGAACCACACCTGGCTAATTTTTGTATTTTTAGTAGAGATGGGTTTTTTCCTTGTTGGCCAGACTGGTCACAAACTCCTGACTTCAAGTGATCCGCCCACCTCGGCCTCCCAAAATGCTGGGATTACGGGCGTGAACCACTGCCCCGGCCTCATTATGTATTTTAATCTATAGTCTGATATTGCTTGAGATGAACACATACTTTAAGTGTATAAACACAAAAGTAAATTATTGAATCCTAGTTTCAGGGGTCTTTTCATCCCTGTATATCCACTAGTAGCTTAAAATCGCAAATTAGAGAACATATATTTTTTCAAAGTTTAGGGCCTTGTCTAGTCCTCACTGAAAATTCAGGGTCAAATGTTTTCTCATTTAGGATGAATATATAATATCTCTGATCTTTATACAAATGTGGGAAACAACTATAAGAAAGTTATGAGCTGGATAATTTACCTGTTTTATAAAATTTGGAACTGGGTACAGTGGCACACACATATAGTCCCAGCTACTTAGGAGACTCACGTGGGAGGACGTTTTGGGGTCAGGAATTCAAGGCTGTAGTGTACTATTTATTATGCCTGTGAATAGCCACTGTACTCTAGCCTGGGAGATAAAGCAGGACCCCATCTCTTAAAATAATAGTAATAATAAATTTTGTTTGTTTTTTAATATACAGGTACTAGATTTATTTTTCCTGCTTTACTTTGAACATAGAACTCCTGCAGTTTCCTTATGGACTTTGAATTTGTAGTGACAAAACAAAATACCTCTTAAATAGTAATCTTTATTAGATATTTGTTGACTGCTTAAATGACAATAAATGGGTCTTCCTCAGACAATTACATTTAGAGGCCTTCTGGATGTCAACGCAATCTAGGCTTTTCAAGAATTTGCCAAGTGGGTTGGAAACAGACTTGATTCAATTCAACAAATATTTACTGATTGCCATCTCTAGTGCACTGGTTGAAGGTCCTGGGTTTAGATAAAGTTAAGAGTATAGTAACAGACAGGAAGGCAGAATATATGGGTATGGATGTTGGTAGGTAGAGATATGGCAGTGAGAATCTGTGGAAGTTCTCTTGTGATTCGTTTTCTCAGTAAAATAGCAGTTACTGTTCTTAGCTGAAACTGAGAATTGTGGAGAGGCTTTTGGGGTTTGAGGAGAGAGAAGTTTGAAATGGTTATTAGGAGAATTTGAGAGAAAATATAAACACTGGGCCACATTAAGAGTCTATTTGATATTTGGGTTAGGAAATTAAAGTGATATACCCACCAGCTGTGTTTAAATTCACAGATTCAAGTTAGGTTTGACCATCACTCACAAATGGTTATGGATTTACTTAAAATAAAAAGAAGCAGCAGCAGCAGCAGGAGAGGGACAAGGGAATGAATGGTACATGCAGGGGAATGATTACCATGATTGACTATGAAATTTAAACTAAATAAGGAGCAGAGAGATCAGAGCACCAAGGGGAGTAAGCTGGAAGCACAGGAGATGATGGTCAGAGAATGGGATGCATGAGATTTTGGAGGGAGTACACCTGTTGATACATCCTGGGGTATGATTATGGAAGTGGGTAGCGTAGGTAGAATGGAGGACAAAATCATTAGAGAAGAGGAGTTCAAGGGGTCAAGGAGTATCTTTGTTTTCTTCCCACATAATTGTTACACTTACTGCATATAAAATAACAGTAGTCTTTTTCCTTTAAAATTCAAATAGATATAGTGCCATTCACCTCTGGAATGTAGTACTGCAGAGGAGAAATCTAAGGTCCAGCTAATTATATCTTTGATTATTGCTCCTGTCTCCATATTAAGCTTTCCTTTAGGAACCTAATTATATATTAACATTCTGTTCTCTGTTCCCTGTATCTTCCCTCTTCTCATTTTCATCTTTTCATTCTCTTTATCTGCATGTTGAGACATTTCCATATTCCTAACTTGACTTTTAGTAGAACTATTCTGCTATTATCTTCTTTCAATATGGGTTTTTTCATTCTGTTAGTGATTTTATAATCCTTCCTCATTTAATCTTGTGGCATTTTCCTCATTCTATCACTCTCTACCTTTTTACAACCTATGGGGGCATCTGTGTATATGTATACATACACAAGTACATGCACACACTGTGAAGTATGCTGCATTGTAGTGCCATTGTTCTGAAGATTGACAGAAATTGTAGATAAAGTAAGACCAATTTGGGTCACTGCACTGAGATAAGATTAACATTCAGTCCCTATTTTGTACCTCCTGGATCACAGGAGTGGAAAAGAAAGTAATTTAAAATTGTAATATACAATTGTGAAGTGCTGTTTGAACTATTTCTCAGAATCCCAAATTGACCTAAGAATGGAGACCACTGGTTCCTTAATTTCCATTTTGCATTGAAATACCTGCCATTGCCTAGATTGGTTTTGTCTTGTAGATATTTCAGAGAAATCATCTAGCTGAAAGTACATATTATAATTTGGGCCCTTTTGCAGGATATTTTACTCATTAACACAGCTTTCACTTATATATTTTGAAGATGGGGAGACATTTCTGACATTTTAATATTTTGCTTTTGGAATGAACTTGAGTGTCTCTATAATGCCTGTGTAGCAGGGTCTAGTAACGTAATTATTGGGAGGAGAATGCCTGCCTTTAACTAGATAACTTATCCTCAAATCTGTGGAATCCCATTAATCAGCATGTCATCAAGAACCAAAAAATAAGTATGGAAAGAACAAAAAATTAATTTGCTTGACAATGCTTCTGTCAATATGCATATTATCATAGAGTATAAAAATGGTAAGAACTAGGATCTCTTAAAATAAGTCTTATATAACCAAGTTGAATCTCATCAGGTCTGTTTTCTCTAATTAATTTTCCAATTTGTTATGAACATTTCTGTCCAGTAGGCTCTACATAGTTTTGAATTATGATTCAGTTGTACCACACATCAATTTTACAAGTAGCTTTAATATCTAATATGAAAAGGTTAAAGTGATAGTGGTATCTTTTAGAACAAAATTTGCTACATAAACGTAAGCATTATTATAATGATGTCTTGCCTTTTTGTTTTAGGTGGCTCTAACTAACTACACCTTTGAAAATGTGAGCTTTCATGTTCTTCATCAGCGTTTTCCCCTCTTCACCTTTCGAGTCTTGTCAGATTGGTTTGATAACAAGACAGATCTCTACAGGTACTGTTTTATAACTCTGAAGAAGATAATATAAAATCATCATTGAGATGTAATTTATATGTAACAAAATACACACATTTAAAGTGTATTGTTCAGGCCGGTTGTGGTGGCTTACACCTGTAATCCTAGCACGTTGGGAGGCCGAGGTGGGCATATCACCTGACGTCAGGGGTTCGAGACCAGCCTGGTCAACATAGCAAAACCGCGTCTCTACTAAAAATACAAAAATTGGCCAGGTGGGGTGATGCATGCCTGTAATCCTAGCTACTCAGGAGGCTAAGGTAGGAGAATCACTTGAACCTGGGAGGCAGAGGTTGCAGTGAACCGAGATCATGCCTCTGCACTCCAGCCTGGGCGACAGAGTGAGACTTGTCTCAAAAAATATATAAATAAATGAAGTGTATTGTTCAATGACTTTGAAAAATGCATTTATCTTGTAATCATTACTCCAGTCAAGATAAGGAGCATATCTGACACCCAGAAGATTCCCTAATCATCTAGCTAATTACTAATTGGATTTCTATTACTCTAGGTTAGTTTTGCCAATTCTAGAACTTCATATTAATGGAAATATTCATAATCAACCTTGGCTTTGAAGAAACTCAGAAAACATACTGTTTTCTGGGATTTACCCTGTTGCATAGTTTGTTCATTCTTATTGTTAGATAGTATTCAATTATATGAATAGAACTTACCCACTCACCTGTTGATGGACATTTGGGTTGTTTCTAGTTTGAGGCTATTATGAATAAAACTGCAATAAAGATCTGCATAATGTCATCGTGTGAACATACATTTTCATATCTCTTAGGAGTAGAATTGCTGGGTCATATGGCTCTTGTGTGTTAATATTTTAAGAAACTTAATCTGTTTTCTTTGGCAAGTCTGTCGGCAAAAATTATCTCAGCCCTTGTTTATGTGAAAGTGTCTTTATTTCACCCTTATTTTTGAAGGATAATTTCTCAGTCTCAGTTGCGTTTTTTTCTTTCACCACTCTAAAGATTTTGTTCCCTTTTCTTCCAGCCTCTCTTTTTGCTGATGAGAAGTCAACAGTTATTCTCATTTTTCTAGTATTTGTGATTCATTTTCTTTCCGAAGTCAGATTTAATGAGTGGTTGACCGATGTTGCTTATGACTCTCTGCAAGGTTTATAGTAGAGGCAGGGGGAGTTTCTCAGTTCTCCTGTCTAACCTCAGTCTTTGGTTCTTCCTGTTCTTCTGGGGTTTGCTCAGCACTCCTGCTCTTCCCACAGTGGCAATAGACCTCTGCTTTGTACCACTGCCAGGTCCTGGGCCCAAGTAAACTTCCTGACCCTCCCCCTGGGGCAGATAGCATTTTCTTCTACTCCTTTCTCAATGATACTATTCCTTTGCCTGGAATCTATGACAGGAAGTTTTCCTGCCACTTTTCCAGTTGCTTATTATTTAGTTCAAAGCCTATGGCTGGAACAGGTAAGTATACCAGGCCCAAGGTGTTCCTAAGCTTCTCCAACTTGATATGGGATTCAATCTCCAAACTCTGTCATCTGTACATATTGTCAGTATTTGTTTTTAAGTTTTATCTAGAGTAGGCCTTTCTGTAGGGCAAAGGCGTCTGTTTTTTCTAGGCTCACAACTGAATGCCAAGGTTGTTAACAAGAGGGTGATGAGGTCTCCACTCTGGCATTGGTGAGCTTCCAACCCCAGCACTATCTGACCATTTCTGCCCACACTTAATCCCCAGTGAGCTGCTCTCTATTCAGCCTCATGTGGTTTCATCCTGCTGGTTTTCAGGACAGCCTTGAGCTGTCACTCACAGGGAATCCACCTGTACTTCTGACCCCCCAACTCCTGCCACTTGCACAACTCCCTTTCTCTCTTATACTCCATCCCACAGACTCCACCTGTGAGCTGCCTAAATGAACTCTGAGCTCTTCATCTTTGGCTTAGTAGGACAGCCTTGCTCTGTGTAGACTCTGGCACACTGCACTGTGTCTAGGAAAAGTCCTGAAATTAATGTGTCTGATTTTTTAAATGAATCAACTGTACTTACTGAATTGTAAGGCTGTGTGGTGGTGAGGATGGAAAAAGTATAGCTTTGAAAACAGCTTGGTAATATCTGGGGAAACTGCTTCCTGAGCATGTCATCGCATATTCCAATCCCTTTTGAGGAATCTCAGAGAAGTGAAGTGAAGTAACAGAGAGCACTTAGCTTCTATCAAAGCCTTACAGAAATAGAAGCTGAGAAGTTGGCCAAGTGCGGTGGCTCACACCTGTAATTTCAGCGCTTTGGGATGCCAAGGTGGGTGGATCACCTGAGGTCAGGAGTTGGAGACCATTCTGGCCAACATGGTGAAACTGCATCTCTACTAAAAATACAAAAAATTAGCCGGGCACACCTGTAATCCCAGCTACTCCAGAGGCCGAGGCATGAAAATCACTTGAACCCGGGAGCAGGAGTCAGAGGTTGCAGTGAGCTAAGATCACGCCACTGCACTCCACTCCAGTCTAGGTGACACAGCAAGACTCCATCTCAAAAAAAAAAAAAAAAGAAGCTGAGGAGAAGTTATACACCAATAAATAAAACTTGATATTTAACTTAACATTGAAAACTATATTCAGTGGTTTGTTTATGAGCCCCGGAGTCTCTAAATGCATGTTTTACCACCTTTAATTAGGTATTATCTAGGATGATAACTGTTTTTGACAAGTGAACTAGAGAACTGGAACTAACATTGTATAGAAGGGACTTAGACTAGACATTATACCATTTATGTCAAATGGATTAAGTTATACGAAGAGACCATGCACTCTTTCTTTGAGTAGTCTTGGAAATATCAGACAACTTCATCCTTAAATTTAAGTGAATACTAACTTAAATTTAAATGAATACATCTTAACTTTAAGTGTGGTAACCCCTTTTGATTTGCATTTGCTTTCTACAGTGTTTTAAGGACATACATATATATTGTAAATCGACTTAGAATGAGAAGAACTTGCTAGTCAAGGATTTTTTTATGTTAAAGCTGTAAAACACAAAGGTACCCTAATTTTTTTTAATAAACCCAGATTTTGGTTTCCTGGAAGCCCCTGATTTATGTGAATGAGTTATTTTCCCAATATTTTATTGTTTCGAGCTTAGAACACATTTTTTCATAAAATAATGTCTTGTGATTAGATTCCCAAGCCAGCCTATAAAACTTTTCCTAATCTCTAATATTACTAATCTAGATAATTCCTAATACCAACATGATTTTATCTGTCATCCATGAAATAGTTATTAAATACTATTCCAGTTTCTGAGCTAGGAGGTATGTCCTGGGAGCAGAGTTGTGTAGCTAAAGAAGATAATATAAGAAATTTTATTTTCTATTTGCTGTGTATAGAGTCAGTCCACAGAAAAACTTCAGAATAAGTGAATTTTGTACTCGGGATTCTCCTGTCTCCTTTTTTGTCACCTTCTCCCCAGATGAACTATCTTGAAAAGTACCCATGCCTTCAGAATGCTCTAAGTTCGCATTTCAACACTACCCAGGCCTATCTTGAGTAGCATGTGCTTTATAATTATGCTTCCCCTCTTCCTTTCCAGATCAAAACTTGTATTTATTACCCTTAAGTTTCACAAAGCATTAAGAGGATGGCATAATTCTTTAACAACAATTTTAAAAACTAACAAGAGTCTTATCTTGTCCTTTAACCATAAGTAAAGGCCGCAATTACTCTTTCTCATTTGTGTTACATGGTTAGTGAGATAGGACCCGAAAGTGGAAATGATGATGATCTTATTTCAGAAAGATCACTGTTTTAAATTAAAAAGTCTACTTTTTAAATGCATTTTTTAAAAAATTAGCCATTCAAAGTATTTTTTATGTTCATGCCTATAGGTCAGCAGATTTAGATCAGAAAACAGCAGTTGTTACCTGCTAGATAAATTATACAAGCTAAAATGTCCCTTGTTAAATTAACCTTTAGTTATGAAAGATAAGATGCATCTAATTTGTGTATATTACTTGGTTACCAGTCAGTAGAGAGGAATACATTTAGTGAAATGCTTATTTCATCAAATAGTGAATGCTTATTCATTTCACAAAATGCTCTACCATTTTTGTTAGTGAGGAAATGAGTAATTTGCTGTGGTGATAGAAATTTAATAAGATAGTTACTCATTTGTAATGTATTTTCTTGTTTTCTTTTCATCATGTTTTCATTTACTTGACCAAAATCTCAGGTTCTAGTATACAAGGTTTGTAAACTAGGACAGATTAGGCTTACAGTAATCCTCAGTTCTCTTATCTATAATAGAGAGATGTTAATATATTCTACCTCATGGAGAGAAGTAAGAATTAAATGAGATAGTATGAGTCTTGAACACACAGAAGTCTCTCAATAAATGTTAATTAATTGGTACGTCTTTCTTTTCAGGATAGAGAATTAGATTCTGAATGAAATGAGGAAATAGTAATTACCATAATTATAATAATAGCTGCAAAGGTTATTAAGTTTTTGCTTTTGCCTAACACCTTACAACAACCTTATTATTACCACTGTTTCACACATACTGAAACTGAGAGCTAGAGAGTTAAATGATTTGCCTAGGGTCACATAGTAGCTTGCAACAGAGCCACAATTTGAACCTAGGACTATCTCACTCCAGAGTCTGTGCTGTCAACCAATGTGTGAAAATCTCTTAGATTGTATGCTTCAAAATGTGAAATAAACCATTTCCACTTAAAAAAAAAAGTTATATATAGTATAGTAAAAATATTTCTTTTGAAATATACTATTATACCCATTTATTTAAGTTCTAACAGACTATACTGCCTCAAAAAATGGTGTCGATCTTAGTCAAATAACTTAAATCAGGAGCCTTTAAAGATTCAGTTTAATCAGTTTTGTATACAAAGTATTTAGACTTACTTTCACCATTTTTGCCCAAAAAACAAACTTTTTGTACCTCATTAAATAACATCAACAAAAGTAAAAAGCTAACATCAACCTAGGAAAACCATTTTCACCATAACAGTTACGTATATTAACTGTATTATATACTTTTAAATTAGTAAAAAAAAAAAATGGGTAAAAGACATGAACAACTATCAAAGGAAAAAAATCCTAAAATATTCAAATGTCTACCTCATATGCAGTGTATAAATACCTTAATAAATACCTTACTAAAGGAATTCTTAATCTGCTGATTATGTTCTTAATTGTACCATGAATTACAAAAACCTATTGGCAAGATCAGTCTCATTTAAAAAAAAAAAAAAAAAAAAAGGACTTTAGGCTGGAATAAACAATGAAAATAAACCAGTATGTTTTAAAACACATTTTCCAAAACAAATTATCATCAACATACTTCAAGTGGTAACTCTTCTCCTGAATCACCACCTACAGGTTTCAAGGAAATATTCATGCCTAGTCAGCATGATAATCTGTTGAGACAGATTCTTATATAAGTTTTGTGTAACACATACCTTTTTAAAGTCTTCTGTTAAACCTGTGTTGGTTGAGACTTAACACTTACTTTTCTCATCTTTTACAAATCTCAGCAAAATGCTTGTGTGCTGCCTGGCACTTTCAGAAATTATGTTGGTGTCTCACTATTTTGGTATCTCATTTGGCACGTTTCTCCAGGTCAGCTCTCTGTCCATATGTTGAGAGGGCAAAGTGTAAATGTATCTCATTTTTCTGCACTATCGATAGATAAATCCACACATCCTAAAGGAGTGGTGAGCCATTAAATCCATTTTGTTTTATTTTAAAGGGACTGATTTGATTTATATATAATGCACTATTTCAGATTTACACTTTGCAGTTTTGTATTGTTGAGGGGTTACTAAAACAAAAAAAAATCAGATTAAAATGTGATACCATTTTTTGTCTATCAAACTCATAACTTTAAAAACTATAATCTTCATTGTTGACAAATATACAAGGAAACAAGCACTTTATCATCAGTAGTATGAATATAAATTATTAAAACCTTTCTGGAAAGCAGTGTATTGCTAGGTATTGAAAACTGACCAAATCTGGGAATTTATTTTAAGGAATTATTTAATCATCTGTACAAAGACTTAGCTTTAAAAATGTTCATCACAGCGTTGCTTACAGTAATAAAAGATATTCGGTAAATGTTTCGATTAAATATGTTATAATTATACAATAGCATACTCGATAGCTACAAAACAAATATGGGGAGTCAGTATATTAAGTTAAAAATGTAAATTATGAAACAGAATTTCTGTTTATTTTGTTAAACAATTATTTATAGAGTTTAGGATTTTTTCATGTTTGCCTAATGTTTTAACAGCTTTATTGAGATATAATTTGTATATCATACAATTCACCCATTTAAAGTATATGACTCACTGAGTTTTAGCATATTCAAAGTTGTACAACAGCATCACAGTAAGTTTTAGAATATTTTAATTACCCTAAATGGAAATCCTGCATCGTGTAGCCACCACTCTTCAACCTTTCATCACTCCTATCACCCCCTCCACCAGAGTCCCCCCACCCTCTACCTCTTGCCTTAGACAACCACTGATCTACTTTCTGTCCCCATAGATTTGACTATCCTCGACATTTCACGTTAACAGAATCATGCAATATGTAAATCTTTTGTGGCTGCCTTCTTTCAGCATAATGCTGTCCAAATTTGTCCATGTTATAGCATCTTTTAGTATTTCTTTTATTGCTGAATAATACTGTATTGTATCGATATATACTACATTTTATTTCTTCATCAGTTGATAGACATTTTGGTTGTTTCCACTTTGGGCTACTATGATTAATACTGTAATGAACATTCATATATAGTGTTTTGTGTAGATATCTGTTTTCATTCCTTTTGGATGTGTACCAAGGAGTAGAATTTTTGGTGGATTATATGGTAACTCTGTGTTTAACTATTTGAGGAACTGCCAAATTATCTTCCCAAGCAACTACACTATTTTATGTTCCCACCAGCAGTATATGAGGGTTCCAGTCTCTCCACTTTTTTGCTAATACCTGTTATTATCTTTTTTATAATAGGGGTTTTTTTTCTTCCTTCACATTCATTTTCTAGTTTTTCTATTAATTAAGCATTAGTCATGTGTCAGAGGAAAAGGTTTTTAAACACATTTATTGAACAATTATGTGACTATATTGTTCTAAAAGCAATATAATTAAAGATTACAATATATGTGAACCTTAATCTTCAGATGAATAAATTGTATTCCTTATAGTATACTTTTGGATCATTTTTACATTTTATAATATCAAAATTCATTTTATGGATTTGCTGAGGACTTTATTGTTTATTTTCTTAAGAAGGTAAGGTAAAGAGGTTAATTTTTTAAGGTTTAAACTGAAAAACAAAACTTTTATATTTTCACAAAAAATAATTATTTGAAATATGTTTAACCCACGTATTATCTCACTAAAAATTATGTTACTGATTTTTCTGAATCTTCACCAAATTACTTTTTTTGCCATGAAAAGATAGTGCATGTTTTTATTTTAGACTTATATTTACAGTAACCCAGACCCTTCATGTTCTTTAAAAATTTATAGATATGATAATAATTATTGCATAATCAGTAGCTGTATCTTAAAGGAGAATGTTAATTTTCTATAATAAGAATAGAGCAGCATCAAGCAAAATATCGAAAAATAGTGATCCTTAATCTTACCACCTAATCACAAGCACTATTTTAAATTTTGCTTATTTTTCCTGGCTTTTATGCCCTTGAAATACCTGAAATTTTCTAATGTTTTATTCCTTAACATACTTGGCTTAAAGGCTTATATCATTACTCTTTCCTTAAGTAACCACACTTTTAGCATGTAGATTTTTGGCAGGAAAAAAGTACTGTTTTCAAGTGTCCAAATTTTTCCCTGATGTTCATAATGTGGATTCTTTTTTAACAGATGGAAAATGGTTGATCATTATGTTAGCCGTGTCCGTGGAAATCTCCAAATGTTAGAACAACTGGACCTGATTGGGAAAACCAGTGAGATGGCTAGACTTTTTGGCATTCAATTTTTACATGTACTGACAAGGGGTTCACAGGTGGGAAATCAGTTTTCTTGCAGACTTGAAAGTTCTGTATGAGTGATACACTTTTGTGATATTTGAAGTGATTTGACTTTTTAAACTTTCTGTTTGGTACCAACTAATCAATAGCTGGGTAATAAAATGTTATCATTTTATTCTCTTTCTATGCCAACTTTCCGGCCACTGCCAAGTGTTTTTATGATATTAAGAAAATAAATGTCCATGTCCTTAAGGATATTATATTCCTGTATATTGTTACTGTGATTAAAGATGCCCCTTAAAACTGGAGAAGCAACAAAGAAAGTCTACCTTTCTTTTGTTTTACATGTTTAATTTTGGCTTCTTAAAACTTCCCATAGTTAATTTTAATATAAAAATAAAAAGCTTGAAAATCAATATAAGTGGACTATGTAACTTTTAAAATGTTATTTAAAAAAAAAAAACGTGAAAAGCTATTTAATTCATATCTTTCTAAGTAATTTCCCAAGGATATAATGAGAGATTTTTACTAAACACCTTGCTGAAAATGATTTTATGTATTAATTCAACAAATATGTATTTGAATACCTGTAGTTTGTTAAGCACTGTGGTAGGCATCAGGGATACCATATTAAAACACTCAGATTTCTTAACCTTGTAAAATCCTTAATTATTTTAATTACCTGTATCTATAACATTCCTCAATCAACCAGTTCAGTAAATATAGCAAAAATAGAGTTCCAGCTAGTTTTATCTGTTTATTTCATTTAATTGCTTATAGGCTATTTATTTTATTTATACCCATCAAATTTAACACCTATTTGACCTAGCCTGTAATAAAAGGCAAAGATACCTTAAAACCTCATGAGAATACTTCAGTGAATCCAGGCTGGTTCTTGTGAGTAATTTTTTTTTTCTAATACCCCAGGCCATCTGCTTAATAGTTATTATTAGAAACAAACATACCAGTAATTGCTTGATTCAGTTTTGCTAGGGACCAATAATAAGCTGATTACTATTCAGTTCTTTTTTTATTATTTTTTAATTATTTCCACAACAAAAGCCACATTCAATACTTTATAATTCTATAATCATTTTGTTTGTTTCTTTGAAAAACTGGGATAACGTTTTCTATCTTAAGTCTCATGACAGCTTTTTCATTCTCTAATTTTCCCAAATAAATTTATCCAAGATGATTGACCAACTTCTTAAATGAAATTGTCAAACTATACAGCTGTCTGTCCTACACTTTTTTATTATGGTATAACTGTAAATAAAGAGGGTCGGGCACAGTGGCTCACGCCTGTAATCCCAGCAGTTTAGGAGGCCAAGGTGGGGGATCACTTGAGGTCAGGAGTCAAGACCACCTCGGCCAACATGGTGAAACCCCATCTCTACTAAAAATACAAAAAGTAGCCGGGCGTGGTGGTGCAAGCCTGTAATCCCAGCTACTCAGGAGGCTGAGACAGGAGAATCTCTTGAACCCTGGAGGGGTAGGTTGCAGTGAGCCGAGATTGTGCTGTTGCACTCCAGCTTGGACAACAGAGCGAGACTTGATCTCAAAATAAATAAGTAAATAATAAAAATAAAAAGAGATCTAATTGCATCTGTCCTTTAAAATTGACTTATCTTTTAAGTTATTTGACATGTTTTATAGTTTTTATAAAAGTCATAGGAATAGGAAAAGGATTTACATATATCCCTTTTCAAATCTGAAAGCTGACTAAATAACTAGTATTGCAGGCTGGGCATGGTGGCTCACACCTATAATCCCAGCACTTTGGGAGGCCAAGGTGGGCAGATCATCTGAGGTCAGGAGTTCGAGACCAGCCTGGCTAACATGATGAAACCCTGTTTCTACTAAAAATACAAAAAATTAGCTGGACGTGGTGGTGTGCGCCTGTAATCCCAGGCTGAGGTAGGAGAATCGCTTGAACCCGAGAGGCAGAGGTTGCAGATTGCCGAAATCACACCGTTGTACTCCAAACTTGGGCAACAAGAATGAAACACCGTCTCGGAAAAAAAAAAAAAACTAGGACTGCAAAAAAAAAAAAAAAGTCATACGGTCTTATTCTGAAAAGCAGATTATCCTCAAATGATTGTATATTCAAATTACCAATGTATTTAAACTGTGTTTCTTCTCTTCTCACCTCCCTTTCTCCCCGCAGTACCGTGTGGAATCAATGATGTTGCGTATTGCTAAACCAATGAACTATATTCCTGTGACACCTAGTGTTCAGCAAAGATCCCAAATGAGAGCCCCACAGTGTGTTCCTCTAATTATGGAGCCTGAATCCCGCTTCTATAGCAACTCTGTTCTTGTTTTGGATTTCCAATCACTTTATCCTTCCATCGTGATTGCATATAACTACTGCTTTTCCACCTGCCTTGGCCATGTGGAGAACTTGGGAAAGTAAGGTTTTTTTCACATTTACAGTAATGTTGTGCTTTGTACTTCCTACTAAAATTAGACACTTTCTGAGTGTCTCTTTGCTCTTGACACCTTCCCTATGGGCAAGATAAATGGGCTGTATCCCAGCTAATCCATTCATTGTAGTTGTCTTACTAATTGACATGGATCACCGTCTGATTAATCCAGCTTCATGGATGGATGACTCATGAAGAGGATTGGGAATAGATCAGCCTTGCAACTGTTTCACTCCATATGTAACTGTGGTCTCTCTTAAAATGAAAGTTAAATTGTTGATATAAATTACCTTGCAGTGGAACAGTTTGAGGATTATGATCTTGTAACTCCAACTATGACCTCCTCTTTATTTTTCTTATAAATAGTCCAGGATTTTAAAAATTAAATGGTAGGTTTTATTAATTAATGTAAATTAAATTTCATAAACTGATAATAACATTTTAAATTCTCAAAGGATTAGATACTTTTCTTGATTTGTAGGAAATACAGAGTCTTCCTTTTTATTGATTTTTGCGTATTGGAGACCATGTGTTGGTTTTAGTATATGCTATACTCCTTCATAGAAAGCATCTGTGGAAATTATATTGGTAATCCTGTCTTTTTATTAAAAACAGGAATTTGGAAAATTTACAAGATTTACAGTCTTTCTATTTAAGGTTTAAATTCTTCTTTAAATATGTTCACAAGGGTGTTCAATAAAAATAAATTTTTATTTAAGTAATTTAGTATAAGATGATTGGGCCGCACGCAGTGGCTCACGCCTGTAATCCCAGCACTTTGGGAGGTTCAGGCAGGCGGATCACGAGATCAGGAGATTGAGACCATCCTGGCTAACACGGTGAAACCCTGTCCCTACTAAAAATGCAAAAAATTAGCCCGGCATGGTGGTGGGTTCCTGTAGTCCCAGCTACTCGGGAGGCTGAGGCAGGAGAATGGCATGAACCCAGGAGGCAGAGCTTGCAGTGAGCCAAGATCGCACCACTGCACTCCAACCTGGACAACAGAGCGAGAGTCCATCTCAAAAAATAATAAAATAAATAAAATAAGATGATCAGATGTTGAAATTTGGTTTTCAGTATAGATTTTACCCATAAATTTTAGGATAGTGCCATTTAAGAAACGTTTATTGTAATAAATTGTGAATATTTGAAAAACTGTTTTGGTAATGAGGCAAATAAACATATTACTAAGTACATGAATTCACGTTTAGATGTTTGAAAATGAATTTCTAATGGAGTTAGAAAGATTTTTTAAATTGCCTAAAATCTCTGTTCTATGATTTGAGGAAGTATTTGCTTAATATTTTCTTTCTTAACAGGTATGATGAGTTCAAATTTGGCTGTACCTCTCTGAGAGTACCTCCAGATTTACTTTACCAAGTTAGGCATGATATCACAGTGTCCCCCAATGGAGTAGCTTTTGTCAAGGTAATACTCTCTTATAAATGAAAGATAACAACTATGGCTTAACTTTTGGAGAGCTGATAATGGTTTAGATATTGTTGGCACATAATAGAAAACAAAAACACCGAGTTTGCTTGAATATTTTATCTCAAAAAGTCAAAGATACAAGAATCATCTAAGAAATCACTTCAGGAACAAACCAGTCACCTTGTTTTTTCTTGAATTTAGGTTTTAAATCTTTAAATTGTTAAATTTTAGTTAATGAAATATTGAAAGAAATAAACGTACGCTTATACCTTCTGCCCTTTATTAGAACCAGGCTGACTTAAATAGCAACTTAATGGTCAAAATATATTACCTACAGAGATTTAAATTTCTTTAATGTGTAGATGCTACTAGCTGTTCTTCTACATTATTTTAAATTAAGACTATCTTAGAATTAATGATACTGTAATAGGCTTATTTATTATATTTTTAAGAAGATATCCAAACTAAAAATAGGATCCCTTTTTTCTCTCCTGTATCTCCACTCAAAAGAGAAAAAAGAAAACTTTATAAATTAAAGACAAATAAGACAGATCTAAAAGATTATATTGCCTCTTATATGCCAACTTCATTCCTTTCTTTTCTATTTTCTTAGCAGTGAGTCTGTACTAGAATCATGAGACAAGTACAGTGGTTGATGGTAGAGGGGACCCCACCAGCCCTCAAATTCATTCTGGTGTACTATGTCAAAAGTGGCATCATTCTCTATCAGTAAGAGGGAATGCTAAACTAAAATTAGCAATGTAGATGAAGAAAATTTTAACTGAAGAGTTCATGGTATGTTTCTTTTTGGAAAATTTTAAAATGTAGTACTTCTAGGGAGTGATGTAGATGAGATCTACTTGGAGAAATGGAAATAGATTTTTTTTAATTAAATGGGTCTTTATATAAAAATCAGTTTTCACATCACATTTCTGCAAATTTGGTCCCTGTTCTTTTTATCTTATGTCTTAAAACATTATGGCTGCTTCAAAATGTACACCAAATGAATTAGAGGTTAGAATATGTTCTCATTGTTGCATATCTGGCAGCTTATTATCTCCCTTTAACAGCTTTTTTTAAAACTTGCGTCTACTTTTGGACCCAGTGTGTAAAGCTTAATAAAAATAGGATTTTTTTAATATTCAGGTGTGTGATGATCCTGTACCTGAGATTTTAGTTGCTAGGTCCGACATGCATTACCTTGCACGTGTCTGTGAATCATCATCAAAGTTAATACTGTTTTGTGGTTTTCATTCCTACTGGAGTTCTCATAAATTCTCCCTAGTCTTGATTAATACAAATGATTTTTTTTTTTGGCATCAACAAATTTTATCACCTCACTATTCATCCCCTCTTCCAGATTGCTAATAAATATAGGCCGGAGGGGATGGCTTAGTGGTCTAAGCATCAGATTTGAAATACCTAGAGTCCCTGGAACTGCAGGTTTGAATGTCAGCAGAGTCAACCCAGCTCATCATTCTTCCAAGGTAGATAAATGGAGTTCCATGCAGATTTCTGTGTGGGGTCATTAGGATGAGATCTTTAAAAACTGAGTTGGTTATGAGTGATACAAGTCCCATCTGTCGTTTTGAAAGAATGGGGGTTTCTGTCAAAGTTTTGAACAAAATTTCCCTCTGAACTTGTTGTATGGTCACTTATGCACTAGTTGACATCCTCCTCCCTGGAGGTCTCTGAACTCACACGGAAGTGCTCTGTTAGATTTATAAACATTGCAGGAACCATTTAGGAGAAAAATACTCTTCCAAGAAATAAAATGTGATGATTTTATATTGACGGCCACTAATACTATGGTCACTCTATTGTTAGCATGTTTCAATTCATGACAGTTGGCCATTATTATATTTTATGCTTCCTTCTTAATTATATAAATCTATAATGTTTGAGGGGTTTTAAACATTTTTTTTTTTCTTTATGATAGCCTTCAGTAAGAAAAGGTGTACTACCAAGAATGCTTGAAGAAATTTTGAAGACTAGATTTATGGTGAAGCAGTCAATGAAGGCTTACAAGCAAGACAGAGCCCTGTCACGAATGCTTGATGCACGTCAGTTGGGACTTAAGCTGATAGCAAATGTCACATTTGGCTATACAGCTGCTAATTTTTCTGGGAGAATGCCATGCATTGAAGTAAGTGATACAAATCTGTAGTTTTTTCAAGAGACTAAAATATAGCGAGGCACAGTGGCACTCACCTTGTATTCCCAGTTACTTTGGAAGCTAAGGTGTGGTATGGGGGGCTTCAGCCCAGAGTTGAATCCTGCCTGGACAACACAGTGAGACCTCATCTCTTTTTAAAAAGGAAAAAAAAAAGGCCAGGCATGGTGGCTCACACACGTAATCCCAACACTTTGGGACGCCGAGGCAGGCGGATCATGAGGTCAGGAGTCGCAACCAGTGTGGCCAACATGGTGAAACACCGTCTCTACTAAAAACACAAAAATTAGCTGGGTGTGGTTGTGGACACCTGTAATCCCAGTTATTCAAGAGGTTAAGGCAGGATAATCACTTGAATCCAGGAGGCAGAGGTTGCAGTGAGCCAAGATCGCACTCCAGCCTGGGTGACAGAACAAGACTTGGTCTCAAAAAAGTGGCTCACACCTATAACCCCAACACTTTGGGAGGCCAAGGCACGTAGATTACTTGAGCTTAGGAGTTTGAGACCAGCCTGGGCAACATGGTGAAACCCCATCTCTAACCAAAAATGCAAAAATTAGCCGGGCATAGTGTTATGTGCCTGTGGTTCCAGTTACTTGGGAGGCTGAGATGGGAGGGTCACTAGAGCCTTGGAAGTCAAGGTTGCAGTGAGCCATAATTGCACCACTGCATTCCAGCCTGGGTGACAGAACAAGACCCTGTCTCAAAAAAAAGAGAGAGACTAAAGCAGCATTAAATGAATGCCTGTTCATTCAAGCATTTCATTTTGTTTTAAAACTTTAATAAACCATTTCATTTCTATGACATAGGATCAGTTTTTCTCATACCAAGCCTCAATATGTACATATTCTTGGGGATCTGTGACTTTTCTCTGTATCTCGGTGTCTTTATTCCAATGATCATTTTAGAAATTAGCATACACATATTTCTGCATGATCTTCATAACTATACTTTAACTTTCTATTAGCATGAAATTTCAGTGCTACCTTTGTAGCAGTTTTTACAACAACGTTGGTAGTGCATAATTCATTTTATGTATTGACAAGAGATCTGATTATAGTTATATTGGCTTGTCCAAATGTCACAATTAGCCAAGTGTGGTGGTTCACACTCGTGATCCCAACAACTCAGGAGTCTGAGGTGGGAGGATTGCTTGAGCCCAGGAGTTCAAGACTAGCCTAAGCAATATAGTGAGCCCTTGCCTCTATTAATACATAAAATTGAAAACTAAAAAAAATGTTTTAAGTCAGAATAAACAACAATCATTCCATATTTACTAGTATACCAGTAGATACAAAGCAGAACCTTTTTTGCAGTGATGAGTGACAGTTGAAAGACATTTTTCATAGAATAAGACTTAATTTCATATTTACTAAGTTAAGGTGTTTATTTGATACAAATACAATATAGTGTGACAGGGTAATATAATAATATACTACTGAGTGAGAAAAGAACAGAATAGTTTGTTATATTGTGATCTTTTCGTGCCAAATGAAGGCCAGAGGACATTGTGGTATATCATATTTGCATTAGTTCAGTAAGAGAAAAAGAAAGCATAAAGTCTTCACACAGCTCACAGTAGGCAAAATGAACTCCAAAAACATGAGCAAGGCAGGAGTGGCATATTCACATTGAAAGCAGCAAAATACCATCTCTAGTGAAAACTTAATATTGTTAACTTGAATATTTTGGTACAGTAATATGATTTTGTGCTGTATAAATTTTTTTATGGTTGCACTGTAAAGGCTGTAAGCAATAAAAGTTTGTATCTAGGTTTATATTTGTATACTTTTAGGTGAGATAAAAAATACTTTGTTAGTCCTGAGGGTTCATATTAATACATTTGAAAAGCACTGATCGATATGATCTAGCAGGAAAAAAATGGAAATGATATTACTAATGGAAAACCAAAAGATATCCTTTTTTTTTTTGTCGCCCAGGCTAGAGTGCAGTGGCTTAACCACATGCTTGTCCCAAATCCTTTCTTAGGGGCCATTTCCACATTTCCCTAATTTCTTCCCTGCCTCTCAGTTTTAAAAGTGTTTATTAATGTATTTTAGTAATAAAACAATGCAGAAATACTATTTTAAAAATATGTAAATACTGTAACTCTAGAATAACCAGAATTTGGGAGGATTTTTGAACTAGCAGTGGAAGTTTAGGAATAGAGTTTCACCAGGGAGTACGTTCCTGCTTTGCATGGTGAACTCAGACTGCCAAGCAATACCTGCTTCCTTGACCCTGGTCTTCTCAGCTATTCTCAGGTTAATGACTGCAAGCATGCATTTGGCCCCTCATCATATGCTAACTTCACAACAATACAGTGTTAACTTGTAGGTGAAATCATGAGTGGAAAAAGCAGCTAAAATCACAGAAAGAGCCTCTTATGAATAAGTGAAAAGTTAGCACCAATCAAGTAACAATGGAAGGTATCAGCCACTTTTTTTTAAAGGGCAGATGGCTTCATTCTTTTTTATGGCTGTATGATATTCTATCGTACACATAATATGGCATTTCCTTTATCCATTCACCCGTTGATGGACACTTAGGTTGCTTTCATATCTTGACTGCTATTGTGAATAGTGCTGCAGTAAATATGGGAGTGCAGATATCTATTCAATGTCCCAATTTCCTTTTTTTTTTTTTTTTTTTTTTTTTGGATGTATACCCAGGAGTGGGATATCTGGATCATATGGTAGTTCTATTTTTAGATTTTTGCGGCACCTCCATATTGTTCTGTATAGTGACTCTACTAATTTACATTCCCACTAACAGTGGGTTCCCCTTTCTCCACATCCTTGCCGGCATTCGTTATTGCCTGTTTTTTGGATAAAAGCCATTTTAGCTGGAGTGAGAAGACATCTCATTATAATTTTGATTTGAATTTCTCTGATTAGTAATATTAGTCATTTGTCATCTTTTGAGAAATGTCTGTTCAGACCTTTTGTGCATTTTTAATCAAATTGTTTGGTTTTTTTTCCTACTGAGTTGTTTAAGTTCCTTACATATTCTGGTTATTAATCCCACGTCAGATGGGTGGTTTGCAGATATTTTCTCCCATTCTGTGGGTTGTCTCTTCACTTTGTTGATTATTTTCTTTACTGTGCAGAAGGTTTTTAGCTTTATGTGATCCCATTTGTCCAGTAATCAGCCCTAAAAAGAATAAAATCCTGTCATTTGCAAAACATGGATGGAACTGAAGGACATTATGCTAAGTGAAATAAGCTAGACAGAGAAAGACAAATATCACATGTTCTCACTCATGTGGAAACTAAAAAAAATTAATGAACTCATGGAGATAGAGAGTAGAATGATGGTTGCCAGAGGCTGTGAGGTGGGGAAGGGGGGAGATAAAGTGGAAATGATTAATGAGTACAAAAATACAATTAGAATGAATAAAATCTAGTATTTGGTAGCACAGTATAGTGAACTGCAACTTATTGTATATTTTTAAATAACTAAAAGAATGGAATTGAAATGTCTAACACAAATAAATGATAAATGCTTGAGGTGATGGATATCCCAGTTACCCTGATTTGATCATTACACATTGTCTGCCTGTGTACATCGTATGTACAGCACATACATATATATACAAGTTATCTATCCAGAATAATTAAAACCTTTTAAAAGTGGGAGGCGAATGGATTACTGTCTGTGGTCTCCTGCTTTCCTTCAGAGAACACATAATCAAAAAAGTGCAGATCTGGACTGTCATAGAGAAAGATAAGATTTTGTAAGCATATAAGGAGAATATGGAGAATAAATAAATGTAGCTAATAGTTGGAGGTTAATGTCTCTGTCTCAGTACTATCATAAAGACAAGACTTTGTCAGCAAAAATTCCTATGAAGAGAATATGGAGAATAAAGTAGCTAATAGTGGATGTTAATGCCTCTGTCTTAGTTGGACTTCATAAATTAAAATGTTTGTATGTTGACAGTTTTCTACTAAACTATTGGTCATTCATATTTATGATAAAGGTATATTTGTGCCTTTTTAAAAATTGAACTTTATTTCTTTTTATGTCTTTTCAGAAAATTAATTTTTACTTAAAAAAATTTGTTTTTATTAACTTTTGAGCATCCCCAGTCATGGCCTAAATTGTGAAACCATTTCTTTTCCTCTTTTAAATCCTCTCTTAGCCCTTTAATGAAGTAATGCTTTTCAGGTTAGGAACCTTACCATAAAGTAGCAGAATCTGTTAATTTAATTACTTCTCCTTCCCTCTTCCACCTCCCCCTCACTCTAGTGCTGCTGAATTCTTACTACATGGTCTTCAGGGGTAACTGCAGAGTTCTGACTCTTTTGGGTATAACTTTAATGGGTCAGAGTAAGAGCATTAGGCAGACATTTAAGACTGCTATGTATATGTACAAGTATATACTTACTTGTAAGTATATATCTCAGAAGTGTATTTGACTTTGACGCTAAGATGGCTTGCTCATGCAACTCTTTGTCCTCACATATTTAAAAGTCGACCTTGTCCGGGCACAGTGGCCTGTAATTCCAGCACTTTGGGAGGCCAAGGCGGGCGGATCACGAGGTCAGGAGATCGAGACCATCCTGACTAACACAGTGAAACCCCACCTCTACTAAAATACAAAAAAATTAGCCGGGCGTGGTGGTGGGACCTGTAGTCCCAGCTACTCGGGAGGCTGAGGCAGGAGAATGGTGTGAACCCAGGAGGCAGAGCTTGCAGTGAGCCTAGATCGCGCCACTGCACTCCAGCCTGAGTGACAGAGCAAGACTCCATCTTAAATAAATAAATAAATAAATAAATAAAATAAAATAAAATAAAAGTTGACCTTGTTTGAAAGTGGCGGCAGGTAACAACATTTTATTCAATTTGAGTTTCCATTAGATAACATGATTTTTGTAATGTATTAAGTTATACTTTACATTCTCAAGATTTTCTGTTGTACTAGAGGTCTCAGCAGAATTCATAATCTTAATTTAAAACCCAAGGCCAGGCGTGGTGGCTCACACCTGTAATTCCAACACTTTGGGAGGCTGAGGCAGGTAGATCATTTGAGGCCAGGAGTTCAAGACCAGCCTGGCCATCATGGCAAAACCCCATCTACTAAAAATATGAAAAATAGCAGGGCAGGGTGGCACACGCCTATAATCCCAGCTCCTCGGGAGACTGAGGCATGAGAATTGCTTGAACCCAGGAGGCAGAGGTTGCAGTGAGCCAAGATCACACCACTGCACTCCAGCCTGGGCGACAGAACAAGACACTCTTTCAAAATAAATAAATCAGAATAAATAAATAAATACCAACTCATTTCTACCAGTTTTATTATTTATTCCTTTGTTCATATACCTAATATGTCCTTTGTAATGCAACTTTAAACAGCCTTTTAAATACTATTCAATCCTACATTTAGTAATTCAAGTTTTACAGTAAAGGGAGAAGGATCATTATTGCTATTGTTTGCTTCTTAACACACAAAAAAAATGTGCAGTTTGCATTTTAAAATTGCAAAGGGAATGCTCCATTTATGTTTTATGTTGAATGACAACTTTTCCCACTCTTAGCTTCAATTAGTTTAATAAATAAAACAGCATTGTTATATAGTCTCTTAACTGTAAATCTCATTAGCATGCTTTTCATATTTGTCAAGGCCCAGCATCTTGTTTTGTAAATTCATGCCATGGTCACTGTTAAAATTCACTAATCACAAATGGAAAAAACCTTCCTAGATATATATCTACTTATTTAATTTAAATTGAACACTTTTAATATATTTCCCATCATATAATTAGATACATTTTTCCTTGTATAACTAGTCACAAGATTGAAGTTCAGCATTAACTTTAATGATATTGAGAAACATTGTCATCAACAGTTCAACAGAAAAATTTTGAGAGATACACGTATGTATACTCATGCACCCACAAAGAATACTTTTCTGCCTAATGAGCTGTAAGGGCACGTAAGAAAGTTCTTGAATAGTTCGGGCACAGTGGCTCACACCTGTAATCGGAGGCCGAGGTGGGCGGATCATGAGGGCAAGAGTTCAAGACTAGCCTGGCCAATATGGTGAAACCCCGTCTCTACTAAAAAAAAATAGAAAAATTAACTGGGTATGGTGGCGTGCGCCTGTAGTCCTAGCTACTCAGGAGGCTGAGGCAAGAGAATCGCTTGAACCCAAGAGGCAGAGGTTGCACTGAGCCGAAATCATGCCACTGCACTCCAGCCTGGGTGACAGAGTGAGACTCCTCAGAAAAAAAAAAAAAAAAAAGAACTTGAATAAACCAGGATTATTCTTCCAAGAATCCAGTGTAGCTGTGTACCTTGTAACAAGTGCAGTCCACTTACTGTTACACTCAAAGACAAGTCTGCACATCGATTGGTCCTTTCAAATTCTTCACCCCAGTTTCTTCTTAAGTACTTGGAGAAAGAATGATGCACTGATTTCTTTTTTATGTTCTTTTCTCCTTGTTTCGTTTCTGGAAATATTTAGTAATTAAATGTATTATATGTTAAAGTCTGTTGACTTACACTGAGCTATGTTAAGAAATTATTTCCAATGTGTTTGTACCAACAGGTTGGCGATAGTATTGTTCACAAAGCCAGAGAGACCTTGGAACGAGCTATTAAACTGGTGAATGATACCAAGAAATGGGGGGCTAGGGTTGTATATGGCGATACTGACAGGTAATGGATTTTTGGTTTTGTGGTTGTCTTTTTGCATCTGTCCACATCTTCATTTCAGTGTTTAAAATGGCTTACGGGAATCCTTTCTAAAAATAGAGTTCTGAGTCCTTTCCAGTCCTTACGATCTCATGATCAGAGTTAACACAGATCCTGATTTACCAGATATGATCATAAGAGACAGTTTGTGTCCTGAGCCACAAACTGTGAAGATTCCTATGGCTTCCCTCCAAGTAGCTCTTAGCCAAGTAGATAGTGATCTGTAAACTAACTGTGTACACAAGAGTCTAGTTTATTTAAAGAAACTACTTTTAATGTGAATAATTCCTCTAATATAGCTGCAACTCTCTGAATTTAAGTGTATATCTTAAAATAATTAAACTGTTTTTGAAGGACAATTGCCAGAACCGTGAGTGGTTAACTTACCACTCAGCCCCAGAATATGTTGACCTTCTAAGAGAAGTGCATATAGGCAAATGCAGTTTTCCATTTGACTCCAGAGGGTCCACAGACTTACTCAAGCCCATTATTTATGGATTGGCAAATAATGTGCCTGCATTTGAAGGCACATTATTAATAATGTAAGTTATTAACACCAGCTTGCATGCTTCCTTGTTTGCTGTGATAATTTTCAGGTTTCAGTTATTTATGTAACATCTTTTTTGCATGGCTTATTGAAATTCTTCTAGAATGTAGGCACTATGCAAATTTCTTACAGTGAAATTTTTTCCCTATTGGGGACTTAGAGTCACAGTGTGAACATGCTAAGAGCACCTGCCTGAAGACCTCTGATCTCTTTACAGTCCAACAGAGCAATAGGAGATAATGCTTCTAATCATTAAATAGCTTATAAGTAATCTTTGAATAGCATTTAATCTTATCCAGTTCTTTAAAATGTTCATACAGACAGCATAATCATATTAATGCTGAATGAGACTTTGCCTCATAGAGCAGCTGTTTCATTACCAGCAGGTGGGGATAGTTTCAAATTATCCAGGCCCTAATTATCCATATTCTCTCCTGTTCCTCATAAAAAGCCACTTCTTAGTTTGGCTTTGGTTATTTTACTGTTCTGTGAAACTACTTCTGCTGGGTATTCTAGCAAAATAAGAGTTAATAAAATAAGCTCTGCATTTGTTAGCAGAACTTAAAAAATATTTAGGGAAAAATGTTAATCCTTTAACTTATTGATTTTAATTCAGAGGCTATCCATGTTGTTGACAGCATTCAGAAGTCAGCATGATTCTGATTGTAGTTACATTATTTACCCTTTAAGATCTATAAGAAGTCAAGCTACAGAAAATAACAGACTAACAGAATGTCAGAGCCGGAAGGGATTTTGATATTATTTAGGCCAGCAGTTTTCATACTATTGGGAGATCTTAGAATGTGCCTCAAATGATGCTTATTAAGAACAAATTTCCCTAAGATAAGAAATTTAAGATCTTGCAAGTAGTCAGTAGAGAGCCATGAATTGATATTCAGTGTTTTGATTCCTAACTGATGCTTTCTCTCTACATCAGATTTTATAGTTATTATATGATTCCAGTCAAAGGAAATTTACTTGCAATGTCATTAAAACTTTTGATCACCATTCACTACCTGATACATTCAGCAAACATTGGCCAGGCATGCTGACTCATGCTTGAAATTCTGGCACTTTGGGAGGCCAAGGCAGGTGGATTGCTTGAGCCCAGAAGTTCAAGACCAGCTTGGGCAACAAAGTGCAACCCTGTCTCTACAAAAAATTTAAAAATCAGCCAGACATGGTGGTGTGCACCTGTACTCCTAGCTACTTGGGAGGCTGTGAGGTGGGAAGATCGCTTGAACCCGGGAGTTCAAGGCTGTAGTCAACCATGATCATGCCACTGCACTCCAGCCTGGGTGACAGAATGAGACCCTGTCTCAAAAACAAGAAACCCAAATGTTTAGTGACATCTGTATGAGGGCAGTTCACAACAGTGTCACCCTGGCAGAATACAAGTAAGGGTTCTTGAAGGGGGACAAAAAAAAAAGGACCATAGTTTTTGGCCCCACAGTGGGCCAACAATATTTTACTCCTTAGTAATTACTTTCTCTTGTTAAATATAATTTAAATTTATTTATTTATTTTTTTGCCTTGGAAGGACAACGATGAAAGGTTGAGAAACACTGCTCTTGGGATAATAGGTAATATTTGGTGGAGTGTAAAAGAGTTCCTGGCTGGGCGCAGTCACTCACACCTATAATGCCAGCACTTTGGTAGGCTAAGGCGGGCAGATCACCTGAGGTCAGGAGTTTGAGACCAGCCTGACCATATGGAGAAACCCCATCTCTACTAAAAATACAAAATTAGCTGGGTGTGGTGGTGCATGCCTATAATCCCAGTTACTCAGGAGGCTGAGGCAGGAGAATTGCTAGAACCCGGGAGGCAGAAGTTGCGATGAGCCAAGATTACACCGTTGCACTCCAGCCTGGGCAACAACAGTGAAACTGTCTCAAAAAAAAAAAAAAAAAAAAAAAAGCCAGCGTGGTGGCTCCCACCTGTAATCTCCGCACTTTGGGAGGCCGAGACAGGTGGATCACCTGAGGTCAGGAGTTCAAGATCAGCCTGGCCAATGTGATGAAACCCCCTCTCTACTAAAAATTTTAAAAATTAGCTGAGTGTGGTGGCGCATGCCTATAATCCTAGCTACTCAGGAGGCTGAGGCAGGAGAATTGTTTGAACGTGGGAAGTGGAGGTTGCAGTGAGCCAAAATCGTGCCACTGCACTCCAGCCTGGGCAACAGAGTGAAACTCCATCTCAGAAAAAAAAAGAGTTCCCAACTGAGAGTGAGAAGACCTGGATTCTCTTTCTAATTATACTCCTAGATGATGGCATAGCCATTAATAAGTCATTTGGCCTCTCTGAGGCTTAGTTGCCTCTTCATCAAAATGAAGGAAATCTGATAGATGAAGGCAAATGACCTTCCAATTATGATGACATTCCAGTTATACTTTTAGTTATTCTTAAATGTACAATAAATTGTACATAAATTGTTGACTAATCGCTCTGTTGTGCTATCAAATACTAGGTCTTATTCTAACTCTATATTTGTACCCATTAACCATCCGCACTTCCCCACACATACAAGTACCTTTCCCAGCCCCTGGCAACCTAGTAGAAAAAGGCCGGGGCGGTGGCTCACACCTGTAATCCCTGCACTTTGGGAGGCCGAGACAAGTGATCACCGGAGGAGTGATTGCTCTCTCCATTTTTTTGAGACGGAGTCTCACTCTGCCCCCAGGCTGGAGTGCAGTAGCACGATCTTGGCTCACTGCAAGCTCCACCTCCGGGGTTCATGCTGTTCTCCTACCTCAACCTCCCAAGTAGCTGGGACTACAGGCGGCTGCCACCATGCCCGGCTAATTTTTTGTGTATTTAGTAGAGACGGGGTTTCACCGTGTTAGCCAGGATGGTCTCAATCTCCTGACCTCGTGATCCGCCCACCTCAGCCTCCCAAAGTGCTGGGATTACAGGAGTAGAAACTCATTTTAAAACAGTGTTTCTTATTGTAGGCTAGTCACTTCCATTCTGTCACATGACAGAAAACTTCTGTTCATTCTGTCCAGCCTTCTTGAAGCTTAGCTCCAAATCAAACTGGCCAAAACAGCTTAGATGGATTCAAACAAACTCACATTACTGGGTAAAGTCTCAAATATAGACCCTATAGTAATAACTTTTTTTTTTTTAAGTCTCTGTTGCCCAAGCTGGAGCACAGTGGCACAATCTCGGCTCACTGCAACCTCCACCTCCCGGGTTCAAGTAATTCTCTTGCCTCATCCTCCCGAATAACTGGGACTACAGGCATGCGCCACCATACCCAGCTAATTTTTGTATTTTTAGTAGAGATGGGGTTTCACCGTGTTGGCCAGACTGGTCTTGAACTCCGACCTCGTGATCCACCCACCTCGGCCTCCCAAAGTGCTGGGATTATAGGCATGAGCCACCGCACCTGGCCAATAATAACTTTTAAGATGGGAAGTATATATACCTTTATCATTTTTATGGAATTATAATTTTAACATGTATAATATGTAATAAAATATAAAAATGTATAGGCCCAAGTTACCAGCTACCATGCCAGTCAAGATATAGAACACTTTATCACCGTAAAAAGTTTTCTCATTCTCCCTTTACAGTGTATCCCTCACCCTCACTCCATGCCCTAGACAACCACTTACCTGATTTTTATTACCATAGCTTAGTTTTGCCTATTATAAAACTGTATAGAAATAGGTGTATGTCCACTGATTTTAAATGTTGCATATGACCGGGCACAGTGGCTCATGCCTGTAATCCCAGCACTTTGGACAGATAACCAGAGGTCAGGAGTTCGAGACCAGCCTGACCAACAAGGAGAAACCCCGTCTCTACTAAAAATACAAAGTTAGCCGGGTGTGGTGGCGCATGTCTGTAATCCCAGCTACTCAGGGGGCTGAGGCAGGAGAATCGCTTGAACTTGGGAGGCGGAGGTTGCGGTGAGCTGAGATCGCACTATTGCACTCCAGCCTCGGGCAACAAGAGAAAAAAAAAATGTTGCACTCATCATTGCATCTGAACATTTTAAGAATAATAATCTTACATAAAAACAGTTTGGCAGTTGCACGTGAAGTTCAACATACCCTTAGCATATGACCCAGCAATTCCACTCCTTTATGCTTATCTTAGAAAAAAGAAAACCTGGCCGGGCGTGATGGCTCACACCTGTAATCCCAGCACTTTGAGAGGCCAAGACAGGTGGATCATGAGGTCAGGAGATCGAGACCATCCTGGCTAACACAGTGAAACCCTGTTTCTACTAAAAATACAAAAAATTAGCCTGGCGTGGTGGTGGGCCCCTGTAGTCCCAGCTACTCAGGAGGCTAAGGCAGGAGAATGGCGTGAACCCGGGAGGTGGAGCTTTCAGTGAGCCAAGATCGCGCCACTGCACTCCAGTCTGGGTGACAGAGCGAGACTCTGTCTTGAAAACGAAAAAGGAAAAGGAAAACCTATGTCCACATGAAAACTTGTGTACAGTTCTTCATTGAGCTTTGTTTGTAATAGTCCAAAACTGCAAAATATCTAAATGTCTATCAGTGAGTGATTGGATAAGCAAATTGTAGTATATCCATACAGTGGAATACTACTCAACAATGGAAACAAACCAGTTGCTGTTATTTTGACACCATGGATGAATCTCAAAATATGCCGAGTGAAAGAAGACAGATATAAAAGAGTATATACTGTATACTTTCATTTATATAAAATTTGTGTTTATTTACTTACAGGGTCTCACTATTGCCCAGGCCCATCTCAAACCCCTGGCTTCAAGCAGTCCTTCCACTTCAGCCTCCGGAGTTGCTGGGATTACAGGCAAAAGCTACTACAACCAGCCCATTTATATAAAATTCTTGGAAAAAAACCTATCGTAACAGAAAGCAAGTCTTATGTATTGAACCTGGGGCCAGGAATAGACTGAAAAATGATTGCAAAGGAGTACAGGGAGGTCGAGGCTGCAGTAACCAATGATTATGCCACTGCACTTCAGCCTCAGTAATAGAGTGAGACCCTGCCTCTTAAAAAAAAAAAAAATTAAAATCAGGTAGTATTGGTATAAATGAGTATCAGATGGCCTATAAAGAAACTACAAAAACCTTCAGATGGTTCAAAGTATAGCCTAGATTGAAGGTCTAATTAACTAAGGCATTTTTGTTCTACCTTAGTGAATGTTAAAATTAATTCAGATTGAGACAATATTTATTTTAAAGACTTAGTAGAGCTGAGTAAACTACTTTTTTCCTTTCTTTTAATTTTTCATATAGGCTCTCAGGCAAGTATTGTCTCCAATATTAGCAGGAACTTTTTCCAAAGAAAACATCCAAAATGGGAGTTAAAAATCCAGTATAAAAACACTTCAGAAATATGAGATTGGTTTATATGGCTAGAAACAAGAATCTTAAAGTCATGTTTCAAGATATCATCCATTTCCACTATTTAATGTCTTTTCACTAGAAATATAAGTGAAGATGAACTTTATAGTCTATCTTAAATATTTATTAACCATTACTTCTGTTGGTGGTCAGGTTGTAGTATATACTGAAACAGAAAAATAGATGCATTTTGTCAGTTATTTTTGAGTATATTTAGTATTGGTATTTTGAGTATATTTAGTATTGGTATTTCTTATTCATATAATTCAATATTACTCATTACCAAATAATATGATCCATTATAGCAAATGAAAATATTTACAGATATACACAACATGTTTGTAGTATCTTTTTTCTGTACGACATGATTACAGATGTTGATTTTCTTCCTTGTGTCTTTTAATGTTTTTTTAACTGTTTTTCAGTTAACATACATTACAGAATATATGTCTTTTTTTTGTTGTTGTTTTTTGTTTGTTTGTTTTGTTTTGTTTTTTGAGACGGAGTCTCACTCTGTCACCCAGACTGGAGTGCAATGGTGCAATCTTGGCTCACTGAAGCCTCCATCTCCCAGGTTCAAGCAATTCTCCCACTTCAGCCTCCCAAGTAACTGTGACTACAGGAGCACACCACCACGTCGGCTAATTTTTGTATTTTTTTTAGTAGAGATGGGATTTCGCCATGTTGGCCAGGCTGGTCTCAAAATCCTGACCTCAGGTGATCCACCTGCCTCAGCCTCCCAAAGTGCTGGGATTATAGGTGTGAGCCACAGTGCCCGGCCAATGTCTGTCTTTTTTTTTTTCTTTTTTTTTGAGACTGAGTCTTGCTCTGTTGCCTAGGCTGGAGTGCAGTGGTGCAATCTCGGCTCACTGCAAGCTCCGCCTCCCAGGTTCATGCCATTCTCCTGCCTCAGCCTCTGGAGTAGCTGGGACTACAGGTGCCCGCCCCCATGCCTGGCTAATTTTTTTTTTTCTTTTTTTTTTTTTTGTAGAGACGGGTTTTCACTGTGTTAGCCAGGATGGTCTCGATCTCCTGACCTCGTTATCTGCCCGCCTCGGCCTCCCAAAGTGCTGGGATAACAGGCGTGAGCCACCGCACCCAGCCCAATGTCTGTCTTTTTTAAGTTGAGTGGTTCTGGCCTTGAGGAAACTTCTCCCATATCACAAGTACATCTTCTGTTTTCTTACAATCACACAGTCTCTTATTTTGTGATGTACTTAACTGTGTACCACAGTGGTCCCCAACCTTTTTTTTTTTTTTTTTTGAGATGGAGTCCCAGGCTGTAGTGCAGTAGTGTAATCTCAGTTCACTGCAACCTCTGCCTCCCAGACGCAAGCGATTCTCCTGCCTCAGCCTCCCAAATTCCTGGGATTATAGGCACATGCCACCATGCCTGGCTAATTTTTATATTTTAGTAGAGATGGGGTTTCACCATGTTGGTCAGGTTGGTCTCAAACTCCTGACCTCAGATGATCCACTGCCTTGGCCTCCCAAAGTGCTGGGATTACAGGTGTGAGCCCCTGTGCCTGGACCACAGAGGTCCCCAACCTTTTTAGCACCAGGGATCGGTTTCATGGAAGACAATTTTTCCGCAGACCGGGTGGTTTCGGGATGAAACTATTCCACCTCAGATCATCAGGCATTAGATTCTCATAAGGTGCACACAACCTAGATCCTTCACTTGTGCACAGTTCACAATAGGGTTCATGCTCCTATGAGAATCTGATGCTGCCACTGATCTGTCTGATGTGCCACTGATCACAGACTGACTGGTATCAGTCTGCCGCCTCGGGGTTGGTGACCCCTTGTGTACCACACAAAGCCTTAAATGTCCAGGGATGATCCAGGACTTCTTGACTGCTGGGATATCTGAACTGCTCTGTGTGTAGCTAAGTTAGAAATATTGGATGTCTTAAAAGATTTGTAACAAGATATATCATGAGTACACATGGAAAGTAATAAAACAGGAAAGCTTACATAGGAAGCATCTTAAGAAAGAGTAAATAGGAGAAAGGGAGTTTTCTTTGGCATTAGACAGAGTCATAGCCAGGAGAGTTACTCTTGATAAAATTTTTGTTGTAATGACTTCCTCATTACCTTATTTTTAATCCCCTTAGTATGTTTGTGCTACTGAAAGGAGCCACTAAGGAGCAGTCTTTTAAGATTGGTCAGGAAATTGCCGAAGCTGTAACTGCTACCAATCCTAAACCGGTGAAATTGAAGTTTGAAAAGGTAAGAGGAATATAATATTAGTAATCACATATAAAACTCACATGTCTTCTAGAGACCTCTGATTTGTTCAGTACATTTTCAGAATCACTGACAGTATATAGGTCTATTAAAGTGTTAAATTTGGGCCAGATGCAGTGGCTCATGTCTGTAATCCTGCTGTGGCCTTGGGAGGCCAAAGCAGGAGGGTTGCTTGAGACCAGGAGTTTGACACCAGCCTGGACAACATAGCCAGACCCCATCTCTACAAAAATTAAAAAGTTAACCAGGCATAGTGGCACACGCCTGTAGTCCCAGCTATTCCAGAGGCTGAAGTGGGAGGATCACTTGAGCCCAGGTGTTCAAGGTTACAGTGAACTGTGATTGACCAGTGCACTCCAGCCTGGGGAACAAAGTAAGACCCTGTCTCAAAAAAAAATAAAAATAAAAAATTACATTTTAAGTATTTTCTCTTTTGTATAATTTTCCCAAAATTTGTTTAGTAATGTATATATGTAAGGAAATGAAAACTTTGTTCTAGTAACTATTATTGTGTAACAGATCACCCCAAACTTAGTGGTGTAAAACAGCAAACATTTCATTCTGCTCACAGATTTTATGGCTCAGGAATTCAGACAGGGTGCGACTGGAATGGCTTTTCCCTGCTGCACAATATCTAGTTCCTTAGCTGAGAAGACTGTTAGGGGTTAGGGGTAACCCAACCAACAGCAAAAGGCTGAAACCATCTGAAGCTTGCTTACCAATCATGTCTGGTGATTGATGCTGGCTGCTAGTTGGGACATCAGCCAGAACACCTACCAGTGGCCTTTCACCGGGGCTGCTTGTTTTCCCTCACAACATGAGGGTTGGGTTCTAGGTGTGAACATCGCAAAGAGAAACAGACAAAAGCTGCTTTGTTTTTTATGACCCAGGCTCAAAGTCACAGTGTCACACACCTCTCTAGATTTAAAGGGAGTGAACATAGACCCCACTATTAATAGGAAGAATGTCAAAGTCACAATGGAACAAGACCACATAGAATGGAAGATATATTCTTTCTTTGCAAAACAAAGTTTATCACAAGGACTTTCAACTCTTTTTCACTTACCTTTAGATATCAAATATGTCTTTCTTTCTTTCTGTATAAAAGATACTTAGCCTGGGAACTCTGTGGAATACAAAGAAACGTAAGACACAGTCCTGCCCTCTAAGAGCCAGAAATCTAAAAGGAAAGGTTAATTTATATAAGCATTCTCTTTTGTTACAAACATAACAGAAAGCAAGATGAGAATAGTCTGCTTAAACACTGTGAGAGCACAAAGGAAAGGAGGAATTGTGTCCTCCTGGGCTGGATAGAGAGACTCCATATAGGAAGTAACGATGAAATGTGTCTTGAAAAATGGTTATGTCTTGAAAAATGCTTAGAATTTCAGTAGGCAGACGTGGGGCTGCAATCATTCTGAACAGAAGAAAATGGCATGTATGGAATTGGAAAAGCACAGTATGGAAATACAGGGTAGCAGGAGATAGATCTGGAAAAATAAAGTTGAGACCAGACTATAGACTGTCTTGAATACCAAGCTGAAGTGTTTATACTTTATTTAGTAAATAAACAAAACTGGTAGTGCAAAAGAACAAAATTGGTAGTGCAAGAAAAGGAGTGAGCAAGTGGTAACAACTTAAAGACAATTCATTTTGCTCCCACGTCTTATATCATGAATTTGTTGGGCCCTAAGTCATATTTAGAATTTTTTTAAGAATGGATATTTGATTAAAGAAAGCACAGAGACATAAAAATAAAATATTCTTGGTGGGGGAAAAATGGTTAAGAGGCATTTTATTAATTTTACCACAGGTATATTTGCCCTGTGTTTTACAAACAAAAAAGAGGTATGTGGGTTACATGTATGAAACACTGGATCAGAAGGACCCGGTATTTGATGCAAAAGGAATAGAAACAGTCAGAAGAGATTCCTGCCCTGCTGTTTCTAAGGTAAGGTTTATCTATCTTGTCATCATCTGTGAGAAAGAAGTGGCTAAAGTATCTGGTGAAAATATAGCCTGTATAATTATATATAACTATAGAAGAAACTACATTAATTTTGAGAATTTTATTTGTAGTGTTTTGTTTTGTTTTTGTTTGTTTGAGACAGGGTCTCACTTTGTCACCCAGGCTGGAGTGCAGTAGTCCAATCCTGGCTCCCTGCAGCCTTAACCTCCTGGGTTCAAGCAATCTTTCTGCCTCAGCCTCCTGAGTAGATAGAATTTTATTTCTAATAATGTATTTGATTTTAGTCCTTAAGTTTCTGACTTCCCCCCATACCTTATGTTTTATCAAAATTACTAAAAAGCAATACATGAGAGTTTCCTGCCTATTGCCTGGAGATCATATATGTCATATTGTAACAACTCCCAAAAGCAGAGCAGGATAAACAAGAGAAACAGACCCCGTGTGGTGGCCCACACCTGTAATCCCAGCACTTTGGGAGGCCAAGGCAGGCAGATCACTTGAGGTCAGGAGTTCGAGACCAGCCTGGCAAACAGTGAAACCCCATCCGTACTAAAAATACAAAAATTACCCAGGTGTGGTGGCGCATGCCTGTAATCCCAGCTACTCGGGAGGCCGAGGCGTGAGTACTTGAACTTGGGAGGCAGAGGCTGCAGAGAGCCAAGATCACAACACTGCACTCCAGCCTGGGCAACAGAGTGAGACTCCGTCAAAATAAAAAAAAAGAGAAACAGAGATTGCATAAGTAACATAATCCATTCCAGATTAACTGAACTTTCACTTATTTGGATTATCAAATGCAAATTAGGAAGATTTCCAAACAATTAGCTATAAATTACTCAAATTTCTCAACCATAATAACCATGGTTTTTGGCTTTTTCTTTACTTGGGCCTAAACTCCTTCTATAGCAAAACAAAAATAAATGGTATAAATGGGAATAGCACTCTATATACTGTTTTGTGAGAGCATTAAAAGCATAATGGATTGAATATTATCAATGTATTATGTCATATATATAATATGTGAATTTGGGATTTTTTTCAGCACTATTTCTGGAAGGGATATAATCCAGTACCTTCTTTCTCTGTAGGCAGACTTGTACCCAAGCTAAATTAACAAGATTATTGTATAAATATCCATTGGTTCTAGTATTCAGAATAAGACACAGAGCTTTCACCTAGAACTAACTTAAATTTAATCTACTTGGCCGGGCACGGTGGCTCACGCCTATAATCCCAGCACTTTGGGAGGCCGAGGCGGGCGGATCACGAGGTCAGGAGATCGAGACCATCCTGGCTAACACGGTGAAACCCCGTCTCTACTAAAACAAAAAAGTAGCCGGGCATGGTGGCATGCACCTGTAGTTCCAGCTACTCGGGAGACTGAGGCAGGAGAATTGCTTGAACCCGAGAGGCAGAGGTTGCAGTGAGCCAAGATCATGCCATTGCACTTCAGCCTGAGCGACAAAGCAAGACTCCATCTCGGGAAAAAAAAAAAATTAATCTACTTACATAAATCCACTGCATGTTGGTTATTTCCTAGTAGAAATTTCCAACACAGAAAATTCTGTCACAGTTATTTATCAACACCATAAAAAGTCAAAAAGGCTGATTTGGATTTGACTGCCTGGTAATCTTTAAACTTCTCTGTGCTGCCTGTAACTGAATCAGGACCCTTTCTATACTGGTAAATAAAAAAACAATACGTGAGCTCGTGTCTGGTTTCTTGTACCTGGAGTGCTTTGACTATTTAAAAAAAAATTGCATGTTTTATGTTGCTTATCACATAGCAAATGTTAATTTGCATGTCATTCTACATGATTTTCCTCAAACTACATGATACTCTATTTTTAGAAATAGCAAGCTCTATAAAGTCTCAAATAACTTTCAATTTTTAATAATTTTTATTATCCCATCATTGTAAGTAACAGATTATTTAGGTAGGTTAGCAAGTTACCCAGTAGTTACATAATTGAAAGTATAATAACAATGGTGAAACATACTAGGAGATATTTTATCTTTACTTGCGTATCTGTTTTGTTTTAAGATACTTGAGCGTTCTCTAAAGCTGCTATTTGAAACAAGAGATATAAGTCTAATTAAACAGTATGTTCAGCGACAATGTATGAAGCTTCTGGAAGGAAAGGCCAGCATACAAGACTTTATCTTTGCCAAGGAATACAGAGGAAGTTTTTCTTATAAACCAGGAGCTTGTGTGCCAGCCCTTGAACTTACAAGGTAATGATACCCTCAGTACCTTGCCAGGATAGTCCTGGGATTCTGCACAGGTCTAGAGTACAATTGTTTCTTTACCTGCGCACATGAAGCCTCACTGAAGGTTAGTGAATACTCCCTCATACTTTGTAAGGTGTGAAGAGGAAATCCTCTTTTGGGCTTTCCTTCAGAAACTTATGCAAAGAAATTGTGACACAGTGCTTGATTCATTTGTTTTTCCCACTTCAAAATGATTAGGTAGTCCTTAATATTGTTCTACCGAAGCATTTAGATGGTATCATATTGGAATCAGATTGTTTAACTGGATAAATTTTCTCTTATCTTTCATGGTAGATTTATGATAGGTAGTTCTCATTCTTAGGGGATAAAATACATCTTTTTCCCGCCCCGGGAGGCAGGGTCTCACTCCGTCGCCTAGGCTGGAAAGAAGTGGTGCAATCACAGCTCATTGCAGCCTTGACCTCCCAGGCTCAAGCGATCCTTCCACGTTGGCCGCCCAAGTAGCTGGGATAACAGGTGTGCACCATTATGATGGCTAATTTTTTTGTGGAGATGGGGGTCTCACTGTGTTGCCCAAGCTGGTCTCAAACTCCTGGGCTCAGGCGATCCTTGGCCTCCCAAAATGCTAGGATTACAGGCACGAGCCACCACTCCCACCTAAAGTACATCTTAAGCTAGTTGATATCTGCCAACTCATTATTTTCCAGGTAACAATGATTTATGGAGTAATTTTTAAACTCCTGTAGCATATCTATACTTGGTGTCAACTAAGCAAAATGTATATTATTCTCAAATAGTAATTATGTTTTGAAAGTGTCTTTTGTAGCTTTTTCATTGTTTTATTGTTGTTTAACTCTGACTTAATTTGCGAGAAAGATGGCTTCCGTGACAGTATTTGGGTGTGGTGTTTTTTTTTTTTTTAATTTGAATAGGAAAATGCTGACTTATGACCGGCGCTCTGAGCCTCAAGTTGGTGAGCGAGTGCCATACGTCATCATTTATGGGACCCCCGGAGTACCACTTATCCAGCTTGTAAGGCGCCCAGTGGAAGTCCTGCAGGACCCAACTCTGAGACTGAATGCCACTTACTATATTACCAAGCAAATCCTTCCACCCTTAGCAAGAATCTTCTCACTTATTGGTATTGATGTCTTCAGCTGGTATCATGAATTACCAAGGGTAAGCTTACCAAATAGTACATGTACTCTAACTATGGAGAGATTTCACTCCAAATTTTCAGTAGAACTAAAGATTTTTTGTGCTATTGATATGGGAGTGCTGGGAAGGGAACAGTGTGGTCCCGTTAAATGATACGGAAAGGGAGAAGGGAAGTACTGGGTAGAGAAAGGTGGGTCCCTGGCTAGGGCTCCACCCCCACGGACCTAGGTGAGGATAGGTGCTCCTGCTTTCATGCCCAAATGTTGCATTTTCCAAGACCACCTTGGCCTGCCACGCCCCAATCCTGGGCCAGTAAAAACCCAAGACCCTAGTAGGCAGACACACAAGCGGCTGGACGTCGTGAGGAACACTTCGGTGGAAGACCCAAGTGGCTGGTTGTCAAGAGGAGCATGCCAGCAGAACAGCACAGCGAGAGGCACTGGCATGCTGGCAGGCCATTGACTGGCAGAACGAGGTGGAGTTTGGCCAGGACAATCGGAGAAGAGACGGAGTCACCTAGCAGCCCAACCCCAGGGGAAAACCATCTCCCTTCTGATTCCACCATCAGATGAGAGCTACTTCTACTCAATAAAACATTGCACTCAGTCTCCAAGCCCACGGGTGATTGGATTCTTCTGGTACACCAAGGCAAGAACCCGGATACAGAAAGCCCTCCATCCTTGAGACAAGCTAGAGGGTCTAATTGAGTTGGTTAACACAAGCCACCTATAGACGGCAAACTAAAAGAGTACTCTGTAACACACACCCACTGGGGCTTCAGCTGTAAACATTCACCCCTAGACACTGCCGTGGGGCCAGAGCCCCACAACCTGCCTGTCTATGCTCCCCTAGAGGTGTGAGCAGCAGGGCACTGAAGCAGCAAGCCATTCCCCCTGTCGCACACCCTGCGAGGGGAACAAGGGAACCTTTCCTATTTCACTATGAGAGCAAAGCAGATCCTCTATCCTAAACTGGCAAAGATGCCACGCTCTTCTGGTTTCCTAAAAGCGAAACTTTTAAGTATTCTACAAACACATACCTAGCTTCTGTCAAGTTGTCCAAATTATAGAAATATTAAAATAAATCCCACAATTTCAATGGTGAACAGCCCCAAAATAACGTAGAATAAACGAGTTAATGGAAAATAAATGGACAGCAAAAATTCCTTCGAAATGAATGTCTAAGAAAGGTGTAGGATTTAGTATCTAGACACAGTCCTAAAGAAACCAGAATTACTGCAATGGTAAAATAGCATTATAGTTGTTCTCCAACTTACGATGGTTCAACTTAAGATTTTCCTACTTTATGATGGTGCAAAAATAATATGCATTCAGTAGAAACCATAGTTCAAGTACCCATACAACCATTCTGTTTTTCATTTTCAGTACAGTATTCAATAAATTCCATGAGATATTCAACACTTTATTATAAAATAGGCTTTGTGTTAGATGATCTTGCCCACCTGTATGTTACTGTAAGTGTTCTAAGCACACATCCTGGCTCTAATGCAGGAAATTCATATTCTTTATTACTAATGTTCATTTCATCACCAGCAAGAATGTTAACCCAATGACATTTGTAAGAGGCTAACCTAATAACTTTCTTACAAAGTGATTTATTGTGGCACTATTCACACTGGCAAAGACTTGGAATCAACCCAAATGTCCATCAATGATAGACTGGATTAAGAAAATGTGGCAAATATACACCATGGAATACTATGCAGCCGTAAAAAAGGATGAGTTCATGTCCTTTGCAGGGACATGGTTGAAGCTGGAAACTATCATTCAGCAAACTATCATAAGGACAGAAAACTAAACACTGCCTGTTCTCACTGATAGGTGGGAATTGAACAATGAGAACACTTGGACACAGGGCGGGGAACATCACACACCAGGGCCTGTCGGGGGGTGGGAGACTAGGGGAGGGATAGCATTAGGAGAAATACCTAATGTAAATGATGAGTTGATGGGTGCAGCAAACCAACATGGCACATGTATACCTATGTAACCTGCATGTTATGCACATGTACCCTAGAACTTAAATTATAGTAATTTAAAAAAAATGTATCTGATGATAAGATGTAAGTTCCATGAAAGCAAGGACTTCATTCATTTCTGTAGCTCCAGTGTCTGGAACAGTGCCTGGCACATAGTAGCTACTCAACATTTGTTGAATGAGTGAGTGAATGAATGAATGAATGAATGAATGAATGAAATAATGCCTGAGTAAACCTGTAATTAGCATGAAAATAGCAGCTCTGCTGTGAAGCTGACTCACTTCTGAATGGATGTTTTTATAGATCCATAAAGGTACCAACTCCTTGCGAAGTGAACCTGAAGGGCGGAAAGGCACTATTTCACAATATTTTACTACCTTACACTGTCCTGTGTGTGATGACCTAACTCAGCATGGCATCTGTAGTAAATGTCGGAGCCAACCTCAGCACGTTGCAGTCATCCTCAACCAAGAAATCCGGGAGTTGGAACGTAAACAGGAGCAACTTGTAAAGGTACAGTTTTGTTCCATAGGCCTGGAATCAAAAGCAGTCTGATCTTACAGGAAGATATAGTCAACTCTTGAATTACAGTAGAGATATGAAACTGGTATGAAAAGTGAAATGAAGAGTCTAAATGATAAACTTCATAAAAATCTCAAAAATGTAATTAAACTATTAATAATGGTTTAATTTGTTTTATAACTTTTTTTTTCAATGGAATAGTGTGTTGTGTTTCTTAATAGCTACAACAAGAATGGCCATCCTTCCAATTTCTTTTATAATACAGGTTGAGCATCCCTAATTGAAAAAAATCAAAATTCAGAATGCTCCAAAATCTGAAAGTTTTTGAGCACCAACGTGACTCCCAAAGGGAATGCTCATCAGAGCATTTCAGAGTTCAGATTTTCTGATTAATGATACTCAACCAGTAAGTATAATGAATGCACTTATTCCAAAACCTGAAAAAATTTGAAATCTGAAACACTTCTGGTCTTAAGCATTTCAAATAAGGGATACTCAATCTACAGTATTAAAAAGAAGGAAAACTCTCAGTTGCTCTATTAGTGCTTACCATTCTTTAAAGGAAAATACCTAGTTGTCTTAGAGAATTGCTTGCTAGTAAACTTGGAAGGTTTACAATTCTGAGAGTCCAGACAGATGATTAATGACATGATTGAGTCATACTGTGTGCCAGAGACTGTTCTAGGCACCCTTACAGGTGAGTAAACTGACACAAAGAGTTTAAGTGATTTGCATGTTATAGTGCTGATAAGTGGCTGAGGTGGGATATAGACATAAAATGCAAGGATGATTTTTAAAGTATGGGAATTCTAGCAGAAATAAACAAACATCTTGAAGTAAATTGAATTAAATCTAAAGAAAAATTGACCACCTCACACCCCCCAATAAAATCATTACTCGTTATTATGGTTGATAAGTCATCTCCATTCTGTCCCTACCTGCTATCCCTGTGTCACCATTTCTTGCTCTTCTCTGTGTCACACTCTGTCTACCTCCACCCATACCATACTGAACTTCTCTTAGGTCTGTGAATGCTCCTCGCTGCCTCTTCCTGGCCTTTAAACACCCTGCTCCTTCTGCCAGGAACACTTCACCCATCCCACCCCACCCTTCCTCATCTGAGGAATCAGCTGAAACCCCTAGACTGGGTGAAGCCTTCCCTGCAGCAGACTCCTGCCATAATCTTCTCTGCTGTACTGTGATTTGGGGTTCGTCTGTCTTTCTCACTAAATAGCAAATGAACCAGTGACACATTTCCTGTTCTTTCACTGTCAAGTCAGTTATGCCTAGCATATAGCCAAGTCCATGGGGCTGGTCTGTAAATATTTACTGAATGAATGAACAAGTTCCTACTTAATGCATGGTTAAAGAAGGAATATATCACTGGAGTTATTACCAACCAACTTTCAGCCATTTTGTACCAGTTTTGTGGTTCTAGTTAGTACAACCACTGAAGTCACTGGGTGCTCCCAGCTTCTATTTATTTTATAGACTTCAGTCCTGATGGCAGCAGCCAACTCTCATAGAAAATTCCCTTGTTGGATCCTAGTATGAGGCCTAGGTGAGAGCAGGACCTTCTGCTAAGGTCAGTCTGTTAAATGGTCCTTTCCTAGACTTTCTTATGTTGTTTCTGCACTCAGTGACAAACACATCACTACTTGGTGCCATCAATTTACCCAGAGCCCATCCTCCTTCAACATTAGGTGTTCATTCTTTTTTCTTTGTATTTATTTATTTTTATTTTATTTTATTTTATTTTTTGAGGCAGAGTCTCACTTTGTCACCCAGACTGAAGTGCAATGGCATGATCACAGCTCACTGCAACCTCAACCTCCTGGGCTCACGTGATCCTCCCAGCTCAGCCTCCCAAGTAGCTGGGACTACAGGCATATCCCACCATGTTTGACTAATTTTTTAATTTTTTTTTTTAGACATGGGGTCTCACTATGTTGCCCAGGCTGGTCTCAAACTCTTGGACTCAAGCAGTCCTCCTGCTTCAGCCGCCCAAGGGCTGGGATTACAGGCTTGAACCACCATGCCCAGCCATCTTATTTCTTATAAAAATACAGTTTAAAAGAAAGTGATGGCACAGCCATAAAAAAAAAGAACAAAATCAGCCAGGCATAGTGGTGGCTCATGCCTATAAATCCCAGCACTTTGGGAGGCCAAGGCAGGCGGATTACTTGAGGTCAGGAGTTCGAGACTAGCCTGACAAATATGGAGAAACCCATCTCTACTAAAGACAAAATTAGCCAGGCATGGTGGCACATGTCTGTAATCCCAGCTACTCAGGAGGCTGAGGCAGGAGAATCACTTGAACCCGGGAGGCAGAGGTTGCAGTGAGCTGAGATCGCAGCATTGCATTCCAGCCTGGGCAACAAGAACAAAACTCTGTCTCAAAAAAAAAAAAAAAAAAGTCATGTCCTTTGCAGCAACATGGATGCAGCTGGGGCCATTATCCTAAGCAAATTAACTCAGAAACAGAAAACCAAATACCGCATGTTCTCACATATAAGTTCTCACCTATAATAAACATTGGGTACTCATGGACATAAAAATGGGAACGATAAACACTAGGGATTCCAAAAGCGGGGTGGGGAGAGGAAAAGTTGAAAAACCACTCGTCGGGTACTACATTTACCGCATGGGCAACAGGATCTTTAGAAGCTCAAGCCTCAGCATCATACAGTATACCCATGTAACAAACCTACATGTGTACCCTAGGATCTATAAATAAAATTTTTAAAAAGCGATACTATTTATAAATAATGATGGTTGTCATCTTTCAAGAGCTATTTTAATTTGAGGTGTTTTTCAAGAATGTTCAAATGAATGTCTCCCATGCACTAATTTGTAGAAATTTTTAATGATGCAGAAATTACTAGAGATGTAGTGAGAATTAGAAACACATCCAAACAGGAGATTTTACATCGTTCTCAATCTAAGACCAATCAAGTGGTCAGAAGTGTGAAGTTATGGAAATTCTAAACATTGTAAGTCAGACTTTGTGATTATATATCAAACTCTGTAACCCAGTACCAAAAAATATACTTCTTAAGTATTTCTAGAATGTTTTAAAAAAGGCCATGTCTGGCCAGGCGTGGTGGCTCTTGCCTGTAATCCCCACACTTTAGGAGGCCAAGGCAGGTAGATCACCTGAGGTCAGAGTTCGAGGCATTTGAAATGGAGAAATTTCATGGTTTCTCCATTGAAATTTCTACTAAAACCCCAAAATTTATCCTAGAAACCCCAACTCTACTAAAAAATACAAATATTAGCCAGGCATGGTGGCACGAGCCTTGTACTCCCAACTACTCAGGAGGCTGAGGCAGGAAAATCACTTGAACCCGGGAGGCGGAGGCTGCAGCCAGCCAAGATCACACCACCGAACTCCAGCCTGGGTGACAGAGCAAGACTCCATCTCAAAAAAAAAAAAAAAAAAAGTCATAGTCTAAAGAAACCCTCGGCAGGGCATCGTGGCTCACGCCTATAATCCCAGCACTTTGGGAGGCTGAGGCAGGAGGGTCACTTGAGGTCAGGAGTTCGAGACCAGCGTGGCCAACATGGCAAAACCCCATCTCTACTAAAAATACAAAAATTAACAGGGCATGGTGGCAGGCACCTATAATCCCAGCTACTTGGGAGGCTGAGGTAGGAGAATCACTTGAGCCAGGGAGGCAGAGGTTACAGTGAGCCAAGATTGTGCCACTGCACTCCAGCCTGAGCAACAGAGTGAGACTCTATTTCAAAAATAGTAACATTAAAATAATAAAAATTAAAAATTAGCCAGGCATGGTGGTAGGCACCTGCAATCCCAGCTACTACTTAGGAGGCTGAGGCAGGAGAATCGCTTGAACCTGGGAAGCAGAGGTTGCAGTGATCTGAGATCGTGCCACTGCACTACAGCCTGGGCAACAGAGTGAGACTCCATCTCAAAAAAAAAAAAAAAAAAAAAAAAGAAAAAGGAAAGAAAAGCCTCAATACACTTCAAAAAGTAGAAATATTAGAAATGAATGTAATACAATACAATGCTATAAAAATGGTAATTACAAACTAACAAAACAAAGTGATCCTTCCACTTGCACATTCTGTTAAACAAAATGAAAACACTGCAAATCAGATTCTAGATGGCAGATCGCAGAGAAAAATTCATCACCTAAACAATCATAAACATGAAAGAATGAAAGCAAATGAAGTAAGCATCTGACTGAAAAAAAATTTTTGAGACAAAGTCTCACTCTGTTGCCCAGACCGGAGTGCAGTGGTGCGATCTTGGCTCACTGCAACCTCTGCCTCCCAAGTTCAAGAGATTCTCCTGCCTCAGCCTCCTGAGTAGCTGGGATTACAGGCGTGCACCACCACGCCCAGCTAATTTTTGTATTTTTAGTGGAGACGATTTCACAGTGTTGGCCAGGCTGGTCTCAAACTCCTGACCTCAGGTGATCCACTTGCTTCCGCCTCCCAAAGTGCTAGGATTACAGTCATGAGCCACTGTGCCCAGCCTTAACTGAATTTTGTTTAAATAAGAAAGCCAAAGGATAGTAAAAAGAATAAAGATTAAAGCAGGTATTTTTTTAAGTGCCTGCCTCCCTATGATCTTCAAAGTAGATGTCCAGGTTGGGGCATTTAAGGTTTTAAATGTAAGCCTGAATCAAGCTATAATGCTCAGGGTTTAAACCACCAGTAAAGGATCTTGAAACTAAACACTGAGTTAAATTTAGTGCGTCAAGTAATTCCATCCTGGCTTATTTATCAGACAAGCACAGAAAGAGCTTAAATATTTATCAGTTTGTCCTGGCACCTGAATGTAACTGCAATTCATAGAGCTGTAATACAGAAATTCTATATTTGGGAATAGATTTGAGTCTCTTGGCAGAGATCTAATTAGCAAAGGCTTCATCATAGAACAGCATACTCAGTCTTCATGGAGCATACTGAAGCACATGTTTCTAAGCAGTCTGCTTGTGACAATATCATAATATTGGATACAGTAACCAGTCTCCCTAGAAAAAATGTGCCCTTCGGTTGACTGGAAGATAACTGGGGCAAAGAACAAAAATTCATTGGCCTGTGAGCCATTCCTGAAACTGAAACCCTTTGATAAATATAGATCAAAGAATTCACTAGAGCGTATTTGATTTCTCTTAAAAGGCAATCCAGAGTAGTTGCTGCCATTTGGTATTGATTTTTAAAATCACTTGTCTACAGTATTCAGGGGGAAAGTTGGCCTGCGTTTTCTTAACCTTTGGAGTCCTCACTGGCATTCTTTTTAATTTTTTTTTTTTTTATTATACTTTAAGTTCTAGGGTACAGGTGCATAATGTGCAGGTTTGTTACATATGTATACATGTACCATGTTGGTGTGCTGCACCCATCAACTTGTCAGCACCCATCAACTTGTGTTTTACATCAGGTATAACTCCCAATGCAATCCCTCCCTGCTTCCCCCTCTCCATAATAGGCCCCGGTGTGTGATGTTCCCCTTCCTGAGTCCAAGTGATCTCATTGTTCAGTTCCCACCTATGAGTGAGAACATGCAACGTTTTGTTTTCTGTTATTGCAATAGTTTGCTGAGAATGATGGTTTCAGCTGCATCTATGTCCCTACAAAAGACACAAACTCATCCTTTTTTATGGCTGCGTAGTATTCCATGGTGTATATGTGCCACATTTTCTTAATCCAGTCTGTCACTAATGGACATTTGGGTTGATTCCAAGTCTTTGCTATTGTGAATAGTGCTGCAATGAACATATGTGTGCATGTGTCTTTATAGCAGCATGATTTATAATCCTTTGGGTATATCCCCAGTAATGGGATGGCTGGGTCATATGGTACTTCTAGTTCTAGATCCTTGAGGAATCGTCATACTGTTTTCCATAATGGTTGAACTAGTTTACAGTCCCACCAACAGTGTAAAAGTGTTCCTATTTCTCCACAACCTCTCCAGCACCTGTTGTTTCCTGACTTTTTAATGATTGCCATTCTAACTGGTGTGAGATGGTATCTCATTGTGGTTTTGATTTGCATTTCTCTGATGGCCAGTGATGACGAGCATTTTTTCATGTGTCTGTTGGCTGTATGCATGTCTTCTTTTGAGAAATGTCTGTTCATATCCTTTGCCCATTTTTTGATGGGGTTGTTTGTTTTTTTCTTGTAAATTTGTTTGAGTTCTTTGTAGGTTCTGGATAGTAGCCCTTTGTCAGATGAGTAGATTGCAAAAATTTTCTCCCATTCTGTAGGTTGCCTGTTCACTCTGATGGTAGTTTCTTTTGCTGTGCAGAAGCTCTTTAGTTTAATTAGATCCCATTTGTCAATTTTGGCTTTTGTTGCCGTTGCTTTTGGTGTTTTAGACATGAAGTCCTTGCCCATGCCTATGTCCTGGATGGTATTACCTAGGTTTTCTTCTAGGGTTTTTATGGTATTAGGTCTAACATTTAAGTCTCTAAAGGGGATATCACTACCGACCCCACAGAAATACAAACTACCATCAGAGAATACTATAAACACCTCTACGCAAATAAACTAGAAAATCTAGAAGAAATGGATAATTTCCTGGACACTTACACTCTCCCAAGACTAAACCAGGAAGAAGTTGAATCCCTGAATAGACCAATAGCAGGCTCTGAAATTGAGGCAATAATTAATAGCCTACCAACCAAGAAAAGTCCAGGACCCAGATGGATTCACAGCTGAATTCTACCAGAGGTACAAGGAGGAGCTGGTACCATTCCTTCTGAAACTGTTCCAATCAATAGAAAAAGAGGGAATCCTCCCTAACTCATTTTATGAGGCCAACATCATCCTGATACCAAAGCCTGGCAGAGACACAACAAAAAAAGAGAATTTTAGACCAATATCCCTGATGAACATCGATGCAAAAATCCTCAATAAAATACTGGCAAACCAAATCCAGCAGCACATCAAAAAGCTTATCCACCATGATCAAGTGGGCTTCATCCCTGGGATGCAAGGCTGACTCAACATATGCAAATCAATAAACGTAATCCAGCATATAAACAGAACCATAGACAAAAACCACATGATTATCTCAATAGATGCAGAAAAGGCCTTTGACAAAATTCAATAGCCCCTTCATGCTAAAACCTCTCAATAAATTTGGTATTGATGGAATGTATCTCAAAATAATAAGAGCTATTTATGACAAACCCACAGCCAATATCATACTGAATGGGCAAAAACTGGAAGCATTCCCTTTGAAAACTGGCACAAGACAGGGATGCCCTCTCTCACCACTCCTATTCAACATAGTGTTGGAAGTTCTGGCTAGGGCAATCAGGCAAGAGAAAGAAATCAAGGGGATTCAGTTAGGAAAAGAGGAAGTCAAATTGTCCCTGTTTGCAGATGACATGATTGTCTATTTAGAAAACCCCATCATCTCAGCCCAAAATCTCCTTAAGCTGATAAGCAACTTCAGCAAAGTCTCAGGATACAAAATTAATGTGCAAAAATCACAAGCATTCTTACACACCAGTAACAAACAGAGAGCTAAATCATGAATGAACTTCCATTCACAATTGCTTCAAAGAGAATAAAATACCTAGGAATCCAACTTACAAGGGATGTAAAGGACCTCTTCAAAGAGAACTACAAACCACTGCTCAGTGAAATAAAAGAAGACACAAACAAATGGAAGAACATACCATGCTCATGGACAAGAAGAATCAATATCATGAAAATGGTCATACTGCCCAAGGTAATTTATAGATTCAATGCCATCCCCATCAAGCTACCAATGACTTTCTTCACAGAATTGGAAAAAACTGCTTTAAAGTTCATATGGAATCAAAAAAGAGCCCGCATTGCCAAGACAATCCTAAGTCAAAAGAACAAAGCTGGAGGCATCATGCTACCTGACTTCAAACTATACTACAAGGCTACAGTAACCAAAACAGCTTGGTACTGGTACCAAAACAGAGATATAGACCAATGGAACAGAACAGAGTCCTCAGAAATAATACCACACATCTACAGCCATCTGATCTTTGACAAACCTGACAAAAACAAGAAATGGGGAAAGGATTCCCTATTTAATAAATGGTGCTGGGAAAATTGGCTAGCCATAAGTAGAAAGCTGAAACTGGATCCTTTCCTTACTCTTTATACGAAAATTAATTCAAGATGGATTAGAGACTTAAATCTTTTTAATTTTTTTATGTTCTTCATGTTTTATATTTTTTTAACTGTATATGCAACTTCAGACTTTTAAGTATTTTTAAAAATCTGATCATTGTGTAAAACATTATAATGGTTCTCTTTTTAAAAATTGCCTTATGATTTATTACTTTCCTTAAGATCAGACCTTATTATACATTCAAATCATCTGGGAAGCCTTAAGAAGTACAGATTCTTAGCCTTTCATGCCCAGACATTCTGACTCATTATGGGTCTGGGATGGGGCATTTGTTTATTTTTAAGCTCATTGTTAGCCAGGGTTAAGAACCACTGGTCTGCACCACTACTTTCAAATTCACATTTGATTTTTTTTTTATACTGGCTTTTCTCTTCTGGAATAAGAAAAAGAGTAACTTTTTTTATGATTGGCATATGATAACATAGTCTAAGTAATTTGAAAAAAATTGTGCTTATAGTTCATTTAAGAGACATTCTTTGATAATTGGGTAGTTTACGTGGATTTTAATAGGATTCCATTGTAAATGAAAGTTAATCTTAGGAATTAAATGAATCCTTAGGGAAATTTGTACTCTTATGTTTTCAAAATAGTATCCTTTAGAAATGTCTCAACATAGGGTAGTCTAGGCTTCTAAGCAATTAAACTTAATGAAAGTTTCTATAATGTATGTCTGCCAGTAATCTGTGGTAGTCTAGAAAGTAGGGATTATAGAAATTTGTTGTTTGCATGTGCACATAAAAATTTTCCTATTATTTTTTGTATTTCTCTTATGCTTTCAGATATGCAAGAACTGTACAGGTTGCTTTGATCGGCACATCCCATGTGTTTCTCTGAACTGCCCAGTACTTTTCAAAGTCTCCCGAGTAAACAGAGAATTGTCCAAGGCACCATATCTCCGGCAATTATTAGACCAGTTTTAAATTGTCAATATCAGAGAATTACAGGTGCTATTTTTTTCAGTGTTTACCACTAAACTGTTGTGCATGGTGCTTTTTAACTTTCATCGAGTCAAGGATGTTCACTGTCTGTCTGTTATCTGAAGACTATGAAGACTTCTATGCTAACTGAATTAAAATGTACTTGTTGATCTCTGAATAGCTCACTTCTTACAATGTACAAATTCCTCATTCTGTCACCTTTTAAACATTGTTTTATAATGCAGGTGTTGGATTTGCTCCAGTACATGTACCACCTTGTAAATCCATTTGAGTAGATCATGTTTACTTCCCAGTGGAAGGAGCACTGAAAACCTCTTAAAGAAAAACCATTCGTGTGTTTTCCTTGAACTGTCTGTATCAAGACGTGTTACTTCGAGATATCCATTCACTTTATAATTTTGACTGCAAAATATTTTGTAAATACACTTTTTTACTTTTCAAACAACTGAGTAAAATAATGTGCAATGACTTTTATACAAATGATTTTCAAGTTGTTTGGTATATTTCCTCTAGGTTTTGCTTGACTCAAAGTAGATCGTTATTTTGATCAAACTGTGCAAACAGTAGTACCATGTGTAGCATTTTGAAACATTATTTTTAAAAAAATGCTGTCTTGCTTTAGCTATTAATGGGGCATTGTGAGGAACTGTGCAAAGACATTTTTGTTACAAACCTGTGGGCCTGTTGCAATACTTCAAAAATAAAAAATTTTATTCCATTTGCTTGTTTTGTATAGACATTTCTATTGCTTCTAAATATGCTTAAAATATTTTCTTTCCTTATGTACTGTACAGTTAATCTTATTTGCCATCATCCTGAACACAAAATGTGTATTTAGAATATTTGTATAACTGTGTAAAATAAAAAAGGAATTATGTGGTCAGTGCATTGTTTTTTAAACTGGAAATCATTTTGTTTTAAAAGTTAATAATGGAAACCCTATTAAAATTGAATAAAATATAAAATATAGCAGTGTGACTTCATGTTTTTTATAAGTCTACATTGGTTACATCCTACCCTAGCCTTTTCTGAGTTTTAATGAAGTAAATTTAACACATTTTTATATCCTGTTTGATATTGCAATTTCCTTACCAAAACTTCAGGGTTAAAACAAAAAAAAAGGCAGCAAAAAAAGGAAAATTTAGCACTCATCCTCTTAGAGAGTTCTAAAAGTGTACTTGTTAGTAGATCTTCAGTGTTCATTTTCATTTTGATATAATTAATCTTGGGGTCAGGACTTTCCAGAGGGAAAGCAAAAACTACATTACTTCTTAAAAACTTAAATGCCAATTTTTATATGCCTGTTTTTTTCAATAGAAAAAAGTTCTTATTTTGACAGAATTACCTAGTTACTTAACAGAAATAGGTCTCCATTGCCAGAATATGTACTTACAAATGTTGGGAGGATTCATTTTCTGAAAATTACATGGTAAATATTGGAACCAAAGAGATACATAGCCTGTGTCTGAACATAATTTCTCTCAAATTTTGCTAAGACATAACAAATTCCCGCTTTTGGGGATATTTTTTGCTTGGAAGGCTGGGGCTAGCCCTCAGTGTTGGGGTTTTCTTTCCCTTACGTGGGTAGATTGATGAAGTTCTGTTACTTACAGGTTCTGTGCTGTCAGGACTTCCACATACATCATAGTGACTTGACACAATATTTTCAACAGAATAACCATTTTTAACCTGATTATAATTGGATACAGCCATATTAACAAATGGTCATTCAACATGAATGCGTAAAACTAGCTCACACTCCGCCTGTCTCTGGTTCTGTTTTCCGTAGGGAAATTCCTCCTTTGTAACTGTCCTCAGAGTCTGTAGCTTAACTGCCTTTTAGTGAGGTCCATTTGCTGTTTCACTAACTCATCTGGGAGGGTGGTGAAATTTGGACCTGTTTTACCAAGAAATTTTCTTCTAAGGATCTTCCTATGTTCCATAATTTTCCCTCCATTTTAGATGTCTATTAATAAAATTTTGTCTCTCAGATCACAGAAAAAAAAAAAAAAAAAGTCTTGCTGAAGAAACAGTTTCATTCTTTTTCATGAATGAAATGAAATGTTTTCATTTATCTGAAAAGGAGCCAGAAGCTCAGAGACATCAAATAACTTCATTAAACATTTCCTTGATGTTTAATGAATTAAGCAAAACATTAATATTTGTTAAAGTTGTTTAACGTTTTCTCTCATTTTTCTCACTTTCTACTCAAGCTTTTCCCTAGATGAATCATGTAATATTCAATTCTATATGGACACAAAATGTGTCCCTCAGTCTCAGATGATGCACCCTACCTGCCATCAAGTGTGCCATGCTGATCACCTAAACATCTCTTCCGGATCTTACCTTAGTTAAGTCTTGTAGCTGTGTAGTCGATCTTTTCATCTACTCTCTTGCTTTTATTTTTGTAACAGTTGGAGTACAGGAATATTCCTTAAGGCCTATCAAATAAGCTTGTTTTGTTTTGTCTTGAGATAGGGTCTTGCATTGTTGCCCGGCCTGGAGTGGAGTGGGGCGATCTTGGCTCACTGCAACCTCCACCTCCCCAAGTTCAAGCAGTCCTGTCACTTCAGCCTCCCAAGTAGCTGGCACTACAGGCATACACCACCATGATTGGCTATTTTTTGTATTTCTGGTAGAGATGGGGGTCTCACCCTGTTGGCCAGGCTGGTCTCGAATTCCTGAGCTCAACAATCTGGCTACCTCGGGCTCCCAAAGTACTGGGATTACAGGCTACCGGGAGCCACCACGCCCAGCCCAAATAAGCTTTTAAATTGACTTCTCTATTGTAGACTAGTATTTCTTAAAATAGTCACATTTAATTTTATAAAGTACAAATAAATCTGGCTGTAAATGACATTGTTAGGGCTCTGCCATCAGCTGTGGGGACTGGGGGAGGTGGCAGTGCACAAGTAGCTTCTTTTAGGCTGGATATGTCAGCCCTCTATTAGTGAGCTCTGTACCTCTGGGAGGGTGGTTGGCATTCATGCCCTACTGATTTTTATTCCCATAATACTGGGCCCTTTTCCCATGATGTGATGCGAATTGTTACCTTTAACCATTTGAGGTTTTTTTGTTTTGTTTGAGACAGGGTCTCATTCTGTCACCGTGGCTAGAGTGCAGTGGCACGATCTCGGCTCACTGCAACCTCTGCCTCCTGCCTCAAGCGATTCTCCTGCTTCAGCCTCCTGAGTAGCTGGAATTACAGGCATGCGCCACCATGCCCAGCTAATTTTTGTATTTTTAGTAAAGATGGGGTTTCTCCATGTTGGCCAGGCTGGTCTTGAACTCCTGACGTCAGGTGATCCACCCATCTTGGCCTCCCAAAGTGCTGGGATTCCAAGCATGAGCCGCCGTGCCCGGCCCATTTGAGTTTTATAATAGTGGATAAAATTCAGTACCATTAATGCCCCAGTTCTGCTTAATAACTAGCTTTGTACAGGCAAATAGTCACAGATTATGGCTACATTTGGGATCCAAGGAGGAAATCAAAACACACACACCACCTCATCTACTACTCTATTTTCCTCACCCTACCCGATAGCTGCATTTTGGCACTTTGGCCAACCTCCAAGAGTGATTTACAAAGCAAAGTATCTTGTGGAGGAGTTCTCAGATTCATAAGATCAGGTTGCTTTGTATATCTGGGGAGAAGAGAGTGTAACCAGGAAAGCAGATGAAGGCATTTTTAAATCAAAAAAATATCTTACTGCCTATGAGTCTTTACCGATCTTGCTACTGATGCCACCACAGGTGTCTTGGAGGGAAGGACAGGAAGGTTTTCGGGTAAGTGATGGAGTAAGGAGCTTCCATGCTATGGGCTTCCCCGTGATCACTAATGGCAATGCAACTCTTTGGAAAAGTAACTCATTTGGTCATAGATACTAAGTTTAAAAATATTCACACTCTGAAAACAGAATAATAGCACCTGCCCTCTGATTACCCAAGAGCGGCTTTGTGAATATTAATATGAATACAAAAATAGTTACACAGATTTTAAGTATTTGCCATTCAATAAATATTTACTAAGCATCAATTTGTGCATGGCATTTCACTCATCTGGAGATCTCGAGGTAATCCCCTGCCCGTGTGTATTTCATAGGTATTTGGGAGACAGACATAAGTAAATTGGCATTAGTTACAAGATGATGTGAAGATGTCTTTGCTGCCGCCTTTTCCCCTACTGGAAGAACCCAAAGTTAAGAAAGACAAGGTCAGGCTGGGCGCGGTGGCTCACGCCTGTAATCCCAGCACTTTGGGAGGCTGAGGCGGGCGGATCATGAAGTGAGGAGATCAAGACCATCCTGGCTAACACGGTGAAACCCCGTCTCTACTAAAAATAACCAAAAAAAATTAGCTGAGCATCGTGGCGGGCGCCTGTAGTCTCAGCTACTCGGGAGGCTGAGGCAGGAGAATGGCGTGAACTCCATTCTCACGCCAAGGTAGGTGGAGCTTGCAGTGAGCTAAGATCGTGCCACTGCACTCCACCCTGGGCAACAGAGCAAGACTCCATTTCAAAAAAAAAAAAACTACAAAAATTTAGCCAGCTGTGGTGGGGGGTGCCTGTAATCCTAGCTACTCGGGAGGCTGAGTTAGAAGAATGACTTGAATCCAGGGGGTGGAGGTTGCAGTGAGCTGAGATCATGCCACTGCATTCCAGCCTGGGCAACAGAGTGAGACCTCCATCTCAAAAAAAGAAAAATACAAAAAATTAGCCAGAAGTTGTGGGGGGTGCCTGTAATCCTAGCTACTCGGGAGGCTGAGGCAGGAGAATCGTTTGAACCCGGGAGGCGGAGGTTGTAGTGAGCAGAGATCACGCCATTACACTCCAGCCTGGGGGATAAAGTGAGACTCCATCTCAAAAAAAAAAAAAAGAAAAACAAAGAGAAGGTCAAACCTGATCATTACTAGAGAACTCAAGAAAGGCTTAGGAACCGAAGGTCCCAGGTGGGAACGGATTGTTTAAAAGGAACAGTTAGACTTCACAGGCCACATTGATTCCACATTTTTAGGTGACCACATCCTGTCTACCCCCCAACACACACACACACTTTAGGTTTATTTTATAGAGAAAAAGAACCAGAGAGGCACTGAACTGGGGGACATAAGGCACTGAGGAGAAAATGAGGTACCACTGAGAGGAAGTGGAGTCGGCATCCTCAAGGGCGAAGTGAGACCTGCTCACCCTTTCCCAAGGTGTGAGATGCCATGGCCAGGGCCATACTCCCATCATCACCGTGTGCTGCTGTGACTCACAGCACCTTACAGTTGATTATCTGTGCCAACATTTAATACCAATCCCTCTATTAGACTTGTGTCCCAACATGACCCAGCACCAGCACAGTGCCTGGATCTTGCTATAGAGAGGATGGTACCTGAGCACCTCACATAGAACAAAAATACTGGCTAGAGGGAAGCATAGGGATTGTAGCTATATAAAAGCTTAGATTCTTTTTAAAATATGCTTTTATTTTTTTGAGATGGAATTTTGCTCTTGTCACTCAGGCTGGAGTGCAATGGTACAATCTCGGCTCACTGCAACCTCTGCCTCCTGGGTTCAAGTGATTCTCCTGCTTCAGCCTCCTGAGAAGCTGGGATTGCAGGCACACACCACCACACCTGGCTAATTTTTGTAATTTTAGTAGAGACGAGTTTTCACCATGTTGGCCTGGCTGGTCTCGAACTCTTGACCTCAGGTGATCCACCCACCTTGCCCTCCCAAAGTGATGGGATTACAGGCATGAGCTACTGCGCCTGTTCTAAACTATGTTCCTCTTTTATATGTTCTGCTACTAATAATCTACGTTTAAAAATAAAGCAGGGGTAATGCACATGTTAATTATTCAATTTCGCCTTCCACAATGAATACGTATTTGAAAACATCATGTTGTATACAACAAATACAATTTTGTCAACTAAAATAAATTTAAAATAAAACAGACGAGATGTATATTATACACACACATATA